TCTCTGGGGTCTCTGGGGTCTCTGGGGTCTCTGGGGTCTCTGGGGTCTCTGGGGTCTCTGGGGTCTCTGAGATCTCGTGGATCTCGTGGATCTCTTGGGTCTCGTGAATCTCGTGAATCTCTTGGATTTCGTGGGTCGTGGACGTCTCGAGGATCCCGATACGGCGGCGGTCTTCTATCGTACTGGCTGTCATACTTTTCGTATTCATCGTAGCGGCGGTCCCTTTCTCGATAGTCCCGCTCCCGATCTCTTGCCCTTCCGCGATCGCGATCGCGATCTTGGGGTCGGCTTCTTTCGTAATCACGGTCACGGTCACGATCATGCTCACCTCGTGGGTCTACGGCATACCTGGAGGAAGGCTCTCGTGGTGGTGTGGCTTTCGGTTTAGACTCGAGTATCGATTCCTTCGACGGTTTCTCTGGCGCATCGTCTTGCGAGCCTCCTGTCGGGACGGGAATCTTGGTCTTGAGCGAAAAGCTGAACCCCTTTGATTGATTAGAGGCTGCTGCTGGCTTACTAGGTGGAGGCATTTGTTTCTCCCCCTTCTCCACCTCATCTTCAGCGCGCATATCTTTTGATGGACGGAAGGGATTGTCCTCGGCGTCAACCGCTGGGCTCGAAGTCTCAGGAGCTGTTGTTGATTTGGATGGTATAGAAGAAGATGCATGGCGCGGAGCTTCTGTGGCTGGTCGGCCACCTCGAGTTCCTGAAGCTGGGGTCCAAGACAGGTTTGAGAATTGAGTTGGTGCACCTCGGCCACGTCCCCCTTGGGCGGCGTTGTAGCCAGAACCTGGCGCAGCCCCTGATGAACGGCGATCGGGGCCATTGAAATTATTACCGCGAAAGCCTCCCCTATGTGATGTAAGCGGATTTGGTATTGCAGCGGCTGGGGGTACATACGCTTGATTTGAATGAGACTGTTGCCCGTTTCGGCCCCCTCGCCCTCCCGGGTATGGCGACTGTCCTTGTGGAGAGTGCGAATAATTTGAGTGCGTGTCGTTGCTTGGGCGAGATGATCGTCCATGGTGGTGGGTACCTTTCATATCGGAGTCGAGGTCTGGAGAACCGGGGATATCAGGCTTTCGGTCTAATGCAGGAGGTGGAGAGCCCTTCAAGGAGGAAGTTCTATTTGTTTCCGTACGTTTGTCGCTACGAGCCTCTCTGTCTGGCTTTCGCGCGCTCCTGGTGTGGGACGATAACGAGGGGGAGCGTGATTGGTGTGAAGCCGCTTTCCTGTGCCTTGGGTGTCGCGGGGAGCGACCTCTTACAGGCGTGACCGACCGTCGGCGGTGAGGAGATGGGGAACGCGCAGCCCGAGAGCGGCTCTGATTTTGTTCTTCACGATCACGATCTTGTTCCCTTTCCTCAATAGATGTATGATGCCGCCGGTGATGCCTTCGCGGGGAATGCCGCCTAGGCGACTCGTGCTTCCGTGACTTTCTTTCAGGAGAACGCGATCGCTTCCTGTCACGATGGGGATATGTTCGATGACGCGATTCAGCGGATCGTGAGCGACGACGGGAGGAAGACGGATTTTGGGATCCCGGGCTCGCGTCTCGAGCAGTTTCTTCGGCGCGGGTGGAGATGGAATGTGGTGAAGAGGCTCTGTGCCTGGTCTTGTTGGAGGTTTCAGTATGCTGAGGCCTGGAACGTGACCGCTCTACACTCCTACTGCTCCTCCGCTTAGTACGTCGATGAAAGTCCCGATCTGGAGATGGAGAGCGTGTGCGGCGGCGTTTGGGAGATGGAGATTTATCGCGATGGTGATGGCTATGGTGGTGGTGATGGGAGTGGTGGTGTCGTTGAGACTGCGAACCCTTGTCCAAACTTGGAGCCCTTTCCCTAGACGATCGATGTCGACGACGCTCCCTTGGTGCACCTCGACTCCGGCGGCGCGTGTTAGTATCTCTACTCACACTGCGCTCGCGCGAACGGCCCCTGGCGTGTTTTGTCGATGAACGAGCGTCGGGATCGTGGGTGTCTCGTCTGTGGTCGTCTTTCGCGGCGCGTGGCACCGGTGACGCTGCGCTGGAGTCGGCAGCAGCCAAGTCTCGCGAGTGGATCCCCTCCCTCTCTCTGATGGACGACGTTTCCTCTGTTCTCCGCTGAGCTATATCCTGGGTCCGGCGCAACCCAGCCATGTAGACAGCAGTGGCATAAGTAGTAGTATGGAAAAGTGGTTAATGCTACTGAATCGAGGCCAAAGCGGTCGGAGCGCGGGTCGCAGTGTCACCGTCCACTAGCCGAGCGTCAGGGACTATTCGAGACGGCACAGCTCAAGAAGTGCGAGTGAGCCGGCAGTCAAGAACAGGACAGGATGATTGCAGATAAAAAGAAAACGGGAAAGGGGAATATGTTGGCAGGCAGAAGGGGATGTTGTTAGTTTATTTACCTTTGATATATGCTGACGTTGATGATGGTGATGGCGAAGGTGATGGTGATGATAATGGAGTTGTCGCCGATCGTGCCCGCAGCGCTTTTGCTGGCGTAGATACGAGTAGGATAGGGCAATTAGGCGTAGTAGTAGGCCGGTAGGCTGGTAGGCTGGTAGCGGTAAGGTTGGGTAGGGTTTGGCAATACGAGTAGGAGGACGGTAGAACGGTAGGACGGTACTCGGTAGGACGGTAGGGAGGAGGTTTCTTTCGCATCCATCCCCAATCCCAAAGGTTCCGCTGGTTCTGGTTCTCGTTCTTGTTCTGGTCGTTGGGGTCGGTCGGCTCGTCCCCAATTCGTCGCTTTCTTTTTCCGCCAATGCCAAGACTCAGAGGACCGCCTGCATTGGTGTCCGCAGACAGCGTCCCACTTCCCCGTCCCTCCCCGTCCTCCCCCCAAAATGTTTTCGCATCCGCATGTGCATTTGTATTTGCATCTGCAGCATTCGCATCCCGCTCACGCAGACTATCTGACTGTCTTGCTTTCTGGCTGGCTGGCTGGCTGGCTGTTGCTGTCGTATGCATGTGCCATCCATACTTTGCATGTTGTTTTGAGCCCCCCTCTTGAAAGGTGAGAATATGTGTAGGTCTCGTGCAAAATCTTTGCCACCCCAGCAAAGGAACGTATCCTGCTTCTGCAGAGTCCATCTTGCCTTTCTTTCTTAAGTGGCAGGCGGATTTACTGTCGTCATCTAAACTAACTGGATCTCTCTCTCAAGCATCACCCAGCAGCAGCACAGGTTACCGTGCGCCTACATGGAACTATCTAAGCAGCACGCAAAAGCCCAACATAACTATCGATGCATGATGGCAGCCGCACCAGGAGTGTGCTAGTGGTACTGAAATCCGCAAATGGCATGTTACAAGCCAATTTTCATAGCCGGAATATGCCATGGTGCGACGTGGTGAAGTCGTTTAAAGGTTCAGAAATCATGTACCTTATGTGGTATGCAGGAATGATCTGATGTAGAATGCTTTGTGCGCTCGTCCAAGTGAGGCTCGCCGGAATGAACCCGTGACTATACCAGGATCCGGTCCAGTATGGAGAGCGGCAGTAATCATGACGGTACGTTGAGTTCGCAGGTAGTTTCCTGTTCGCAGAGGCTTGGAGAAGCCGAACGATAAACAATCATGCCGGAGATAGCGCAACAGATGGTACCAGTGCTCCAAATATCCACCGCCTAGACTGGTCCAATATCTGAAGAGGAGAACGAACATCTAGCCGCAGCGCTTCGCAGCGATATTAAACTCTCATTCGTGATCCCACACATGTTTGTTTGAATGGCAGCATTCCTAATTCAAGGAAGTCTGCCATGGATTTCCCCACCCATGCCTTTCGAATATCATTTCATACTATACCAGCAAGAACAATCAAAGCGGGAAGTCAAGGGAAATGGAATCCTGGAGGCGCCGCAGCGTTGGCAAGGTCGTACAGACGAGATGGACGAGACTGGTGCTCATACGGCACTCGCATTCATTGTCCCGAGTAAACTGGGCTCGCGTGCGGGTGTTTGGGGCCCAGCTAAGGCGGGCTGATCCCAACCCCAGCACGTCCAGCGCGCTGTGTTGTCGAGGGGCAATGAATTCATATGCAAGCAACGACGGCGACGCGGCCGAACAACCCTTGGGTGCGAACACAGACTAAGTCCAGAGTGAATACTTGAGTGTCGAAGAGGATATCTGCAATAGGCAGGCAGACACGTATTAGAGCAAAGTGTTGATGAAGACGGGCCTTTTAAAGATGGAGGGTAGATGCGACAAACGCTACATCTGGCGCGACTGGAAAGAGTAATGCAACAATGATGGCTGTGGGTTTAAAGAATCTGAAGCTGTCAAGAGCGTAAAGGCTTCTCGCACTTGTTCCATCCATGCCCAAGCGTTGATAGTGTTCCCACCGACATGGTTACGGCCATGATTGTATTGTCACCCATGATAGACGCGCGATAATCGGACGTTGTGTGCGTGAACGAACACAGACGGCGGTCACGGTGGGTGCGTGCCTCTGGCAGCGGTGGAGGTCTTGGAAGCTCGCATCAATGGGTGCATTAGAAATATTGATATTCCATGTCGATGTCGAAGTCGATGAAGCTGATGGGAAAGGTACACCGTGCAGGTAGGCTGGGGATGGTAGAGAGGTGAGGTGATGAAGGGGTGTTGTCGTGTTGTCGGGCTGCCTGCTAGCTTGGCTGTAAGCGGATTGTGACTGTACGGAAAGTCCCGTGACTTGACTAGACTAAAAGGAAACAACCCAACCACTGACAGACCCCTCCTGCCCTCTCCGCTCAGGTCTGTGCTGACCGACCGACGTCAGGGCCGGACCCCAATCCATCTTTTTCCTACGGGCGGGTCGCCGAAAAAACGCCAAAGAGTGAATTAACTTTCCCCTCCTAGAACCCTTCCCCCGCCGATATCCTTACCGCTTCGTAGAAAATCTTATTCAATTGGTCCTTCTATTTTTCTTTACTCAGTCTTCCTTGAAATTCGCAAACACATTATGCTTTGCGATTGTACTTCAGTCCTTTCATCCCACTAATCTACATACACAAAAAACGCAATCCTACTTCACAAAGACCTCCGGATCACCCGACCAAACTTCAATCTTCAAGACAACGGCTGCCTAGCTGCATAGCAAACATGGATTCTTCTACAAATACCCCTAGATCCGCAACACCTTCCCACACAACTCACGAGCCCTCTCCCCTTCGCCGATCGACGAATTCTCCCGAACAAGCAGAAGAACCCCAGGCGCAACAAGACGTACCTACAACAGCTGTGGAGTCATCGCACGAGTCGCACCAGATCGTCAACCACGACGGTCCCAACGGCTATTTCCCTAGCAATTCGACAAGCGCCAACATGGACGACAAACGTATTAGCATTCGTACGAGTGTCCCAGTGGACAGTGCTACACCGTTGGCGACCAGCCGCGCGCAAAGCCCATACACCCGACAGCCTATCGTGGACTTTGATGGATTGAGCTGGCCGAGTATGTACCACCGGTGCCATCCCAGACGAGTTATATGTTACTAACATATTCCAATAAAGGCCAGGGAACGAGGGAGAGGAAGGAAGCGACACCGGAGCAAAAGGATGAGCGATTGGCCAAAATGGCTGGAGCCGTCCGAACACTCTTGGAGTGCGTCGGCGAGGATCCTTCTCGTGAAGGTCTCCTGAATACACCCGAGCGTTTCGCCAAAGCGATGTTGTTCTTCACAAAGGGCTATGAGGACAACCTTCGAGACGTGGTCAACGGCGCCATCTTCCACGAGGACCACGATGAGCTGGTCATGGTCAAGGACATCGAGTTCTTCTCGCTTTGCGAACATCATCTGGTCCCGTTCACTGGCAAGGTATGCTCGTAATGAGTCTCATTTGTTACGGAATGATCGACTAACACAAAAGGCAGATCCACATCGGATACATCCCGGACAAGCGCAACAAGAGGGTGATCGGTCTATCCAAACTGGCGCGCATCGCCGAGATGTACGCAAGGCGACTTCAGGTTCAAGAGCGACTGACCAAGCAGGTGGCTGAGGCAGTCAAAGAAGTCCTCACCCCATTGGGAGTCGCCGTAGTCATCGAATCGACACACATGTGCATGGTCATGCGCGGAGTTCAGAAGCCGGGCTCGTCAACAACAACCAGCTGCATGCTTGGCTGTATGAGAACACAGGCGAAGACCCGGGAGGAGTTCTTGAACCTTCTCAAGAGGTAATTTCGGTACCATCTATGCTCAATTATGCATGATATCATATCCATTTTGGAGAAAGGCGTTGGTGGCGGTGTTCATCCACTTCAAAGAGTCAGGTCGGCGGTATATAGCTGAAAATCTTTTGCATTAGACTGTAAATGCATCTTGCCTTTCAACAGGCGCTCAATAATCGCTCGAAACGATTATTTACTCAAGCTTCCCTTCTTTGTGCCACTTTGTTGTGTATAGTGAGAAGTGAAGGTCGTCTCATCTTTCGTTGCTGTGGCACTGTTCCTATCATTGTTTACTCCATTTTGTATATCAAACAACTCACCACCAACGCGTTTTAGCCACAACACAAACACTGAAGTCCACCGAGAATCTTCTGGTGTTTTCCACTTCACTACCTATCTACATAACCGCACTTCCAACTACAGTTACCTTCTCCGACTTCAACTCCACTCCAGTCATCCAGACTCAAAGATGAGCGGCACCAAAAGACCTGCCTCCAGCCTGGAGATCGACAGCAGTTCGAATGGCAACCTCGAAGTCACATCCTCATCTAGCAACCCCAACATCGTCCGCAGGCACCGCGCCCAACTCGAAGACGTCAAGCGCCGCAACCCCCATCTCGGCATAATCATCAACCCCAACCGCCCATCCACGACCTTCAACATCTACAAAGCGATCCTCCGTCACCCAAACCTCTTCTTCCAATTCACCCTCCGCCTCCCACCCGCCACGCTCCTCGACCTCTACGCCATCGACAAAGAATTCCACTACCGCTTCAACAAACACGGTGTCTCCCTGATCCACGACTTCGCCAAATACCACGCCCCCGACGCCGCCTACGTCTTCACCTGGACCCTCTGGCCCAACCTCTGCATCTCCGACCCAAGCCTCAAGCCCATGGACCGCCGCTCCCACCTCTCCCGCGACATTCCCTCCCTCCGCTGGACCAAACTCGTCATCTTCCGCGACCGCATCGTCCGGCACATTCTAACGCTCCTCGCCCTCGAAGGGCACCGCGTCCCCCGCGCTACCGGCCGCGCCCTCATGAAACTCTGGCTCCTCATGGAAACCAAGACGCAAGCCGCGCGCGTGAAACTCGTTCGCAACCCCGCGGTCCTCGCCGACGAAGACATCCTCCTCCTCCACCTCTTCCTGACGAAGCTCGACATGCGGTTCTCGGACCCCGTGCAGGGCCGCGGCATGGGCGAGCTCTCGCACATGCTGCTGTGCCAGCGGAACCTGATTCCCCTGCGGGACGTGCTGGCGGGCAAGACGAGGCTGGACTTCGACAATTCGACGGATCTGGCGAGGCGGACGTATTTGACTGGGTGGTTTGACCGCGCGTTCGTGCCGTGGATTGATGATGAGTTGGAGAATGGGGTTCCTGAGTCGGAGTGGGCGCTTATGAATAGGGAGTATTGGGATGATGAGGGGCGGCCGATGGAGTTTGCGATTGATTTGGTTGGCATGGAGGGGGTTAGGAGGGGGTTGAATGTTCATAGGTGGGCGTTGAGTTTCTTGACGTATGGGTATGTGGATTTGGAGAAGGGGAAGAATGTGGGGATTGTGAGGAAGTATAGGGGGATTCGAAGGCCGGTGGATGTGGAGGAAACACGCTTGCAGGAGGAAGAGATACACAGTCTCATCGACAGGCTCGACGAGCTGTCGACTGCAAACTAGATCTGAATGTGTGAATCCTCTCTACGAATTGGACGTCTTGCAACGAGCAAGTCCTGAGTCGATACAACTCCTGATGCCACAACTGTATAACAAAAGATAAAACCTCTAGTTGGCCAAAACCCCCAACATAAACCCCAAACATCATTTCTTCTTCTTCTTCCCCTCCCCATCCTTCCCAGCGAAACCCCCCAAAATTAACGCCTCCCTCGCCGCCGAATTAATAATCCTAAACCGATCCGGCCCCAACTGCACACCCCCATACCACCTCGTCACCACCACCATGACGTCCCACACATCCATCAACTGCATCAGATGCAGCATGCGACCCCCCGCCGCCGTCTCCCCGTCGTCGTCGCAGTCCTGGTAGCTCGTGTCGTTGGGGCCGCGGATCCTCCAGGCTGTCATGTTGTGCGTTGCGCGCGCGGCCTTCTTGTCTGTGGACAGCAGGTGGTGGACGTAGGACTTTGCTTGGGCGGGTGAGGAGACGGGGGCGACGCGTGCTAGGAAGATGGATTTTTTCTCGGTGATGGGGAGGGCGATTGTCCAGGGGGGTTCGGGGCCTAGGTCTTCGCTTTGGAAGGGGGTTGATGTGCTGATGTTTGATGTGTCGTCGGCGCCATGCTGTGCTGCTGCTGGTTCGTCGTGTAGGTGCAATGTTCCTTGCTCTTCTGCTTTCTCAATTGCTTCGCGGACTTCTTCGAGGAGATCGAATATACATGCCTCGCCGGGCCGGTATGTCGCTGCTAGGACGTCTCTTACGACGTCGACGACTTGCTTGCCGACGCCTTTTGGTAGGTCGTCGCCTACGGATTGCGTGCCTAGGATTGATGGCGGTGCGTCTGGGTAGTCCGGGGGGAATTCCAGGCGTAATGTGACGGATGGGAGAGAGGGTAGTCGCAGACTGAAGAGTAGTGAGGGTTCATTGTTGGTGGAGATGGGTGTTAAGGTGCCTTCTTCGTATATGGAGTTTATGGTTGTGAGTTCGTCCAATATGGCATCATTGTCGATGCTGGTCATTGCTGCTGTAGGTGCGAGGGAATTTTGTTTTAACAGGTCACTTTTTAAGTATGCATAGATTGATAGGTAAGTTAATGGGATGGATGATTGATGTAGGATGAGTTATGGTAACTATCCCAAGTTGAGCATGGCAAGGGAAGACGTTGGTGGGTTTACTTAGTGTGGGGCTTAATTATGGTATGATTTTAACACTACGCGAGCTTGGTCTTACAATCAATCAATTGCTCGGTCGTCCATTTCTTTTCATCTGAAGTCATTATATTTCGTGATTTTGTGACGAGCCTTTTCAAGCTCAAATGCAATTATCTCTGAAATGGATAAGATACCCTGTCGAGATGAGCGCATATAGTGTTCTCCAACGGCGCCGCATCCCAACCTAACTCGCAAGCATCGATGGCACATAACGTTTTGCTCTCCACGCCGCCGGAATACAATCGATCAACTCCAACTCATCTCCATTTCACACACACCAAAGCTCCTGCATCGTCCAAAAAGCCCCTGTCAATACCCAACTACTCATTCTCGCCCTTCTCAAACCTCTTCTTACGCTCTTCCTCTCTCTTCCTTTCAAACTCCTTGACAAGCTCGGGCGGACTGTCTTCAATGAGGTCGCTCTCGTTGCTCAACCCCGTCCATTTGGGAAGACCATCGGGGATGTCCATGACTCGTTGGCCGTAGAACATGTGGAGGCTGGATGTCACAGAATGATTAGTACTGCCCCACTATACAAAGCAAAGCAAATCAAGATTGTGGAGGAAGACTGCAAACAAACTCAAGAAGAATGAAAACATACCGCGGCTTAAAATATGCCTTCGCCTGGTCATCCTTGAGGTGAATCAAGCTAGGGAACAATAGAATCATGTTCCGTCCCTCGTCCATGATCGGCGAGTGGCAGTAGCTGCAGCGGACCTTGCATGGAAGCTTGTGCTCGATCGACTTCTCGGTCGGGTCGTACCATTCCAGGTCGTGGTGGCCGTTGGTGAAGTTGATGTCTTCTTTGTGGAAGATGGCTGCCCATTGGAAGGGAGCGGCTGTGTTGGAAAGATGTGTTAGCGGTTGCAGTGTTATGATGGATGAGAGAGAGGTAGCTGGTCGGGGAAGAGGACGAACCGTGTTGGGTCTGGCAGGTTGTGCAATGGCACAATTTGCTGTCTAGAGGTTCCTTTCGGCTCAATTGGTATTTTACCTTTCCGCAGTGGCAGTTCGCTTCGTACTTGACGTCGAATTTCTCATTAGAATCGTGGATGCGGTAGGGGGGGCGTTGTTTCCACTCGTTGATGCCTGTGGTGCTTTTTCCGCGTGCCTGGTTACTGTCCATGTTGGCTTTGTGGAGTGGAGGTACTGAATTGAGAACGGCTCGTTGAAGTGGAGGGAGGTTTTGTAAGAGTGTTGATTTCTTGAAGGTAATTGAACAGAAGCGGGGACGTTGAGCTGCAAGTCGAGGTAGAACAATTGCTGATAATGACATCAATAGTCAAAGAGATGAAGCACAATCTACTTTATACAGTCTACACTAAAGCGTTGGAGAGAGAGAAAGGAAGATGGAAAGTGAAATGTGGGGATCAAAGGCTTTTGAATAGGAAATGACTACGAGTTCAATTGGGGTATTGGAAACGGTAATTGATTACTTCGGCGTGTGCCTCTTTCTCTAATCGACATCTATTTTGTGTCATGATGAATGTGGTGGTACCTCAAGACGCGTCTTTGACGTCACGATGATTTCCACGCTAGCACATGACTTTGCTATGGATCTGCACAGAGTCCGTATAGGGAGAGCCTAATATAAGGGCGTTTGCTCGCCTGATTACAAGGACTGCTCATTGTCCGTTCTTAGGCGGATCTTCTCGATTCGTGGTTCGGATCGAGTACTGGTGCATTTACTCATTCGCACTAGGTCCCCGCCATGACCAAATCAACAACAACAGCGACAAAGACCAAAACCACGGCCACAGCTACGGGTTGCCGATGTCGTACAGAACGCTCAATATAAACATATTGCCAAAGTAACGTTAACAATCATGACCTAGCGTGCTAGCATTCGTTCGCGACCAGGCCCATTTCGATAGATCCTCCTTGTTTTTCGGTGCGTACCGTTACCCTTCAGGCACCTTTAAGTAGTCTCTGCGCTTCCTTCTTACTGAGGCCAAAGACGTTGATGAGATAGTCGAGTCTGCGCGTTATCAGTACATTCGTTCTTCACCATGGCTTCTGCGGGCAGTCGTCGCTTGTTCAACTTACTTGATATCGCCAGCTATCCTCCGCTTGACTGCATCAAACTCGACCTCGTACTTCTCCTTGGCTTGACTGTGTCTCTTGGCGCTAATTGTCTTCACGCGGATCTTGAACCTTCCGGAAACAGGCCGATGATCTGATACTCGAATCCCATCGTGCCGTCGGTATTCAGTTTGTTTAATCCTGCCCAAACCACGGTAGAGGAGCCTGTCACACCAAGCTGGAGACCGCTTCTTCTCCGACGTGTCGTAATTGTCCGTGCCGACATCGTACTTATATGTTGGCGCGAAGTTGATGGGTGCCTCGTTGAAAGCCCTCAATCGGAATCCTGGGTTGCGCTTTCTGCTCAGCAGCAGCTGATCACGATCGAGCAGCTTGTTCAAGTTCCCTTGCTTGACAGCGTCAATTACCGTGTTGCGCGGCATTGCGTCAATGCGATAGTTTAGGTCGCCGTTAAGTATGCAAATCTCATGGTCCAAAATCATTGATCCGTCGCCGCCACCTACGAAGAACGCTGCTCGGTCGGAGGGGGAGCGATTTCGCGGCAATGCTTCTGACTCCATGATAGAGGCGATGTCGTTGTTTCTATGCACCGTTTGCGTCTGGCCGGCTGCAAGATGGCAGTTTATGAAGCACATGGAAGAATCGTCCAGCATAAAGCGCACCACTAGGGCACCCTTGTTGCCATATCGTCCACCCATACCAAGCTTGATTTGCGCTGCCGATACATCGCGAATCTTTGACCGCTCCGATCCCTTGACAAAGATACAAGTGAACAGACCGATGAGGTTAGCGGTGTGCAATAATGTGTAATTGTAGGACGGGAGATATTCATCAATGATACGAATGAGATGGTCGCGCCATGCTCTGTATTGATGGCTCATGTGATCTTGATCATGTGCGTCCTTCTTCTTGTGCTTTTTGAAGATGCTCTTCGCTGTGATCTTCTTGTCCTCTAGGTCCACGAGCTCCTGGAAGCCAAAGACTAGGATATCCGCCGGGTCGTCTGGGAGCAAGAGATCCCGGTAGAAATTTCGATCCTCCCCGTTACGTAGGCTAGTCGGTTTTACTGCGCCTGCGTTCCACGTCATCACAGTTGCGGAAACCTCGCGGAAATCGCAATAGTCGGAGTCGTGCTGCTGCAGTTGTTGTTCTACGAATCATTAGTCAGATCAATTGGCAATCAATTAACAATAATTGCAAGATGACTCACCTAACCAGTCGTCTTTCAGCATACCATCCCATATGCGCAACGTGTGGTCGAGACCTAATGAAGCAACTTGTAGCCGGTCCAGTTTCCAGATACTTGTCCTATCTGCGAGAATGCCGGCAATTGCCCCTTCATGTGCCTTCCAATCCTTGAGAACTTTCCATGGAGTACAGCTAGTGTCGTATACATACACCATCCCAGTGATGTAGCCAGCCCATAGGTGATCGCCAACTCCAACAAGCGAGCTGATTTTGTATAGACTGACATTCACGACGCCCACACAACCAAAGCCCTTTTTCGCATAGATAGAAACCTTGCCATCGCTGTGGCCGAAGAAAATCTTATCGGGCTGACTACTCAAGATGGCTCCTGATGTGACCTCTCCAACATTGTGCTGAGATAGCGCGCCTTGGGTCGCCGGTTGGAACAGAGTTCCATCGTCAGTGCGCTGGAACACCCGAATGTCTTTCCCGAATGCGACCCATAGGTGCGACCCCGAGATTATAGAGAAGGTGTGGCCTCTAGGGATTCTGAAAGTATTCGGGGTTTGCGTCAGTGTAGGAGAACCAGTCTCGTCTGGTGACCAGATGTGCACGACGCCATCTTCATCTAATGACCACATCTCGGATGCATATCGATAGATCTTGATGATTGCAGTCCTGGGATGCGCATTCGACTTTGTGTATACAACACTTTGTGTGGGTATATCAATTTCGAGCATCTCCCCCGTATTCGTGCCAAGCCACAACCGTTTCCCTTCATCCTCCACGTCTTTTGCTGGCCTGAAGGCGACCGATGTAGCCTTGACCGTCTCGCCATGGCTCAGACTCATTAACAATTCTCCATTGAGTAGACTCCAGACTCGGGTGACATAGCCAGTTGTGCAAATATACTCGCCGCACACAGCAAACAGCTTTGTGTCGTACTTGGTATAGATTTCTTGTGGGCCACTTTTGAACATCGGGGGCCTGCGATTAGCTTGTGAAGAGTCGGGATAATCGGTTAACGCCGGAGCGGACTTGTCTATCGGAGCTTCTGCTTCATCGGAATCGAAATTATTGGATACTTTAAGTTGGGTCGGATTGGGTGCTTGAGCAGGTAGCGATGGTGAAGGTCGTTTCATTTCGCCTGAATTTCGGGGTGGCGGCGGTTTGGGTGGCTGCAATGGTTTTGATGCCATAGGTGTAGTAGCAGGTATGGTAGGTTGTGATCGTCTAGGAGGAGGGAGCATAGCCGTCCTACTTTCGTTTGCGAAAGACGGCGCTCGATAACTATCGATTGAGTGTCGTACAGGCGGTTCCGCCGGAGCTGGTCGATTCAAAATCATACTCCTGCGCAAACTACTGTCTTCTCTTCGTGGTGGCAATCCTGGTCGGTCATCTGGGTGATCACCCGCTTGGTGTGGCGGGCTGGGAGACGAGTTCTTCTTTGGTGGTGCAGATAGGATTCGGTTGTCTAAGGACGGCGATCTGTCATGCAGTGATTGATGCCTTGGTGGGGGGAGACGAAGCTCTCCGGGCGCAATTGGCTGGGAATTCGGGTTCTTTGGAAAGGGAAAACCAGTAGGTGATATTTCGCCTTTGGCACTGCCTTCATTACTACTGGGCGGTGTACTGAAAGGAGAAACATCTTGACGGTCTGTTATAGGTTCCGGCGCAAGCGTTGCTCGATTTGATGACGGGTCTATGGAGGGATTGGGCTTATGGGGGATTTTGGGTTTGGCAGCTCGGTTTATGGGTGGCGGGATCGGTGACACAGATGCGGTTGGGCCTCGCTCTACACTGTGGAGGGTTCCGCTTTTGCGGGGGTCTATAGGAGACCCTGCCACCGTACTTGACTGAAGCAATGGAGCTTGTTTCGACTCTATGCTCGGGGTCGCAGTACGGCTAGGGATCTTGAATGTTTTTGCGCCATTGGATTGGGGGCTTGCGGACATTTGGGCTGCTGGTGAGCCTATAGCGGTATTGACAACGCCTCGGGAGGGCAGCGGAGAGTGTATTTGTGGCTCCATAGATTTGGGAGGTGGAGATTTTGGAGATTGGACCATGACCCGGGGAGGTGATCTTGTGGGAGACCTTGGGGGAGAAAAGGCGACCATTGAGGAGGGTCGAGGTTTCGGTGTGCTCCACGGCGTTCGCAGTCCACTTCGTCCACGAGCTGCTAATGATCCGGTACCACTTATTTCTGCTAGATTGGGGGCTCCTGCTCGTCCGTTATTGTCTCGTGGTATATCTAGCGAAATTCGCCCGTCATTCCTTCTCATATCCTCCGATATTCCTAATCGATCGGGCGTGCTAGGCGAAGCTTGTCTGAGAGGACTGGGCGCGGGCGATTTCCCTGAGTTCAACATGTTCTCGAAATGACTCCGAAGGGAAGAGACGGGCTTCTGTTGTACGTATTAGAATTTGCTCTGTTTACGTAGCAGGTATTCAATCAACTCACGATGGAAGAGCCATCTGTGCTCTCCTCTGTTGGGCGTTCCATGATTTCAAATCCCTCCTCGTCAACCAGCACCAGGCTCTGCTTTATATATTCTCATTGACTGCCTAGGCACCAGTACCATTGAGTCGCAAAACAAGCTCTCGGGAGAGGGGCGGGTTCCCGTGTATCGGTATGCACAACCGGGGGAGAGGGCAGCAGATGTTTGGACCGGTCGTAGTCGGTGCGCACCACGGAGAGAGTGAAAGGAGAGACAGGGTGGACCTTGGGAAGTGGGGTAGCAATCTGTGGAGTATGAATGGAGGGTTCGAGGTGTTATAAGAATGTTCGACAGTTGTGTATACCGGATTGGGCGGGGGAATGAATGCCTGGGTGTGCGGTGACAGCCAAGACCGTGTTTCAGAGCGCGACAGGGACAGCCCAGGCGATCATTCTAGGGTACCGGAATATATGAAGTGGCACGGGACGGTAGAGCGAGGGAGAATGGATTTGTTGAAAGCGATCGTGTTCGAATGAGAGCGGTGTTGAGGATTGTGTAGAGTTAGTTAGAGAGGGCAGCGGGAGGTTGTGGCTGACGTCGTCTTTTGACCCAGTATATCTTCAGTGTTAACTAACTGTTAACTAACACCTTGAAGGACTCGTGTTAGTCTCAGGCACTAAACTTTTCCTCCGCCCGCGCGCCCGCCTTTGCATTATTGCCATCTCTTGAATCTGTATCTGTGCCCTACCGAGTAATAATATCTACTCCGTACTACTGCCCTACCCTACAAAAGTTACCTCATACTTTTGCAAACGAGCATCGATTGTTTATTGTAAAAGAATTCCTTGAGCTCCCCACGTGAACCGTTTACGCGTTCACGTTCTACGCAGTCTCTTGACCCCACCTCCAATTCAAATCCATCCATCATGTGGTAAGTGTTATACTGTATACGCGGCACGCTCTCCCCCCTCCCCCTCTCTCCGCAAGACCTCCGTGTTGACCATGTGCCACCACCCACCTGTAGTAAACACGTCCTCAACGCCCAAGTCTCCATCCGTTCGCCATGCTGTAAGTCGCAGACGATTCGACCTCTACATCCCACTCTATGAACCTCCCCGTCGCTAAACATCCAACTCGAAGGCCGAAAATGGTTCGACTGCGCAGAATGCCACGCCGAGACGGCCGATCACCCTCTCCTTCAGAGCTTTGATATGACATTTATCTGCAAGAAATGCAAGAAGGCTTTCCGGAAAGACGCAAAGGAATTCGAAGAAAGGTTGTTTGCGCCCGTGGAAGCACTGGTCAAGGAGAACCTCTATCCCGCTAACATACATTCAAGTGACGAATATTGCCCACACTGCGACAATCATTTCGTTCTGGATGCCCTCACCCCCAAAGCATCCCTGCAAGTCGAAGGCGAGGACGTGCGAAAGGATTCCAGGTACGATATTTGATTTGGACGCGCGCATGGTCAATACTAACATTCTACCAAAGGATGCTCAAAGACGACCGGGTCCGACGCGATGAGGAGAGGACGATATTCGATGTCAAGGATGCGGCAGATAGGCTGGGATGAACAATCAGAATGGACTTGAATACCCTCGATGGCATAATAATATTGAGTGGTTGGCATATATGGGTCGATAAATCGATCTCGCAGCGACTACACGGCATTTATGGAGTTTTGGAGGAGTTGTCAACGTTCATGTATTAGAACGTTTCTCTGAGTTTTATGACGTAAGGACGCCAAAGTGTCTACTTTCTGAACTCTTATAGCTTTCCAGACGCCATGCCATCATGAATGCATGAATCATACGGGAATACCACATCCTGTTACTATCTATGATCCGGATGTCTCGCCAGCTGGTCGCGTTGGAATGGCGGACGTTCCCGTGCCCGGTCCTCGTCCAGGCCTTCGGCTCGCTGCCTCCTCCTGCTTCTCTGTGTTGATGTTCTCCACATATTTCTCAATGTCCTCCACAGGGAGCATCTCAAGTGCTTTTCCGGGTGCCATAACTGCGATTTCAATGTTCTTTGCTCCCGTTTGCACAACCTCCAAAAGCGACTTCACGGTCAGCTTGATGGTCTCCTCGCGGTCCATATCCGCCTTATGATTTCGCTCAAGGAATTCGCGGACTGTCTTGCTCGATCGCCCAATGGCATTTGCTTTCCTGATCATCTATTAGCAAGATCCGTCTAATATTCTTAACATCTTCAATACGTACCATGCCGAGTAGATACCGGAAGGCTCGGTTTGGTACAGCCTGGGTGTCTTGTCGTTTGGATCGAAGCCAACAATCAAGGTGCTAATACCAAAAGGTCGCACACCACCACTTTGAGTGTATCTTTGCTGCACACCTGCGACGTATTTTGTGATGTATTCTATCGAGACCGGATCCTCGACCGTTAGACGATGTGATTGGGCCTCAAGACGGGCCTTGTCCACCAGGATGCGGGCATCTGCGTTCAGTCCGGCAAAAGCGAGGGCAACGTGGTTATCGACGAGGCAAATCTTCGAGGGGGTGATGCGGGTATCTTGAAGCTTCATCGCAGAACGCTTTTCGCATCCAAGCACTACAATGTCTGCGCCCTTCACGCCGACCGCACATGTACCTATGATCGTGGTTGGCGGGGTTCATTACACAGAGAAGTATAGAGGAGCATGCATACCTCGCTTGACAGCCTCAAGGGCATATTCTACCTGAAACACATGGCCGTCAGGGCTGAAAACTGTAAATGGTCAACCACAAATCCGAAAGTCTTGATAACATCAACGTGTGTTTGTGTGGTTGTACCTGACAGAGCTCGATCGTAACCAGATGCCATGGTGAGAGCTCGAACGTATGAGGCCTTCGGAAATACGCTCCGGGGAGATTGTCGAAGTAGAGGAAGTTTGGATTGTGGATTAGGGTCGACGTCGGGAAAGGTGGGAGAGACTAGATATGATGAGGTCGGATTGTAGTAGCTGTGAGAGCTTCCGCGTCGCTCTTGCCTAGACGACTGGCCCGTGCGATCCCTGCACTTGCTGACCTAACTATCGATTCCGACTACGGAGCAACTAGAATTCCGAGGGCGACTTTTTTATACAAAAGTCGGTAGCCACCAATTGTGCAAAGCGGAAAATAATCATTTCTGGACATATTCTCACAATGGCCGTGCCTTCAAGATTTGTAGCTCCAATGCGACGAGCATCGGCTGTTGCTCGCCTCTCGTCACCTCTGCGACATTGCAGACCTGGATTCCAGGCTCGATGGACCGGAAATACGTCAGCGACATCAGAACCTCACCAACAAGACGCCAAAGGCACAGTGAAGGGAGGTGCAGCACCTGCGAAGACTGTTAAATTTACTTCAGACTCGTATGTTCGCTTTTGATCGATGGTAAACTCAAGTTCGTACTAATACTAGTAGTTACCCTGAAATTCAAAGAGATTCGAAATTCGCTAAGATCACCCAAGAGCATGTTGATCACTTCAAAGGAATCCTAGGATCAGAATCTGCTGTGATCGATGGCGTGTCACAGGATGCTACTGATGATATTGAACCCTTCAACAGCGACTGGATGCGTAAATTTCGTGGACATGCCAAGCTTGTCCTCAAGCCCTCGACTACGGAAGAGGTCAGCAAAATCTTGAAATATTGCAATGACAACATGCTTGCTGTTGTGCCCCAAGGTGGAAACACCGGTCTTGTTGGAGGCTCAGTTCCTGTTTTTGATGAGATCGTCATCAACCTTTCCAAAATGAACCAAATCAGGTCCTTCGACGAGGTTTCTGGCATCCTTGTCGCTGATGCTGGTGTTATCCTGGAGGTTGCCGACAATTTCCTTGCCGAAAAGGGAAGCATTTTCCCCTTGGATCTTGGTGCTAAGGGTTCTTGCCAGATTGGAGGCAATGTCGCGACCAACGCTGGTGGTCTTCGCTTGCTTCGTTATGGCAGTCTTCACGGAAATGTCCTAGGCATTGAAGCAGTTTTACCTGACGGAACGATTGTTGATGATCTTTCCAAGCTCAGGAAAAACAACACTGGATACGATCTTAAGCATCTGTTCATCGGCGGAGAAGGCACGATTGGAATCATTACGGGTATCTCTATCATCTGCCCACAGAGGTCACCCGCTGTCAACGTCGCCTACTTCGGTCTGGAGAGTTTTGAACAAGCTCAGAAGGCATTCACAGAAGCTAAGAGCCATCTTTCTGAGATTCTCTCAGCTTTTGAGATGATGGACGGGCGCACCCAGAAGATCATCCAGAAGGTAGCTGGCACAAAACTGCCACTGGAAGGCGACTATCCTTTCTACTGCCTAATCGAAACCAGCGGATCAAACGCTGATCACGATAGCGAGGTAAGCATCTTCACCCCCTCGAGACCCCTATGACGCCAACATTCGCCTTAGAAATTGCAAAATTTCCTTGAACACGTCATGGAAACCGAAATCGTACAAGACGGTGTTCTTGCGCAGGATCAGACGCAGATCCAAGAGCTTTGGGCATGCAGAGAAGGCATTACTGAGTGTCTCGGCCATTGGGGCGGCGTCTACAAGTACGATCTCTCGATACCTATTTCACGCATGTACGATTTGGTCAATGATGTGCGAGACCGCTTCACCGAGGCAGGCCTCCTTGGTGATGACGAGTCGTTCCCTGTCGTTGATGTCGTAGGTTATGGACACATGGGTGATTCCAACCTTCATCTCAACGTGCCCGTGCGAAGGTTTGACAAGAAGGTCGAGAAGATGATAGAGCCGTACGTGTACGAGTGGGTTGCAAACGAAAAGGGCAGCATCAGTGCGGAACACGGATTGGGTGTTACGAAGCGCCCTTATGTTGGATACAGCAAGAGCGAAACTATGATCAGGCTCATGAAGCAGATCAAGGACTCGTTCGACCCTGTGAGTACACCTCCTCCACCAAAACTCAAATCACATTCTAATTCAGTTCAAGAACGGAATCATGAACCCATACAAATATCTATAGTCCTTCCCACCAAGCAGGAAACATATACAGAAAATATAGTTGGAGAAACTACGTTGATTAGTTGTAAATTACCCGGTACGCGTCCAAAAGTCGCTACCAACACATATTTCTATCATCTTCAAGAGCCTATCTTCCTCATGTCCTTTCTGCTCAATAGTTTCTTCACGTTTTGTTCGTATATTTCCGCCTGCTCTTCCTCGCTGAACAAACCTTGCAGTCCGAACGCCATCCTATCAGCGAATTCCTTGACGAACGGTGTTCTCGTGAAGGGGAAGTCACTGCCATACAACAACTGCTTATGACTGATTTCATAGCCTTCCACAAATGCCTTCAACTGACCTAGACTCCCTTCTGATCCATCGAAGATCGTGCCAGCAAGGTCAAAATAGAACTGGTCGCGGATTTGGGAACGCACAAGGCTGTGGTTTAGAGGTTTTACACCGGGCACAACGTGCCCGAACCTTATGAAACGAGAAAACAGAGGCGGCATGCTACCACCAACATGGGGAATGATGAAGGTGATCTTGGAGTACTTCTCCACTGTGCCGCTGTAAAATAGGTTTACAACTGCCCGTGCCGTGTCGAAGAAGAACTCGAAGATTGGCACAGGGTATTCGCTTCCAAAAGGCAGGGCATCTGTCGTTGCAGAGGAGTTGGGGTGGTGAATGCATGGTTTTGTGGGATGCATGAAGACGATTGCTTCGAGCTCGTTCAGCCTCTGGAATATGGGATCCAGCCGAGGACTACCAAGATAATGACCATGATAATTCGTCATCATTCCGAATCCGTCTGCCCCCTCGGCCACCGCGATATCGATTTCCTTGAGGGCAGCATCGACGTCTGGTAGTGGCAACGCAGCCCAAAAACCAAATTTGTCCGGATACTCTCTTTTCAGCCTTGCGGCATAGGAGTTGCAATGTCTTGTTAGGTCTTGGCCAAGTTGATCTTTCCCAGGGACTATGTGCGTTCCTGGAGACGAGATGCTCAATATGGATTTAGAAACATTGTTGATTGCCATCATTTCCAGATGAGCTTCAGTTGACCAAGGTGGGATCTCTGGCATTCCATCGACCTTTTCATGACCGTTGGCCATGAGGGCATCATGGTAATCGGGAGGTAAGAAGTGCGAATGAACGTCAATTCGAGGGGGAAGAGGAGGATCTGTTCCCTTCGCCATTGCAAATGATAGTAGGACGACAACGAACAAGAACTCAATCTGAGCAAGGCACATGCGCATAGATGTGTGGTCAGGTCTCAGAGAGATTTAAAGTGAGAATTATTTGAGACAGTGCGACAGGTGTAACATGCTGTATATACTTTCCTTTCCAAGCGAGGTCGGATGCATGATTTGCTGGACTCCCCTCCTTCGGAACCCCAATGGTTCATGGGTGATTACCGACGCAACGGAGTCTCACGCTCCTGCATGCTGTGACCACTCAGAAGACAAAAGACAGTCTTTCCTCCAGCATCAAATATTGTGTGTGATTGGAAACCCACTAATCAACAGTAATGGATACATTTGCAATGGCGAAGATTAGGTCAAGTAAATAAATAATTCAACAATATATGGCAGGTACCACATCATCTTATTCTACTGGTTGTGGTATGTTCATGAATCTCCTCCGTACGTGTATCTGTGATGCGGACAGATGCAGCTAGCCGAATCTTGAACAATAGTCACTACGTGAAAAGTATACGAGTGTGAAGAGTGCGATCGATACCTGCATTAGGTTTCAGCTGAGAGTGAAAGCATTCCGTCGGAATACGAATTAAAGGTATTAATCACCTACGTAGGAATAATGATGCTAGCGCCGATCACTTGCCCCACATTGTGCTTTCCTGCGTTTGCCGTCCCACGCTTTCACTAATAGATAGTTACCTTTTGCTCTACTTAACTAAGCGTCTGGCTATGATTCTACAAACACCTTTATCTTCTCTACAACCTCGAAAACAGCTCCCTCTCCGGCATGATGGAGAAGATCACGGATAAGATCAATGCTCTGCCCGATGGCGCAAATTACTTCTCCCTCGAGTTCTTCCCGCCGAAGACGTCAATGGTCTGTTGCCCCTCATTACAATGACATGCTTCCGTTATCGCACCAATCTAACACATGTCTCATAGGGATTTGCCAACCTCTCGAGTCGACTTGAACGCATGTCGCAAGCCCTTCGACCTCTATTCGTAACCGTAACTTGGGGAGCAGGTGGCTCGACTGCTACCAAATCACTCGAACTCGCAGAGATATGCCAGCGACAATTGGGACTTACAACATGTCTACACCTTACCTGCACGAACATGAACCGCTCCTTGATCGATGACGCGCTCGAACAGGCGAAAGTTCTTGGTATCCGCAACATCCTTGCCCTGCGCGGTGATGCGCCTAGGTCCGAAGAATATCGAGACGATGCGCAGCTGCCCGAAGAGGACTCGAATAGGGATTTCACTTGGGCGATAGATCTCGTCAAATATATCAGAGCCAAATACGGCGACTACTTCTGCATAGGTGTGGCAGCATATCCAGAAGGACATTCCGACGAGTCGTATCCTGAGCACCAGGATCCCGCACGCGATCTACCATATCTAGTTGAGAAGGTACAGGCCGGAGCAGACTTTGTTATGACGCAGCTTTTCTTCGAAGTGAAGGCATACGACAAGTTTGAGAAGTCATTACGAACACACGAGAGCGGTGCTTTCAAGACAATACCAATTATACCGGGTTTAATGCCCATCCAGAGCTACTCCATATTGAGGAGAACCACCAAGCTCAGTCATGCAAAATTACCTGGCAAGATGTTGGAAAGGCTTGATGCTGTACAGACCGATGACGAGTTGGTCAAGAAGGTTGGCGTGGATATCTTGAGTGAAATGGTGGATCATATCAAAAAGCAGACAAGTGCATCGCGGCGAGGCTTCCATTTCTATACGCTAAACCTGGAGAAAGCAGTTTCTCACGTTTTGGAGAACTGTCACCTTATTCCTCCCACGCTACAAGAGGAAGATGAGGAGGCTGTCGTTGACATTACCGGTCCAGGTATCTTTGTACAACCACCAGAAGGTGCACAAAACAGCCAACGGCGTCGCGTCTCATCTGTCAACTCCTCCCCACACAACAGGATCATTGTATCCCGACCATCGAAATCTAGTAACCCAAGCTATGAAGCTTGGGATGACGAGGCTGGCATACCGAAAGGGCCCATCAACACTCGTGCAAACACGCTTGCCATCTCTGAAGGAGAAGGATCTTTGGGAAGAGAGGCTACGTGGGACGATTTCCCGAACGGCCGCTGGGGCGATGCACGAAGCCCTGCTTTTGGTGAAATTGACGGCTATGGTCCAACCTTGCACGTTTCTACCCCACAAGCCTTGAAACTTTGGGGTCATCCCGTTGCGAAAGATGATATCTCTACTCTTTTCCGAAAACACATCCAGGGCGAAATTGATGCCTTGCCTTGGAGTGAACAAGGTCTCGCTCCTGAGACAAGTACTATCAGCAAAGAGCTCCTATCGCTCAACGCCAAAGGCTGGTGGACTGTAGCGTCGCAGCCAGCAGTCAATGGAGTGAAATCCACCGACCCGGTTTACGGATGGGGGCCCAAGAATGGATTCGTCTTCCAAAAGCCCTTTGTCGAGTTCTTCATCCCGGCGTCAGACTGGAAGAAGCTCCAACCCCGCCTTGACGCCCACGAACAGGTCACATACTTTGCCGGTAATGCCAAAGGTGACTTCGAGGCAAGTTCAGACGACGGCGTGAATCCAGTGACCTGGGGTACCTTCGCAGGCAAGGAAATTGTCACACCGACCATCATCGAGGAAGTCAGCTTCAAGAGCTGGATTGAGGAGGCATATTCAATCTGGAAAGAATGGCAGCGTGTCTACCCACCGCGCAGTGCGTCGAGTAAATTCTTGGGTGAATGCTGGGAGGACTGTTGGCTGGTGAACGTGATATGGGGCGATTACGTGCAGGGCCATGGGCTTTGGGACTTCTTGAAGGCGGAGCTGTGAGCGGATAAATCTACTCGTATTGAGGGGGTCGGTGGCCCGTGCACTATGTACCAGTACATTCCAGAAGGGTTCTATTTAATGGAATAGCTAACAGCGATGACTCAAAAACCTGTGCGTATATCATAAAACTTGTTAACGTCTTGCAGTATTTGGAATGTTCGATTGACACTGAGCTTCTCCGGTTTCCGCCGTTGTTGTGGTGGTGACAGCGGTGGTGCCACCTATCCGATCTGTATATATACCAAACCACATGACGAGCGTCATCACACCACCCAGGGGCCATTCCCCATCGACAATCATCTCCATCGCACGCGACAATAACCCATCGAAGGTTACACACAGGCCTGCCCAGGCATAGCATGAGCGTGACCTGAGCGGAACATGCGGGTTTTTAGACCAATGCGGCTGGATCCGCCAACAGTGCTACCACCGATCAGCACAATGAGATCACATAAAGCCCAGCTGCTAACCCCTCACTTTGAAGCTTCCCCCTCAGCATCACAGCTTCTACAATCTGCAATTCGTTTTCAATTGAACTGAACAAACCCATTCCTTGCTTCCCCAAGCAAACCATTCTACCCTCTTCGTCAAGATGGCTGTCCGTCGTTCCTCCTCTGTCTCCGAACCACTGTCCCCTTCTGCATTGCCAGACCTAGCCGTGCTCCCAAGGCCCCTTGCCGCCGACAAACTGCCTGTCGGCCAACTCGTCTCGAAGAGCTCCAAGCTCAACCCCGCAGGCCTTGAGGACAAGCACTACGACGATGGCGGCTGTCGTTGGTACAAGGATGTGATCCTTCTGTCCAACTCGACTGGCGTTATCAACGAGTCCCTAGGTGGAACCCACCTCGTGCAGAAGGAGCTAGATGCAGATACATCAGTTGGTACCATCGAAGCAGAGGAGATGATTGTCCGACTTCTCAAGAATCCAGAGAGTGCGTTGAAGACTATCCTAGCCGAACAGGATACAGCCACATGGATCAAGGAGCAGGCGGGCCAGAGTGTTGTTGGCTTTGTAACTGCTATTCGTGAAGTTGTCAATGCAAGCTACAAGCGTGCGAGACTCTTCGACATTGGCAATGGCAATTACGAGGTCATTCGAGAGGTCGGTGGCGAAGGAAAGGACGGCAAGAGGAGAGATTCTGGACTCGACGTCCAGACGGGAAGTAAAAGGGACGTCGTAGGCGTAATTGTACGCCAGGTCGTTGTCGAAGGCAACGAGATCAAGCTCGGTAACGAGATCGGCACCGAGTTCTGGAATTAAGTCGGTAGCCACCGCGTGCATTCACGATGAATTGCACATATTTCCTTCATATTTGATATTGGGTTGGTGGAGTTTGGTTGGCAAGGCGAACGGTTGGCTACTGCTATGATTATATGTAAAATATCCAAATACTCTCACAATTATTACGAATCTAACTTATCTTCTCTATTTGTTTCGCCTCTCTACTTCTCCAATCTTCGAAGAGTAGTAGCAACTGGGTGTATTGTGCCCATCGTATTCGAAGTTTGATCACATCGGCGCAAATTACTCTACCCCAGATGCCCTCCACCACAAACTAAACTACATTCGCCATTAGGTGTTTACCCCACACAGCCACTTGCTGTAGGATGATTTTGGCGTACCTTTGTTAGGGTCGGAATTGAGTCCGACGTTATTGGTGCAGAAGATCAGAGCGGGGTAATTTACCACTAGAAGACACATCCAGCGGCCATGATTGCCTTATACGTATCAGATCCTTTCGGAACCCACGATGTAATTCCGAAGGTTATTATAAAGATCTTTTTGACGATCGAGTGTTTGCTATCCACAGAATCACATTGCCATCTCAAAAGACCCATTTATACACCATTGAATTTCATACCACCGCCTACACAAATCATTGATACACTCAACTCAGAGCTGCCGCCATGTCTGGACAGATCAACGGTGCTTCGTCAACATCAGCAGACTCTCATCACACCTCTATCCCTCCGCGGTTATGTGCTACAGCAGACAAGCCTTCCCTTGAAGCATTCAAGAAACTAACCACCAATTCATCACCTGCACACTACCCCCTCGCCGCCTCAATTCTCAAAAACGTACCCGTCTATAATCTCCCAGACTACTTCTCCCTCAGCCCCGCACAACTTTCCGCATTCCAAGATGAATGGTATCACATCCTCCTCTCCGGCCCAGGAGTCTTCGTGACCAAAGGCCTCTACAAGGACCCATCCCTCCTCGAGCGAGTAAACACCGTCTTCTCCTCCATCATCGTCAAAGAAAAAGCCAGCTCCGGCTCAAAAGGCGACCACTTCGCCGGCACCGGCCAAAACGACCGCATCTGGAACTCCTTCTCAAAACACGGCCTGGAAGACCCTCAATCATACTTCGAATACTACTCCAACCCCTGGCTTCCCCTCATCTCCGCCGCCTGGCTAGGCCCTCACCACCGCCTGACCGCCCAAGTCAACATCGTGAAGCCCGGCGCGAAACCCCAAATCTCACACCGAGACTACCACCTCGGCTTCCAGACCGCAGAGTCCTGCGCACAATTCCCCAAGGCCCTGCAGATCGCGAGCCAGCACCTCACGCTGCAGGGTGCCGTCGCCCACTCTGACATGCCCATCGAGAGCGGCCCCACGCGCCTCCTGCCCTTCAGCCAGAAGTTCGAGGACGGCTACATGGCGTACCGGCTCCAGGAATTTTCGGACTTCTTCCTCGAGAACTATGTTTCGCTGCCCCTGGAGCTGGGCGATGGGTTGTTTTTCAACCCGGCGTTGTTCCATGCTGCGGGGCAGAATGACTCGAGCGATGTGCTGCGTTCGGCGAATTTGTTGCAGATTAGTGCGGCGTTTGGGAAGCCGATGGAGACGATTGAGACGTTTCCGCTCATTGAGAGGACTTGGGATTTATTGGTGGAGAGATATAGCAAGGAGGGTTTGAGTGAAGGGGTGAGGACGTTCATAGGGAATGTCGCGGAGGGATATCCTTTCCCGACGAATTTGGATAGGAGGGTACCAGAGACGGCGGGTATGGCGCCGGAGAGCGAGCAAGAGCTGTTGGTAAGAGGGCTGAAGAAGGGGTTCGATAAGATTCAGTTGCTTAAAGAGCTTAGGAAGTTGAAGGAAGACGAGAAAGCTTAAGCAAGCAATGAGTAGTAGCAAAGTAATAATCTCAACTGATAGAGGCTTAAGCGACGGATAGTATCGCTCTTTGTATCTTGCCCGATGTCCAGCGTATTTTTGGGTGCTGTAGTTACAGGGTAAAGCAAACATCAAGTTGAGTGACCAGTGGCGTAGGGTTATATCCGAAAGCACCGCACCTAGATATATTCACACATTGGAGCATTCACACTCTCTTGGATTTGTTACTTTCGAGTATCTTGATAATGCATCATTACACTGACGCTTGAGCTTAGAGAAAAGGTGGGAAGCGCTAAGCAGCCATTCCCATGCCCTCAAGATGAAACCACATGCTACCCCATGTTACTAGACCTAAACTCCCGCTCTCCCCACCATCAGATCTTCCTAGAATAATTGTACAGAACCGGATCAAACCAGCCAATGGGTATATTATGAAAAGCGTAGGTTTGCTGCTTTTGATTATAGACGAAAAGGAGAAAATGCGGATGATGCAAAGAGGCGCCTGCACATCCAAAGTCGGGGTAGCCGAAAATTTATAGGATGCCTTGCGCAAGAAGATCATTATAGATCTTCTCGGGCATGACGTTACCCTCAGGATCTTCCATTTGGACGACATTGTCGGCACTTGACTTTTCCTTCTTCTTGTCCGCTTGGATCTTGGTCCATAGTTGTTGCGCCTCGTCAATCTTGGTGATCTCACGGAAGAGCGTCGTGTTCGTTATGCCCAGGCACTTGAGTCCGTATATGTGGCGCGTCTCGTTGAAGTGTTTCTCGAACTGCCGCCGACCCATGTAGTTATAGTTACCGCAAATTTCGCAAGGGAACTCGTTACCAAGACCGTGGAGCTTGTACAGCCAGAAAGGAATAGGCTTCCCAGACCAGTCGAGAGGAAGCTTTAGGGGATTGTAGATCTTTTCTTCTCCATCGGATTCTTCGTCGTTCTCACCGGCACCATTGTTTGCCTCGGGGGCCTCGGAGTAGAGCATTTCCAGTTCTTGTTGGCGCTCTCGCTCTGTCATACCCTGTTTGCGCTCGACATTCACCTTGGTGTCACTGCGCTCCGTTTGCATTGCTGCGGCAAGTTTCCTTATACGGTGTTCCTTCTCCGCAACAGCGCGCTCCTTGAAACGTGTGTCAGGGGCGGATGACTTGGAACCAGTCTGCCCACCGGTCGTAGCATTGGCCATCTCCTGCTCATTCTTTTTGTGTTTCTTCCCCTTCAGATGGTTTTCGTATACGTTCTCATTGCTAAAGCTCTTCTTGCATGCCGAACACCAGAGCCCATCCGATCCGGTATTACTATGCTCCACCGCCCCATTTTGCGAAGCGTTCTTTTCCCAACCAGGCACCTCCTCTTTCTCCCAGAGTTCTGCAAACTCTTGATCGAAATTGGCGAATAGTTTGTCCAGATTCTCCAGTGGCTTGGTCTTGCGCATGAATCCCTCCAAATAATCCTGCAATGCCTTGAGGTATTGGAAATACGATTCTGAGAGTTTTGAACTGCGGGTGATGGAAGATTGGGGCGGTGTGAAGACATCAAACGCGTCCAAATATTGAAGATACGTCAGGCGGCGAGCATGTTGATGACCGGGAAGGTTGAGATACTGCTCATGTAAAGTTGTGAGATCGAAGTAGCGACCGAATCCCTCCTCTCCTGTAAACATGGTCTCGACATGTCGAATGACTGCGGCTTGCTCCTCCGGGGACCGCCTCTTATACATCTTTTCGAGATTCTCGAATCCCTCGTTCGGGTAGCGGCGGTGAAAGTCTCGAATAGAGGCGATTTCTTTCTGGAAGGAATCCATCGTCTCTCCGGTACTCAGATCTCGCAATTCGCGTTCCCTTTCACCTTCAGGATCGTCATAGAGCTTCAAAAGGCGACTTGACTGGTCTTCTATTTGCGCAAGAAACCGCGATATTTCGTGGTCGCGGGCGAGGCGATCACGAATCTAGAAAAGTCAATTCTCTCACACTAATAGGTTTACGTGATGTGGCAGAGATGGCAGGAATAAAGCTGAGATATAACGTACATGCTTGGGATCATCGTGCAGAAGTTCGGTGATAGCTTCTTCAAGTCGTTCCAGGTCTTCGTGAATGAAGCGCTGCTCCTCCAAAGCCATGTTGGCAAGATAAGACGTGAAGTCCACTCGAAGATTATGCTGGTATCGCAATGGTTGCTTGCGGGCAGTAGATGAAGGCGATAAATCTGGGCGTAGGGCGCTAGGAAAAAGGTTCTTCCGTCTTCCGTACCGGGCAAGCTCAAAGTTTTGGATGAAGGCGAACAAGCTTCTTGCAGTCTGCGCCCGAACATCTCACATATTCACCAATTACTGAACAATTGACTAATCTTTGTCGAAGATGGCGGAAGGAATCGATCGAAATGTGGACGACAAAATGGAGTTCTCCACCTCCAAGGAAGTGACGGTGGCACCGACTTTCGAAGCCATGCACTTGAAGGAGAACTTGCTGCGCGGAATCTATGCCTACGGATACGAGTCGCCTTCAGCTGTGCAGTCGCGCGCAATCGTGCAAGTCTGCAAAGGTCGCGATACTATTGCCCAAGCGCAATCTGGTACAGGAAAGACCGCGACATTTTCCATTTCGATTCTGCAAGTCATCGATACGGCAGTCCGTGAGACACAAGGTATTATACCCAAGCTTTCCAAGTGCTGGGACCGCGACTAATCCCGAATACAGCGCTCGTACTTTCACCCACACGTGAGCTTGCAACACAAATCCAATCTGTCGTCATGGGTCTCGGCGACTACATGAATGTCCAGTGTCATGCCTGCATTGGCGGTACAAATGTGGGGGAGGACATCCGCAAGCTCGACTACGGCCAGCATGTGGTATCCGGAACACCAGGTCGTGTAGCGGACATGATCCGTCGTCGCAACCTACGAACGCGCAATATCAAGATGCTAGTTCTTGATGAGGCAGACGAGCTATTGAACCGGGGATTTCGTGAACAAATTTACGACGTCTATCGCTATCTGCCACCGGCCACTCAAGTCGTTGTTGTCTCGGCCACCCTTCCATACGACGTTCTGGAGATGACAACCAAATTCATGACAGACCCTGTCCGCATTCTTGTTAAGCGTGACGAGTTGACACTCGAAGGCCTGAAACAGTACTTCATTGCCATCGAGAAGGAGGAGTGGAAGTTCGACACTCTCTGCGATCTCTACGATACGCTCACCATTACACAGGCGGTAATCTTCTGTAACACACGCCGAAAGGTGGACTGGCTTACCGACAAAATGCGCGAGGCAAACTTCACTGTATCATCGATGCATGGAGATATGCCACAAAGGGAACGAGACAGCATCATGCAGGACTTCCGCCAGGCCAACTCACGCGTTCTGATATCGACCGATGTGTGGGCCCGTGGTATTGATGTCCAGCAGGTCTCCTTGGTCATCAACTACGATCTACCGTCGAACCGTGAAAACTACATTCACAGGATTGGACGTAGTGGACGATTTGGACGGAAGGGCGTGGCTATTAACTTTGTCACCCAAGAGGATGTCCGCATTCTGCGCGATATCGAATGTAAGTTCATTATCCTGTCATTGAACAGAATTCATCCTGACACATGACACAGTGTACTACTCGACCCAGATCGACGAAATGCCCATGAACGTAGCGGACCTGCTTGCGTAAGGGGCTATGTGGCAATCATGACTATTATATGAAAAGACTGCCTACCAGCACTAGCACGGTCGGAATGAAGCCCTCAAATGGCAGGATGCGGTTGCGGGTGAAAATGAAGAGGTGGAGGAAGGGGCCCTACTGCCAACAAGTAAGTTCAAGTATATTCACGAATGATTCCCCTACATCTCGGCTGATCTTTTATATCAGTAATGACATATGGGGAAGACAAGACACCATACCCCCTTTCCAAACGAGATACAATTTGCCTTCCCTTGCAATTATTGCAATTATGAACCTTGCACGTCGGGACCTTGGTGGATTACCACACATGAGCATTAAGAATGTCATCAAAGCTACTGATCGTCGTTCTCTTTAAATTAGATGGAACAAGAAGACTGCCATGCCTCAAACTTGTTGCCGGGCACCAGTGTATAGGGCGAGAGTTTCGAACTTAAGAACTTCCGCCCTATGCCCCATCATCAGACTTAATCTGACAAGATTTGCTTATATTACCATCTGCTGCTCGTACTCCACCAGATAGGGAGATCGAGGTCCTGGCTGGTAAGGAATTCCAGATCACTAGATATTTTTGGTCTGTTATGGATAGCGTGACCCAATCGAAATCTTAATTCTCAAATGTTCATGTCAATGAGGTACCTTCCCTATTCCATGACCCCTGATGTCGTGATTGACACGAAAAGTCAAGCTCTTCCACCCAGATGCTAGCCCCTACTCTACTACGGTAATAGTTTCCCCTGGTATTCTGATTAGTTTAGTTAGCCAAAAGCGAAACCAACTGTAATGACTTTCCATACTCAAACTCGAGTCCAGTGATCTTGACCCTGAATGAATTGGCAGATGCCTCTCATTGAGGACCATCAACGAATGTTGGAAATTGGTCGTACAATATGTACCAGCAAGCATTAGGCAAAAACACAGACTGGTACAATCTTTTTCAAAAGCAATGAACCTCGAAAGAACTTGGAGATCGTATGTACTGACTGGCTGTCCAAAGTGGAGCCACGGCTACAATTCATAACGGAAAACGACCTCTTGCACGTATAAGAACCATGATGTTAGACTGGCACGGATTTGAATCACAAATAGTACATTGGTGTTCGCTCTGTATTGTTTCCGTTATTGGGACTATGTAATTAAACGCTCAAACATACACAACTTCAACGAATTGCATCTACGCACTACTTCGGAATACTACAGCACCGCCGTGTCTCCACCTTATAGTCTCTCTCGCAGCCATAACATGCAATGCCCTGCTCAGTGCTTGCTCGCTATAGCCCTTTCCATCGACCATTTCCCTCTTCAATGTGCTCAGGTTCACCTGCCAGCCGATAGGCATTCTTCGTCTTAGGTCATCCTCAACCTTGTTGACTTCATCCATGAGTTCTTTTGATCCCTGGCCCTCGCCCTGGTTAACGGCGTCCATGGTCGAGGCAAGGAATAATCGGATGGCCTCGTCAACATGGGTCTCATCGGCAACAGGGGAAAGTGAGAGTTTGGCCAGGGACTCCGTAATGCGGATGATAGCTTCCAGTTGACGGACCGTAATGGGGATAGAAGAACGAGCATTAGCGTTCATCTCTGAGGCGTGAACTTGACGACGAATAGATACGAAATGCGATGACAGCTTCTCGGCAGCTTCCGGCGAGAGACGAGGAGCACATTTCTGCCTGCAGTATGTGATATACCGTTTCATCTTTTCGATGGGAATTTCCGCCTGAATAGCCTCTTCAACACCACGTCCACCCATTGCTATGCCCATGACATGCTTCGCGATGCGCTCATCACGGCCACGATCATGGTCGTCCCGCACAATGAAAATCATGTCAAAACGGGACAGAATTGTGGTCTGGAAATCGATGTTTTCGCCCGGTGTTTTCATATCGTCATAGCGTCCGAAAATAGGATTGGCGGCTGCGAGCACGGAAGTTCTTGAGTTGAGAATCGTTGTGATACCTGCCTTCGCAATCGAAATAGTCTGTTGCTCCATAGCTTCGTGGATAGCTACTCGGTCTTCGTCACGCATTTTGTCGAACTCGTCAATGCACACCACACCCCCATCGGCAAGGACCATGGCTCCTCCTTCCAGATAGAATTCCCGTGTGTTGTGGTCCCGCTGTACAGATGCAGTAAGACCAGCTGCCGATGAGCCCTTGCCGGAAGTGTAGATCGCGATGGGTGATACCTTTTCGACGAACTTCAACAACTGAGATTTCGCCGTTCCGGGATCTCCGAGCAGCAGAACATTGATATCACCTCGAAGTTTCATTCCGTCAGGCAGAATCTTCTTAGACCCACCCATCAGTAAACATGCGATAGCTTTCTTGATATCTTTGTTGCCATAAATGGAAGGGGCAATGCAATTGGCGAAAGTTTCGTAAAGATCTGGCCGTCTGCTCATCTCAAGGAATTCTTGCTCTTCTTCTTCAGTGAAGACTGCATTGCCCTTGGTTGTATGGTCGACGTCCGCATGTATTCCGACCGCGCGAATGTACGGATTTCGAATTGCAACTGCAGCGCTTTGGGACTTCTTCGAGCCCTTCTGTTGATAAATCGAAAAGACACCCATGATAGTACATCTTGTTCCTGGAACCACACGATTGGTCAAGTATCGATCTGCTGAGATCATGATGTGTCGGGGCAGCTCTCCCACGGGCACCTGATCTGGCGCTTCTTGAAGTTTCAGTACTTGCTGATCGATGAATTGTGACCTCTCATGTAGAACGTAGTAAGGATCGAGAGGGCATTTGTCTGCCGTTTCGCCTTCTGTCTTCTGCCTTCCACATGTACGGGGAAGCGATACACCCGAGAAACCCCCTGATATCGACATGATTTCTTCGTGTGAGCAGTTGCGGCATCGAATTGCGAGGGCGGTAGTTTTTGAGGATAACGTGGAAGCACCAATAATGATGCCTGGTATCCGCACGAGGTGGGAGACATTTCCAGCCGTGAGATCTCGAATTGAAAGTTCGGCTGCTGATGAGTGTAGAAGCAGTTGATGTGCAGGGAGTTTAACGGTTTGGGAAGGATAAACAATGCGCTGTGTGCATGTTTTGAGAGCTGCCTCGAACTACTCCTTGTCAGCCTCGATGGAACCCATAGTTGTATCATTTGGACATACGAGAGGTATGATTTCAGCAGGATCCTGTGTGAGTTTGTGCGCCAACTCTTCGTCATAGGATATCAGATGTGCAATATCGATATCGCAGTAGTATTGTTTGACAAGCACGTTCTCCCGTATTTGGTCTCTATATAATTATTAGTCTGTAAACAGTGCATGACTATAGATGCGGACACTAATGACATACCTGTAGATAAACACATTGTCGAGATGGAAGTCCATAACAAAATCGACAAGCGCTTGCTGAATGCGTGAGGGGGAGGCACCATTTTGACGTTCATCTCCCGCCTGACTCCCAAAGAGGCTGATCGAGTATGCTGTTTGCCTGTCCGTCATCTTATTTGTATTAGATATTGCTGAGGCCGGAGGTTGATGTGAGGTTGAAAACACCGATGTGGGAGTGAGGGGCTTGGAGCACATACGCGACGCGTTTTCGTTTCGCGTGTTTCCTCGTCCGTGCGCAAAGTACCAATTAAACCCACTTATGGACTAGTCTGAATGAACATCGTATCCTGAATCTCTCTTCGTTATCTCCAATCCGAGTCTCTCACATTACTTTTACACCCATTTTTAAAGTGACTACGTCGTATAGCACTACAAAAATACACCACCGTACTGTTAAGACGTTCATGTGTTACTTCCAACTTTTCATGGCTTTTCAAACTTTGTGTTAGAAAGCTTTGCGTCTGATACAAAGAATAGCTCCTAGCCAACTCTTCTTGCGGTATATACCGCATGATTCGCAAGCAGGCTGACCGTGAGCTTGGTGATTACAGAATACTTCAGACTATTCAACTGAGGAGAAATATATATTAACTGTGCTGGCAGTGACCAACCACGGATTAAATTGACCATCCATGGATAGGAAAACTCTGGACCATGAGGATGCACTGATGACGGAACCAGGATCGTTCTCAGCTTGGACAGTAGAATTTCTAAGCAATCGAGTCCGCTATTACTTTCCGGTCATCACTTAAGAACTGTTGTGGATCTTGCTCGTTCATTGACAAACTAACTAACGAAGATGGACAACAGCAAGGCATTCCATCGCTGCTAGTTTGCTCTTTCTCGGCCTCAGCTGTTGGGACTGTGCTGTCCTATGTCTAATTCTGTGACTGGGCGCAATAATATCTCCCTGCATCATTATGGATCTAAGAGGTTGCTAGGATCTTTACGAAAAGGATAATCGGACTGGCTACCACAACATGTACTGTCCACGCTAGAAGCATGCGCGGTAGAAAGACAAGGCTTCCAAGAACCCGGTGTACATGTCCGTCGTGGCATGCCGTATCCATAGCCATGGGACGCCTATGGGTCTGCCTATTGTGGGCTTCTTTATCGTCTATGGCTGCTCAGTTCTCGCCTTCATGGCGTTGCTCGAGTTGATTGTCGAAAGACTCGAGACCCTTCGATCCACGCCATTGAATCATAGATCTACACACGCTCACAGGATTTCGGACGCATGCCATATACTATTGGACTGGGTAAAGGCAATGACGTTCAAATTAGAGTCAGGTTGAGTCTGTGTTCTATCCACACCAGACTGCCAGATACTTTTGTGTCGCCACGGCGAATGAATCGACCTCCATCTGATCTGGTTCCAGATCGAGGATGACAACCTTGCCACCTAATATGATATTTTCCAGAAAGCGAATGGTCGCGTGTTCAAGACCTTTCCATGGAAAGACCTATCCTGATGAGTGGAATCCCAGGTGAATCAAAGTCGCCATGGCAAAATAGCAGAGCATACAGCTACAGAGATCTGGACTCCACAGTGTCACCACCGTTGGGTCATTGGACTACAAGAATGACTGTTTCGAGACTGAATCTCTCCTTTACATGCCACCTGTGCGATTACCATACGATCTCAGGCCGAAAGACTTGGATACTGTATTGCAGTGGAAACCACCAGCCCTGGGCGGAACTCGGCACACGTCCAACTGCTTGTCGCTGAGTCTCTATCATTAAACATACCCATTGATATCCATCCATCGCGAGCACGTTTTACAATGGCGGCTCCCATTGGCTATTCGCCTAACGATTAAGCAGGTGCTGGGCATTCCGCCCCGATGCCTACAAGAGGATAATTTGCTTGGCCGCTTGGCTTCCGCCGTGCTTTAGCTCAAAGCAACCACTACGGAACCATTTGATCCTTTTCAATCTCAACTTTGGACGAGGCACCGACAGTACGCTCTAGATATTTGTTGTCTGACCCACCTCTCCAAGATACCAAGCTCTCTTGCACATTATGGACAAGACTTTGAACCTTTTCCAAAGGCCTGGTATTGCAAAAACAGCGCGCACATGCACGAATATACCTCCTGATTGGATAGTACCATCACACGTGTGGCGTGCAACATCTCGTTCACTCCGAGCATGCTAGCACGTGTGAGTTCTGAGTTGCAATATATATATTGTCATCTAGGTTTCAATCCTTGTTGGAAGGCAGCAGCACGACGTTCACAATCAGACGCTCAGTCAACCGCTTAGCCACCACAGTGATTGGCCTTCGACAATCAACATGGCACGTTTGACTCAGTACGATTATATCTTTGCCTTTGGCACAATCTTTTCCTTCCTTGATGCTTGGAACATCGGTGAGGCTCTCCCCATTCACGTCTTTGCCTAAGAGTGTTGTAGGCTGATAATCCGTAGGTGCCAACGATGTCGCCAATGCCTTCGCAACTTCGGTTGCCTCACGCTCTCTTACCATGTTGCAAGCTATGATGATCGCCTCCTGCATGGAGTTTGCTGGTGCTCTTTCGGTCGGTGCTCGTGTCACAGATACCATTCGAACCAAGGTCATCTCCACCAAGCTTTTCGAGGATGATCCAGCCGTTCTCATGCTTGGCATGCTCTGTGCCATCTTTGGTTCTTCGGTTTACCTGACCTTCGCTACGCGTTTCAGTATGCCAGTCTCCACTACCCACTCCATCATGGGCGGTGTCATTGGTGTTGGCATTGCTTCAATTGGTACAGAGGGTGTCAACTGGTCTTTCAAGGGTGTTTCCTCTGGTGAGAGCTTCGTCCAAACTGTTCTCGAAGGGAAAGGCTGACGTTCGTAGTGTTTGCTGCCTGGGCTATCGCTCCTGGTATTGCCGGTGGTTTCGCTGCTATTGTCTTCCTCATCACAAAGTATGCCGTCATGCGCAGGAATAACCCAGTCTATAAGGCTTTCTTTACCGTTCCATTTTACTTCTTCACCACTTCTTCGCTGCTCACCTGTAAGTGTTTTGTCGTGGCAGTCGTCATACGGAATTAAGTCTAACAATCACTAGTACTCATTGTTTACAAGGGTGGGTCTGCAAGGATTGATCTCACCGAACCACAGGTGGCCGGTGTCACAGTTGGTGTTGGTGCTGTTGTCGCTACCCTCGTCTCCATCTTCTTCATTCCGTACCTCTACCGCAAGGTTCTTAAGGATGATTGGGAACTTAGATGGTACCATATTCCCCAGGGTCCTCTGCTGCTCCGACGTGGAGAGCCAAATCCACGTCCAGAGGGTGTGCTCGCTGGTGGTATTCAGGACTACTACCGCGGCCATATGACTGCAGAGGAGCTTGCGGCGAAGAGAGCAGAGGAGGGAGCCGCTTCCGCCGATGCTGGAAAAGAGATGGGTGTCAATGCCCACGAGAAAGATGGATCCAACTCCGATATCACCCCGGCGCAAACAGTGGCTCCATCTGAGCCGGCTCGTCAATTGTCCACACCCAAGAACAAAGCCCCACCCGGTGCATGGTACACCCCAGCGGTCGCATTCTTCTGGCTCAAATATGCTTTCTTGCACGGAGTGCAACAGGACCTTGTGGAGCAGCAGAAGAAGAAAGACTTCCTCTCGGGTGACCTTGAGAAGATGCATGCTGCAGCAGAGCATTTCAACAACGAAGGTAAGAACTTTCTTCACAACCGTGCCACCAGAAGACCAACTAACGTTGAACTCAGCCGAGTACACTTATTCGTTCCTCCAAATCATGACTGCTGCGACTGCTTCCTTTGCTCACGGTGCTAACGATGTTGCTAATGCAATCGGACCTTACACGACGATTTACTTTGTCTGGAACACCGGTAAGCTCGGCACCAAAGTCCCTGTGCCCGACTGGATTCTTGCCTTTGGTGGTGCTGGTATCGTTATCGGCTTGTGGACATACGGTTACAATCTCATGCGCGCACTGGGTAACAAGATTACTCTTCACTCCCCGTCTCGTGGTTTCTCCATGGAGCTGGGAGCTGCCATCACTATCATTCTTGCCACCAAGCTTGCGCTTCCTGTCTGTAAGTCAAATGTCCATGTATTTGTTGCTGTGATGGATGTGTACTAACACTCTGATTAGCGACTACGCAATGCATCTGCGGTGCTACCGTGGGTGTCGGTTTGTGCAGCGGTAACTGGAGAGCTATCAACTGGCGCATGGTTGCATGGATCTACATGGGCTGGATCGTTACTCTCCCCACCGCTGGTATCATCTCCGGTGGTCTGATGGGTATCATTCTCAACGCTCCACGCTGGGGTATGAACTAGAATGTCTAGTTCTTGTCGACTAACATCTCTCGGAAAAAGTCTGCTGCTGAATCTCTCGCTCCTGATCTCGTTTTCTGCATTCTTTCGGCCACACGGGCCTACTCAATGTACACAAGCCTTTTGCAAATTGCAGTGTTTCTACGATACCTACATAATACATGCAATCTAGACTGCTTCACACTAGTAAACCTTCTCAATCCGACGAACTTGAAATTGAATTGGCTTTTGATGATAATGGAGATGTGAGACGAACAACAAGATCCCCAGAAGCAGTCAGTGATTACTCTCGCATAATTTCTTTAGCCTCATCTATGAGGTGTAAAACACCCTGATAGTTTTGATCATGTTCGTTGATCATGTATGACTACAAAAGTATTCCTACACAGTAGGCAGTTAGTTATTGGGGTTATTTTTTGCCAAAGTTTGGTGCTAATTATGTGTCGTCTGTAATCATGAGTCTAGAGCAGTGATTCCGGCTACACAAGTCCTCAATGTGCTAAGAAATGTATTGGTGACGCTTTATAGATCCTGCTCGGAACGAAAGGGCAACAATCAAGATGTTTGGTTCGACATGGTATGGTCTAACGAAGATCGACTTAGTGCCCGGGAAACTGGAAACAGCTTAGCGCGTGCATGCGTGTGCCAGCCGGGATCCAGTACCAACCTTCAGGTCTAGCACTAAGATAATAGAGGGTCCGCGCGCGTTTGAGTGTGTGCAGGCCCCCGAACAGATGTCATCAAGTCTTTGAGCTTCTTGGGATGGTTACAGCACAGCTCTACAAGAACCAACGCCCATTTTCGACCTCCCTCCTTTCCGTCAAATACATTTCTAGTTTGCAATGTATCGCAACCGCGAATAGCAGAACCGTACACGCCTTCCCATGATCCCTTATGCCTCAACCATCCAGTAGCCAACGCGCATCTCCACCATGGCTTCTCCGTCCACACGGAAGTCTACAGAGAGCTTCAATCTGTCCAATTCGCCTCCGCAGTCACAGTCGCAATTCCCATTCCCTCAACACGATTGGAATATAAGATCAAGCTCCACCAGCCGGTACCAGCCCCGTCGTGGGTCAACGTCTAGTTCAATACACTCCTTCGGGGGAGCCTTGGATACCTCATTCAAATCAAGCATAGGCGCGGTGAGGGAACACAACCAAAATGGTAATCGAGCTGTGGAATATCTGTTTAGTCGCGGGCATTCTTGCTGATATACACGTAGCCATCTCAACTCTACTACAGCCCCCCATTGTCCGCACTGGCATGCTACCACATACATCGGCTTCCGCGGCATTATCACAACACAAACCCCCGTCTACCAAAGATATACCACCCGTAACCCTACCGAACATCCCACATATCGAGCCGTCAGCGTTCAGTCCATACCTCTCACAGGTTGGCAATCTATATGATGCTTTCCAGAGAGCTAAAGCCGAGGCTGAGGGCGATACCGCTTCAATAATTGGGCGAGACTCTGCCAGGAAGGATGATTCCGTGGACACTTCCGAACTTGGTCTGCGAGGCGCTTCGCCTGCAGCCACTCCAAAACTATCGGGCGGCGTTTTCTCACCCTCCGGGTCGCCCAAGCCAAAAAGACGCGCAAGCGGATCGAAGCGTGCACTTCCTACCGTTACGCCGTTGTCTACGATACCCAATATTTACTTTGATGAAAACTTTCGTCTGGAAAATCCACGCACTTTTGATGTTGTTAGCGAGCGATCTGAGGTAGTGCGACCGGTACAGTCTAAGAGCAGCGATGATGTAAATATTGCCAATGGATCATTCGAACCTCCTCAGCAACCCGGACGGAAGGCATTGGCCACAAATGCAATACTTCAGGAGAAGCTATCTTGGTATATGGACACAGTTGAAGTACACCTGATATCTTCTATATCTACGGCTTCAACCTCTTTTTTTGCAGCTTTGGGGTCCTTGCGCGAACTACAGTCAGAAGCATCGGATTCGGTTGCCAAAATTAAAGCTGTGCGAGAGGATCTGCGTCGCTTGGACGAGCAGATGGCTGTTGGTGGGCTGAAGATCGTTGATATGAAGAGACGACGAGAAAACTTGAGGAGGTTGACTGATACAACGGATCAACTGCATGCAGTTATGACTGGATTGTCACATTGCGACGAAGTCGTCGACAAGGGCGATCTTGAAGTTGCTATAAACCGTTTGGGCACGGTGGAGCGATTGATTTCTGGTGACTTGGATACCTCTGATCCTTCCAATGATGCTTCATGGATACCCGCTCATGTACCTGCGTTCACAACGGATCTACGACATCTTAGAGCTTTAGATGGCGTGGGAGAGGGCCTACAAGATCTAAAATACCGCATTGGCAAGGGCTTCGAAGCCCGTTTCTTGGAGACATTACTTTCAGATCTACGACAGCATGTGAAGAGCGTGAACAACCGCGATACCTTAACACGATGGGTAACTACTTCGCAACGAGCACGTGGACAGCACTCTCGATTAAAGTCCGTCCTACCAGCCTATCTGAACACCAGTAACTCCTTTCGTCATGATCTGCGAACAAACCTTATGGGATTGAGTAGCTCCAATTTTACTAGCCAAGCCAGCTCTGCCTTTCGGGATGCGATCCTTCGCGAGATGAAGGTTCTTATTCGACATTATCTCCCCAGTTCCACCGACGATGATGCGGAGTCTATGACATCTGTTTCGACTAGAAGTGGCCGGGGCCACAGCCAGCAAGACAAAAACTCAATATTGGCCCGTAATCTACGCGCAATGGATCCTGCGGATGCCGAGGAATTCTTTGTCAACATTTTCACTGATATTGGGGAGGCCATTCGCAGATTAAGCATTCAGATCAAGGTCCTTCTCGACGTTACCAGTGGAGTCAGTACTCCACCCGCGTCCAGCGGCGGCCTTCGTTCGCCTCCCAGGAGTCCAAACATTGGCAGCATCGATGGGTATCTTGGTGGGAATATCCCTCCCTCCGGTCCAAACGCATTGCAGGAAGAACTCATGCAGGCTCTGGATATGTCGAGCCTCCTCGGACAGGCTGTTGACGCAGCACAGAGCCAGATTACGAAACTTCTCAAGGTTCGCTCAGAAGCCACTACGAATCTTCCATTGGATCGATTTTTGAGGTACTTCAATCTTTGCAGACTTTTTGCAGATGAGTGCGAGGCAGTATCTGGGCGCTCGGGTGCGGCTTTGAAAGGCGTTGTCAATAATCACATCAACGAATTCATTCCGAAATTCGCAGACTTCGAAAAGCAACAGCTTATTCACTCTATGGATTCTGACCGATGGGACCCGAAAGACTTTGACGATGCGGACAACGCCGTATTGGCCAGGATTCTCCAGGGAATGACAAGTGATCATGGCGATTGGACTGAGCGCGGTGATATTCTCGCAGACATTAGCGAGCATGAAGCTGTTTCATCACAATCTCAAAGCAATGGAACAACCAAGGAGAAATCGAAGAATCCCACCGCTGCGACTGTTGATGAAGAGAAATACATTGTCTCTGAGTCATCTTCTATTGTTCTCCGTGGCATCGACCGTTTTGAAGCATTACTGGCAAACATTCCCAGCATGACAGGGGAGGTATCTGCCTCCCTCTGCGATTATCTGAAACTCTTCAATTCGCGGCTGTGTCAGCTGATTCTCGGTGCGGGTGCTCGGCATAGCGCAGGGTTGAAGAACATCAACACCAAACATCTTGCCATTGCGTCTCAAACCTTGAGCTTAGGAATTGCTATACTACCATATATTCGCGAGTTTGCACGACGCCATGCTTCGGGGGCGCGGTCTTCTCTAGCCGAGTACGACAACGTGAAGCGACTTTACCAGGATCAGCAAGTGAAGATCCACGAGAAACTTACAGAAGTCCTGAGCGGTCGAGCCACAGTGCATACTCGTAGTCTTAAAAAGGTCGAATGGGATCAGGATACTGAGCGTGATGTCAGTGCTAACATGGAATCGCTCACCAAAGACACTGTCACTCTGCACAAAGTCATCACCAAGTATCTGAATGAAATGACAGTTCGCATGATCATGGGCCCGGTTTTCGAAAGTTATCGTGAGCAAGTCGGAGCGTTGTTGAAGGAGGCTGTGGTGAAGACTCCAGCTGGTAAAGCAAGGTAAGTAATGCGTTATCCGAAGCAAAACTGAATGGTTCTAACTTGATATAGGTTGCTCCGCGATGCTAAACTATTCGACACGCGCCTGAGCCATATTGATGGGGCAGGAAACGTGGGCGCATATCTCATACAGCTTGTCGAAGCTAAAGTCGTGAAAGAAGCGCCAGGCGCGAAAGAGAAGAGTGCGGTTGAAGAGCAGGCGGCGGATTCAAATCCACCTCAGAAACCTGACATTGAGGCAACCTGAAAGTGTACATTGAACTGATCATTTGACCCATCACTTTCTAACGATTTGATGTCCCCATTGGGAGCACTGTTGGGACCAGTTCTGTGGAGTCATATAGGAAGTCAAGCCCCAAAACGAGTCTGTGTCGTGAACTGCAGATAGTAGTCTGGCTATGCTCAAGCCACCCACACGCATGTGTTCATGCAATGTGGAGTAGCCTCCAGATTGCTCTGGAATCTGCAATCGCACATATCATTATCATTCTTCCAGTCGACACCCCTATCTGTCAGTTATCTAGAATAGATCATGATCAATCATGTTATGAGCGTATCGGAGTCTGGCATCTATCGGCGTTGCTACACGTTCTAAGTAAGAACAGCTAGTTGTGAATTCTACATATCAATCTATATTATCATGTAACTCTCTTCAACGCTTTGCGACGTGTTTCGGATTAGGTTTCCCACGAAGCGATCTCGAGAATTTTGACACAGGAGGAAAATGAGACGGCCAAACTGTTCCATGTCCTATTGCAAACCTACCCAGACCCATCTTCTAGCTACTTTATGGCAATATGCTTGGTATGATGTGAAACCTCACCCAACGCTGCCGAATAACTGTGCCCAAACGAACCCGCATTTTCATCTCCCTTACACGCTTCCTTCTCATGTGAGTAACTTCACGTAGACAGATTTCCGACTATTTTAAATACATAACTATGTCTATACTACAGTAAACCTATTCATTCCATTGAAAAACCCAGACCTTTGCTGAGCTACTTAAAGGTAGCCAAGTCTCATCGCCCAGGAAGTTCAGAGCAATTGCTTTCCGTCCAAAAACGGCAATTTTCCTATCAACCTTCCGTCCAATCAGATGTCTCGCTTGGCACTAGTCACGCATCAATGATGAATGGGCGCAGATATCTGATCGCAAGTGACAACAGGGAAAGATTGGTTATTGTAAGAGTGTGTATAGATGATGAAATCTCTTTGATACTATTACCGGAATTTGAAGAGGGTTTGCTTTGCAACCGTTTTGACCTTTTCAAGGAGCAGATGCGCTATCTCTGGTAAATGGAGTTATGTTCTGCTCCACCTTCAGACATTGAGAGTCATGTGAAGTTATCAGACTGTCTCTCGCACACATAGCAATGTTGTTCCCCGTCTAGGATCTTTCTTTCCATTTTCACTGCCAGAAAGTCCTAGCGTGCAAGTACTCCAACAGTAATTTGTATGCAATTCTCAAGTAAATTTACATTGTGATGGTAGAATGCTCAATGTATTTAGTGCCAAAGCCGCGATGAATGTATATGTATGTTGAAATGATGTGGGCAGTAATGTTGAGGTACTTCTATTTTGTTGATGTGTCTCTCCGCAAATTTTCTTTCCGTCGTATCGAATTTTACCTTGCTGAAGAACAAAGGGCAGAGGGGTATGTTGATATGCAGCCTAGGTGTTTCCACACTTTTCTCCATTGTGTGTTGGATTGCATACACAATTGCAGCTACTTCTCCATCCTAGACACCTCATTCTTCTCTTTGCTGATAATTTCCACATCGCCGTGGGTCAGCTTTCCTTTGCCACGGGCGGGACGTACAAATGCATTTGCAGCTACACCTCCGTCTAGGAAAAGATAGTCAATCTCCTCGAGACTGAGATTACTTGTCTCTGGATAGAAGAAGTATATGATCGGGACAAAAGCGTACTGGATGATGTCAGCGTATTCCTAAACGAAATGCGTAAGATATACTGTACCGCAATGGCCATGAATACGAGATATCCCTTCCACTGAATTCTGTTGATGAGGACTGGAGAGATCATAACAACTACGAAATTCTGGTAGGAATGTAAGTTTCCGAACCGTAAATAGCCATGTTAAGCTTACCCAGAGCCATTCTGAAGAAATTGCCAAAGCGGATCCTCGAATTCTAGCATGCAAAGGAAGAATCTCGGGTACGTAGACCCAGGGCGCACAATTGATAGTCAGACCGAAAACCAACATATACTATGAAATGTCAAATTAAAGACCACAGGACAATACAATGGTATGACTTACAACGAAGAAGAAGGCAACAGCTGCCGATGCAGTCTTTGTATTCCCTTCAAAGCTGAGCAGAATGGCAATCATCATCATGGAAAAGCCAAGCCCAAATGTGCCAAAAATCATTGTGCGTCTACGTCCCATCTTGTCCATAGCGAATGTGGGGAGCAACGACCCAAGCATGAAGACAACCTGGACACTATGATGTATTAGCAGTCATAGTGTCGGAAGAATTTGATCTCGCTTACCATCCTGAGACAATCTGGGCAATCTTAGGATCCATGCCAACGTTTAGGACCAATGCAGCTATTGTTGGTTAGAAATGAGCGTTGCTAAATGTAAATAGGGAACGAACATGGAACATAGAATACAACGAGATTGATGCCGGTGGCTTGATCCATAATCTGTTTTGTAATTTAGCTACCACCAAAAGTTGTGCATATTTTTGAAGACGTACCATTACAGCATAGGCCAATATGACTCGCCTGCGAGTCTTCACAGCATCCTTTTTCAAAATACTGAAAAATCCCGAACTGTTCTCGAGTGACTCGAGCTCGAGAGCTGTATTGATAGACGCCTTTTCGGCTTGGATGAACTCGCTATCTTCGGTTTCGTCAAAGACTCGGCAAAGAACATCGATGGCTTTCTGTTGCTCGCCGCGTTTGAACAACCATCTGGGGGACTCGGGGAGGTCGTAGAGCAAAATCATAACGATAGCCGCGAATAGTATCTGGAATGCCAGTGGGAATCTCCAAGCAAGAGAGCCGCCGACAAAGGACAGACCGTAGTCCAGCCAACTGTATTGTGGAGATCTTTAGTAACAGTTTCATGACAGAGTTGCAACTTAACTCACTATGCGAAGACGACCCCAACTGCTACGAAAAGAAGTTCTGCCGAAACCAGTCGACCGCGAAGATGTGGTTTACAGAGTTCGGATTGACTGGATTGGTTTTAGGTTTAAGCCTTGAGGTTTATGTGGAAGACTTACTATGAAGGGACGGTGGAAGATTTCATTCCAGTACCTAGACCAGTGATGACACGCCCAAAGAATAGCTCGACCAGACCGAACGATGCAGCTTGTAGCACTGCCCCAATGCTGATCAGGACCATAGCTAGAAGAATGGCTCTGCGTCGGCCAAGGAGCTCGCCGAGGAAGAAGTTCACTATATTCATCAGGGAGTCGTTCTAAAAATTGTGTAAAGGAGCCGTACAGACACAGCCACCAATGCAGCCAAGAGTATAGGAGCTGACAATGATTCCCGTCATCACATCGTTAGGGTGATCGAATTGGTTTTTCCAGTTTTCGTTCTGGAGAATGCCGCCAAATACACCCTGATCATAGCCAAATAAGACGAAAGCTAGAAGGCATGTGCTTGAGATGCCGACTTGTAGCCGTTTGCCTCTACCTAACCACCCAGTCAATGGCATGCTGTGTCTTTTCTCAAGACGTGGGTTGGGCTCTGGAAATTGGGAAGAGATCTGGCCAAAGATATCGAATAGCTATCCTTGTTTTGCTCCTGACCAAAGGGACCCGAGAGACTTATATAAGTAGGTATGTAGGAAGTGGTCGCGCCCTCGTGCCCCCTCATTTTTTGATACTCCGGTGTAGTCTGGGTTTTCCTTGGAAACCCGGGGAAAGTATATGCTAGCCTGATTCTGCAAGGGTCCAGCCAGAGATAGTCCAACTCACTCCATTGTCTTCACAAGGAACAAATGCCTCTGGTTGCCATTTTCAAATTAACGTTTTGGGTAATGATAGCCTAAGAAGTGCTTGAGATTTAATGCCTTCAAGATGTATCAGTCTTGGCAATGTCAGTATTTTAGGGATTATTCAATTGACAATCTTGTCGTCGAAAACTCATTTCGCCCAATACTACTGCACAATGAAGACTTTTACGCTGAGCAATGGACATAAAATCCCAGCAGGTAGGTAAAAGACACGATATACGGTATATATAGCAGTAATGACATTTATTCAGTTGGTCTGGGAACTTGGCGCTCAGGTCCAAACAAGGTTGCTGAAGCCGTGGAGTTCGCACTCCGCAATGGCTATCATCACATTGATGCGTGAGTAGCAAAACTTCCCGTTTTCTATGACACAGCTGATCTACGAACAGTGCACTTCGTTACGGTAACGAAGCAGAGGTAGGTCGTGGTATCAAGGCCAGCGGCGTGCCCCGCGACCAGATCTTCGTAACAACCAAGTTATGGAATACATATCACAATCGTGTCGTGCAAGGTGTCAGGGAGAGTCTCGAGAATTTGGGACTTGAATATCTCGATCTCTACCTTATACACTGGTAAGCTGTCTCTTCAATCTTTTGTTTGGCTACATACTGAGTAAACTGCAAATAGGCCGGTCTCTCTTCCAGAGGATGCATCTAACACAGCCGCCGACATTCCATTGGCTGATTGGGATTACGTCCAGACTTGGTAAGTAAGGCCTTTCGCTAAAACCTCGTCAAGGCCTGCAATTAGTTGTTGATAGCCGAGTTTTAGGGCCGACATGCAGCAACTCGTTCATAGCGGTCTCGTCCGGGCAATTGGCGTATCGAATTTCACAACCGCCCACTTGGACCGTCTTCTTGATGCGCCATCTACCACCATCGTCCCGGCCGTCAATCAGGTAGAACTACATCCAATGAACCCGCAGTCATCGCTTTTCGAATATTGTGACAAGCGAGGCATCCACTTAACTGCTTACTCTCCGCTCGGCTCGGTAGACTCGCCCCTCTATAGCCTTCATCCATTGCAGGAGGTAGCCGCAGGACTCCAGAAGACCGTTGCACAGGTTCTCCTTGCATGGGGCATCCGGAAGGGATGGTCCGTGATTCCCAAAACCGTGACGAGCTCAAGAATTTTGGAGAATCTTGGTGGCGATTTCGAGCTCTTGGACAACGACTTCGCAGTTGTAGAACGCATCACGGACAGGAAAAGGCTCATCGACGGACAGGACTTCCTTCCGGTCTGTGTATTCGACGACTAAAGGGAAGAATTCATCTGGCCAAGCATAGATCATACAGGGACACTATTCGTGCACCAGGTCAGGTGGCTTTTGGTAGAGAGTTGTCAGTCCATAGATTTAAGTGTATGGAGTACTACGTCAACAATATCGATCCATGGCTGATCCTTGACGTACATAGACTAAAGTATAATTTTATGCTGTTGCGATCAACCGTCGATAGAAGGCCATAACATCCATGTAATTCATGCGCCAGCACCCTCCCGATGATTTTGAAGAGAGCACGGTACGTAATTCGTCACGATATTCGGGTGCTCCACGTAAGTCGAGGCACGGCCTACTTTCATGAAAGCCACAATTTATTTTACCCCGAAGGGGGAGACCTAATGTGATGCTGTTTATCTTGCATTTTAGATACTTCAGCGGTCATGTTTTCACTTGAGGCGGATGTAGTGTCTAACGAATCAATAGCAAACAATAAATGAGGCAGGTGGCGGTCAGCACAAGAGAGGACAGTTGGAAGAGAAGAGAATTTATTTCAGTCTCATGAGGGATATGAGTCGTTACCGAGATGCACAGGTAGGATTCAGTAAGATTCAAATGTACTACCATGGATTCAATACCAACTCTCAGCCGCCACAATGACATACGTCTATCGGTCTAGTATCCAACGTCATGGGGTCTGCTAGCCAATCTCCCCATAGAAAGTGGCCAGACTGTGCGGGACCCGGGTGACGATAGCATCATGACAAGTACTACAAAATGTCTGTAGCCCAATTTGTGCAGTCTTGCACATTGACCAAAACATCAGTAGACCCCAGTCGTCAAGTCGTGACATGTTCCTCAGCCACTGACTTCGATTTCTTGGGTACTGGGTAGCTGCTTTTCCCTTTGAATTGGGTCTTCCTGGTAGTTTTGGTTGTATTCCTTGATGTTCTTTGCATTGATGACAATCCAGCTTCTCTGGGTGGCGAAGTAACGATCCATCTCCTCCAAGGTAGCTCCTTTGGTCTCCGGGCACGTAAGATACATGTATGGCAACGCAAGTCCACAGCTTACGAGCCAGATGAGATAGAATCGCCAACCAATATTGGCCACGCCCACGGGCGTGATGACGACTACAATGAATGCGGAGAGCCATTCAGTTGCGGACGCAATTGCTGCGGCTCTGTTCCGCATGCGTAGAGAGTTTATCTCGGGGGCGTAGACCCAGGGAACACCAGCCCATGATGCACCGAAGCAAAATTGGTACAGGAGAATGCAAGCAAGGGCTCCGTATCCACTTGACACTTTGGTCGCCGAGAACTAGGCATAGTATATCGCAACGGTTAAGCCCGTCATAGCCAACGCGGTGCTGATTAGACCGACTAAAAAGATTGGCCTTCGACCCACCTTCTCAATAAAGAAAGGAGGTGTGCAGGACCCAATCCAGAAGCAGATGGAGCCACAGCCGCCAACAATGGCAGCCATTCGGGGCGTGAGGCCGAGTGAGGCGGAAAAGATCGCCGGACCAAAGTAGACGACAGCATTTATACCTGTCATTTGTTGAATGAATTGGGGGATCGCTCCTAGCAACATTCGACGAAGGTTTTGGAGCTCCCCATTGCGGAAAAGGTCCATCCAGGACGCTTCAATTTCGGCCTCATGCTGTGCAGCTTCAATGATCAGTCGTGAGTGGGAAATTACCACGTCACTTTCTGCTGTATAGCCTTTTCCTTCGAGGCGAGCCACAATCTCCCGAACTTCATCGTTCCGGCCTTTAGATGCAAGCCAACGTGGGGATTCAGGGATGAACGGCAAGATGGCGAAAGTGACTAGGGGAAATACTGCCTGGAGTGCCAGTGGTGCCCTCCACACTGCAGAACCCTGCACTCCCCCGCCAAAGACGAAGCCAAAATCTACCCAGCTAAGGCCCGGAGTTAGAACTGCGGATACTATGGTAGAGAAGATCACATACTTCGATACAACTATTCCAAAAATGACGAAAGCCATCTCTCCCATCACAGCCGCTCCGCGACGATGACTTTGAGACATTTCAGTCTGGAAAATAGGCACAGTGGTCGTGTTCATGCCACTCCCAAGGCCTATGGGAACGCTGCGTCAGTAAGCTCCCCATACTTGGAATGGAATTACTTACCAGTGACAATTCGACCCACGATCATGTGGGCGACGCTGAACGCCGAACTCTGCAAAGCTGCTCCAATGATGATCTGGAGGGAGGGTATTAGCGCGAGCGTGGAACAGTTGCGTACGGCGAACATACTAGAACTCCTCCTATTACAATTGATTTCCGTCGGCCGAGGACATCTCCTATGTACATGGTACACAATGAGCCGATCATGCAGCCGATATCGTAGATGGCGACGATAATTCCAAGCAATCCAGGAGTAGGGTGATTGAATGATTTCAAAAATTCCGGGGTGGAGACCAAGCCACCCATGACACCTTGATCATAGCCAAAAAGGAGGAAAGCGGCCGAGCAGCACGATATGACTGCCCAGTCAAGTTGTTTCCCAGTAAGTGGTTGCATCGTTTCTTGCTGTTGGCCGACTGTAATTGGGTAGTCTTCGCAGACAGTTTTTAAAAGAGTGAAGGTGATTGCGATAATGAAAAAGAAATGTCGAGGCGTACCCTTTATAAAGATAATTTCTTGTAAGACAGAGAGTATGTCGACCGTTCAAACACAGTATTGCCCTTCAATCACTCTGTTGTCCCACAATCGTGCATAGTGCGAACTGAAAGTCACAGCCGACCCCTTCCAGCACTTTGAGCTTCGGGTATCTATTATGTGGAGGCAAAATACCCCGGATTCTGATGTTTTAGGCACTCTGCCAGAGGAGACTTGAGCGACGGGCCGGAAAGGGCATGTGTTCCAAACGTGGAGATTGCGGAGAGAGTTGGAGAAGTCCAGAACATCTGGTGGTATCAGAGCCTGAGATTACCCCGAATGTCATGCTCGAACCAGAAAGGGTAAACTTAAGCACCATACCAAATCTACGAAGTGAATATTAGTGTTTCTTCCAGGCTAATCCTTGACAATAACTCAAAGCAATAGGGTGAACTTAGAATCAGAATGGGGCAATAGATGGCTCAGATACGATGCATGTATTCAGATTAGAGGAAACCTTAGTTGGCAAGATTTATGTAGTATAAGTCAATGATGGCATAAATTAACTTGTGGAGACCTGTATAATTATGTACACGTGACTGTGCAGTTTTGGAGTTGGTCAATTCACTGCAGAGAATATATGAGACCAATTCAACAAATCCAACTTTGAAAGAATTATATCTTTTATTTTCTTTTGGTATTGGCATCCATCTACTGTATTATACCTTCATGATCGATCATGAGGGAATTGCTGAGTGGAGTAAAGTTGTTACATCTCCTTCCATGATGCTGATCGTTCCAATGTGGTAAATGTAGGCATTGCTATCTCTTTCTAGATACCGAAGTATATCAGTGACTCGATGGTGCCTATGCTATTCAGCCGAATGAAGGATGAGCTCGTATTGGTACCCCGGTCTGGTGTTGTGAGAAGACTATGGAGAGTTCTGACAAATTTTCTCGGGATTCCTTCGTTCTTCAATCCAAAGTTAATGGAGGTTGAAAAGGTCTTATTGTGCTAAAGAACTATATGACTTGGTTTAGATTTGTGTTATTAAGATCGTACAGAGATTGCATCAACGTTGTCATATATCTGAGCACTGTGGTATCGCATTTGGAGATTGAAGTATTTGATTCAATATATCTCTATCATAGTTCTTGCACCCGATATATGGAAATCAAAACATCTCAGTGCAAACGTGCAAACCCTGTTCTCTCGTTTGTCGGCTGTTATATAGGGCGAACATTGCCATGTAATCCTCAAAACCTCTTACGCATTTCTTTTGCTCCATGTGCGGTCAAATACGACAATCGATCGTTGAGCTGTACAGAAAGTCGGTTGTCAGTAGAAGCCGTTGACCCACCTGAATTGACGACTTACCTGAAGGAACAACATCCATTGCCTTGATCGACACATTCATTGGTTGTTGGAGCATATATACTGCTGATGTAGCAATATTTTCTGCTTCCAAGGGCCTGGTCGATGTTGTTATTAGCTACTGACGCTACATCGCGGCTTATGGAATTAGGGTGTGGTTATCCTTACTTAAACCCCTCGAAAAACTTATCATACTTCTCCTTAACGTGTCCAACACGTAGGGAATGGAAATTCGTTGCAACACATCCGGGGCGGAGTACAAGGACTCGAATATTAGTTTCGCTCAACTCATTCCGTAAGGAATTGGAGAATGCTTCCTGACAAGCTTTGTTTGCGTGGTATACAGCTTCGCCAGGGAACGGTGGAACTTCCAGTCCAGTGATGGAGGTGATGTTAAGAATCGTGCCTGCCTTGTGCGGCATCATAGATCTGTTCAATACTGAGTGAGTTACAAACATCATTCCGTTGATATTAGTGTTGTTCATGGTGGACACATCTGATATCTTCAGGTCAGGAAAGCGCGCCGGAGCCCCCAGTGCTAGGCCGGCCTATTTGCAAAGTTGTCAGCAACTAGTTGATTCAATTGCAAAGCCAACTCACATTATTGATGAGTATGTCCAATGCACCCATATCTTCAATAGCCGATGCCACAGCACTATCAACTGATGCATAGTCTCCAATATCTACTGCTCGATATATCACTTTGCCGCTAGAATTTATGCCCTGCAGCCTTTTGGTGAGCTGCGCAAGCTTGTCCTGTACTCCTTACATTAGACATAGCATAAGCCGAATTTGGTCGAGGCCAGACAAACCTCTGAGCGCGATAAAAGCACAAGACTCGCTCCCTCTTCAGCCAGTTTGTTCGCAATGGATTCCCCTATGCCCATAGAGGCACCCGTCTGCGAAGTCGTCAATTATCATCGTATTCACCTTTACAATGAAACAAAATAACCAGCCGTGACATACCAGGAGCACGACCAAACCCTTAAATGCCATATTCGTCCGATTCAAAAATGAATGAGGAAAGGAAGGTATACCCAAGAGTAGACTAAGTTTGACTTCTAAGCGATGGATGTTATCCGGAGTGTGTGTTCGAGTAGACTACTTTCTTCTCGACAATCGTCCTTTATGTACATGCATGATTATGGATATCTGCTTCTTTAGAGTAATCTGCCATATGAGAGATTACTCAAGCAGTGATCTCATAGTGCAGTATCTTTTGGCAGGCAGTGCCTCTAATTTCTTGTTCGGGACGAGCTCGCCACCTCGCTTGGCCTTGAATTCGTGTCGAGATCAGCTTACAGCATTAACTTCCGGATTAGGTAGTAATCACAGCTTTGTTTGTGCTAAGTGAGAAGATAAATAACTATAAGTAAGGATATAATATTGATAGAATCTACGAAGAAATCTGACTATTTTCACAAGACATCCACTCCAGGCTTGAACCACTCGCATCTACCCCACTTCCGCAATGAATTCGTCGCAAATTAAGCCTTTCAAAGTCGATATCCCCATTGCAGAGGTGGAACGACTAAAACGAAAACTTGAAGACACACGGCTCCCTGGCCGCGAAATTGTCCCAGGCGCCGCTGATCGTTACGGTAGGTAATCCTCATCCACGAACCGTATGAAGGCATTGAGCATCAGAGCTAAACGATGTTCTCCAGGACCAAAGTACGAATGGGCCACCAATCTGTACAATGCATGGACGAAGGACTATGATTGGTATCCAGTACAGGACAAGATAAACGAATTCCCCCACTACCTGGCCGATATTGAGCACATGAAGATTCATTTTCTTCACGCTCGAGCAGAGAACCCAGATGCAATACCTTTGTTGTTGGTTCACGGCTGGCCAGGATCGTTCTGGGAGTTCAGCCAGGTGTGGGGACCCCTGTCTCATCCGGAAAACCCTAATGATCCAGCCTTTCACGTTGTAGTGCCGAGCATGCCGGGATTCTGCTGGTCTTCGTGGCCCCCTCGTGCAGGTTGGACGTTGCAGGATAACGCACGCGTTTTTGATAAGTTGATGAAGGAGCTTGGTTACTCTGAATACATGGTCCAGTGTGGTGATTGGGGACACTTCGTTGGCCGTGAGCTTGGCGCAAAGTACACCGACTCTTGCAAGCTGTTACACTGCAACTTCTCTCCAAGTCCTCTACCACCAGGCGTTGAGTACACTGAGAGAGAGAAGGCAGTAGCTGCAAGAGTTGACGATTGGGTGGAGAATCATATTGGCTATGCTGTCTGTATGCGAACTCGGGTAGGTCCCAAGCTGTAACTCCTACTTTCATGTCGACTACTGATGTGACTTGGGTTTAAGCCCCACACTATAGGAATTGGTCTCAATGATAATCCCATGGGGATCTTGATGTGGGTGGGCGAGAAGTACAACGAAGCTGCTGACCCTGAAAAACAAAAGCTGCCTTTCTGGACTCAAGCAATCCTTACTACAGCCTGCCTCTATTACTTTACTGACTGCATAATGCCGTCAATGCTGTGCTATTATGAAAACGTTCGCCATGAGAACTTTGCAACGTTTGCGATGCAGCCAGAAAACCGGATTCAGGTGCCATTCGGATATACATCTTTCTTTTGGGATACGGAGCCATCATCAAAGAGGGCTGTAGAACGAACAGGAAATCTGGTGTACTACAAAGGTGAGTATTCCTATTTATGGGATATAGAACCTCGGCTTGATTCAATATTGGACGTGAAACTAACTTCACCGAGTAGAACGCAATGATGGTGGACACTTCGCTGCGTTAGAGCATCCAGAGGGATTGACTCAGGATGTGCGAGAACTAGCGAAGCAGGAATGGAAGTTCTAGTGTTTCTGTGATGTTACTGACGGTGATTATATATAGAGCGGACCAATGTTCATCACTTATCTTCCGACGGCCGTATGCACATGAACCTAACAAGATTGAATAGAATAACATAGATCGACATCGTGGATGTGTAGATGTTCATGATTTGCGTGAAACAGTCGAAAGCAATAGCACCTGATCAGACTGAGCCATCACTGAGGAAATACCATCTTAAATATGGGAAATGCCTGGGGTTTAAAACCCCACACTCAACATGTAACATTGACGCTGGATTCGTACCGAGACCCTTTCACGCCAACTTCGTACGCGATGCAAAATCACGATCGGCACCTCACAGACATGTTAAAAAGACCCCATAACAGGACTTACTACGTCACGAAACCCATGTCTCCTAATGCACGTCTATAGCTGTGGTCTTAGTCCTAGTTTTTGCCATAGACCAGCCTGATAATTAAGGTCATGATATATTCGAGCATATATGTATGAGATGCGTCTGTATTTGTATGTTATATACTTATTTTCTATGATGTATAGATAGACGTATGTTGTCCAGAGGGATATAAGAGGAAAGCAACACCCGCCCTACAGTCTACGACTATTCATCTCATTTCGTCACCGCAAGTACAATACAAAATCTTTTAACGACCCGAGATATGTATTTTTTTTCCTTTTCTGTAAAGAGAATAGTAAGTGCTTTATCAGGTGCTTTCGCACGATCCTGAATCTGCGTCATCTTCCTGGGTTTGGGTTAGTCCGAACAGGATCAGACTCCTACAGCGAAAGCATGATTAAAGATGGGATAGCCTGAACATTTGAGTTCATAGAATTGAAGCAATTTTCGAGGAAATGTTTTGATCAAGCTGGAAGGAAACTGGATATAAACCACCACTGGACTGAGCATCCACTTCGACGGTGCTCATTACTTTTCAAGGCTTACGGAGGTTCACGAGAGAACTGTCCGTATAATCACCCTCAAGTGAAAAGTGCAAGATTTTAAGACAAGAAAGACGAAACATGTAGGCAAATCCCCCGAAGAGGTCAGATGCTGAAAATTGCTGTTGGCCTCGCTCGAGGAGACTAATCACATGTACATACGCCAAGTTCTCTTCCGTACAAAATGATGAAATACTATAGCTATAATGAGAAGCTGTAAACCGTAGTTGGATCGGTGCAGGCACACTCTGTCATTTATGAAAGAAGTAGTGAGGATTTTTATACCAAAAATATGCACAGAAGTTTCTATTATCTCAGAAATTACTAGATGGGGTAATAGTGTACAGTTGTCGACCTTCAAGATTGGAAACCGGACTGTAGGGCCAAATAGTCCACGTTGACGAATGGGTTTAGTTATGTCCGAAAGAACAGAGCGACCGGTGTGGCCTGAGCTGGCCAACTATAGATCGCACATAAGCGCATTTGCGTAAAGGGTGTATCATTTAAGGCCCGATGTTTTATTAATAATGATGCACATGTCTGCGTCTCCATGGAGGTATGGAGATTTAAATCCAAGTCCGACAATTGAAAGTGACTGGTGCATTCAGAAGTTGTTTTTTGACGAGCAGGGAACAGACTAAGGATGAAGGGCGGACGCCTTGTTTTAGGGCGCTAGAGGCACTGGTTTTTGGCAAGGCCCCTAAGTTTTGGGGGGGGTAGGCGCCCTTGATTAGGCGGATGGGCGTCCTTGTTGTGGTGTCTTATCTTTTCTCCAGTGCTAGAGTCGCTTCCTCGAAATAGGATACAAAAATGTCAATGTCATTCCAATGTGTCCTTGGCTGCGTATATCATCGGAGATTTTTGATCTAGTAGTTGTAGTTGTCCGACTCCTTGATCGCTCTGGTGTACTCTTTGCCGTTCACTAGTAATCACACTTGTTAACGAAACAGCACACACTGCGGTTTTCTGTACTGTACTGAAGATGAATCTCTACTCCATCTGGCCTCTTCCGCCGCTATGGTAACATAAATGTAATGGAGCTTGACGACCATAGCGAGTAAAGCAATGACGGGTGTCAGGGAGCATGCGAGCAGAGTACCTGACCGGGACTATCGCAGCCGACCGAAGATGTGGTTCCTGTTTACTGTGTAGGGTGTTTGGGGGTTACTGGGTCGACTGATTATAGCGGAGTCCGGCCACCGGCCTTCGTGAAAGTGCGCTATTCGAATCCTACGCGATGTTTAACTAATAATAGTGACAATCTGTTGAGCACAGATACTCCGTACATACAGCAGGAACGAAATAAGGTGACGACAGATTGGCCTGTGGGCCATCTCTCCACAGCTCGGCAGGCAGGGGGGGCGCGGAAGGAAATCCCACCGTACCCCGTGCTTTCTGACCTCTTATTTGCCAAGCCAGTCATCGCGGACAACTAGAAGCTTAAAACACATGCCTTCAATGACGCATTCGGTCATGAATCTCGTGGTCTGTAGTTGCGTCTGCTCGTAAGCCAATGATGCTAGATATTCAATCTAACAAGTTGATGTTAATTATCTGTAAAGAGTAAGTACACAGTACGCGTAGGAGAAATCATTCTGCTATGGCAATTAGATGTCTTCTTTTGAGATGTAATCCGTATGATCTCTGCATTTAATAGACCATTCATTAGGCCTAATATGACGAAGGAAAAGAACTAATATTAGATTAACCAGTGTACTGTGTGAATGTGCCCCCCACACGTACGCGCATCCCCCCGACCCTGGTAGCTGGGGCAGAAGCGAGAAAGAAAAGGAAATCCATCACTAAGTGGTCCACATTGAAACCAAGTGAGGATGTAATGTCTGGCTGTTCTAACGGTTCAATGCTATCAAGCACGCTAAGTTTATAACATATTGACTTAGAAGATTGCTGGTGGCAGGCATAAGGCCAGGGGACTTTCATAAGTTCGCAAAGCCAGAAAATACATCATCTTCACTCTACCTCGATACTGGACGCCTTAGTGATTTCGGATAACCTCGAAAATGGTACGCCTTCGGGCTAAGTATAGCCTACGACTTCTGAATAGCCTTCCCTGGGCCTCATCTTCGAGTGTGACCACTGTTACGACCGTCATTGGCTCGTGCAACTATCTTGAATGTTCGACCGTGATATGTATACACTATTATCAGCCCGAATCTTGAATCTGTTCCCTTGTTTTATCTCAATCTGTACCGCAAGGGATTCCACCATCCTAGCAGGCTCTCTAAGGAAATAGTCATGTTCAAGGCCTTAAAATTTTCTTACTGATTCTCCCTACGTGTGCTTGTCTAACATAGTCACTAGTCTATACTCCGTTTGCTGTCTTTTCTCATCGTGTGGGGTAAGGGAGTCCACCTGAGATGTACGCTTGTCCTCTCATTCATGCCACATTCACTGCTTCAACTCTCTGTACCGTGATGTCTTCTGGCCACAGTTTTCTTGTCTTCCAATGCAGGTGGAATAAGAGGGTAGGTTATGTTTATAAAGCCTGTAATGGCATGCTCTATAGAAGGTAGTCTCTATCCTGATCAGCACAACAACACACCAATAACGCAATCTGCTCCAAATTATTCTTTCATTCACCACCAATACCACAATGGTCAGTCGAAAAGCTGGGTTCCTGGCCATATGCTTCATTCTTTTGAATGTCACCTGCGCCAACCCAGTGGAGCAACGCAATGAAGTTGGTGCCATAGGTACACCTAATGAAGTTAGAGCAATGGGTACGTCTATTGCCTGGAAGATATGTGTGGCAGCATCTAATATTGCACTTAGAAAAGCGAAAAGATGACGATGAATGGATTGACTTTGCGGAAGATGCAAAGAATTACGACAAACTTATCAAGTTTAAACCGTCGCCTCCCATCAAGGGCGCAAAGAAGCCCAAGTCGCCTCCCATCATCAAGGGTGCAAAGACGCCTAAGAGAGAGCTCGTCACGCGCGCCCCCCAACTGTACACCCAAGAAAAACTTAGACTCCTTAAGAAAGTCTGTGACGAACTTGTAAAAAGTTTACAGCCAAAGGACTTTGTCCTCTTTGTTGGTAATAGTGGATCGTATGTACACTATTAGCAAAAGTTTAAGTTTGAGTCCAGAAATTTAAATAGGCTAACTCTACATAGCTATATGAAATACTGCTTCGAACATCCTCGAATGGGAGCAATCCCTATCAGCAAAGCTAGACGATACGAATATCTGGAGCCAGCTGATCGCGAAGACGACCCCGAAAATTATGGTGTTATTCCTGGAGCTAACGATCCAGCAAAACACGCAGTTTTAATGAACTACTACAACAGGTATCTTGGTCCAAAGTTGAAGGGAGTAAAGGACGGTGGGGCTCCGGCCTTTCCGAATGGTTTGGCTGTGGATAGGTTTGTCTTGGTAGATCATTCCAGTTCAGGCAAATCAGTGGATGCTACGAGAATAATTTTATATCACGCCTTCTCGTAAGTTTCTTCATTTAAAGGGCATGTTCGTTGCTAATTATCACTTTTGATCACAGGGCTGCAAAGCCATACTGTCCCGAGATAGTTGCGCAAAAGTACGACGAGAAACCCTTCGTACTGTTTAACGTTATCGACACAAGAAAGACTAGAAAGAATTCGAAGGGGAAGCAAGTCGTTGACACAACAAAGGTTATAAACCCGGTAAACGTACCGGTTATCAAACATTTCTGGGTGGGCAAAAACCACGAAGTGGACCATATGCTTGGCGACGAAGGTCACCATTTCCGCAACCAGGTCGATTACTGGCCTTCTCGCTGGTACAACGGTGTTGGCTACTATTGGGATATAGAAAAAGAAAAGAAACAGCAAGCTGACAGCATTCGAAATCAAATCAAGGAATATGTTAAGAAACACAACAAGGGCAACCTTATGACGCCGTCATCTAAAACGCTCAAGAGTTCTAAGTAGCTGGTGGAATATTGCTATCGAATGCATGCATAAACTGGAGTTAGGAGTCATTGGTTTATTGCTTTTCAGATTATCATAGACTATAGACTAGAAAAGGATGTTTAGATTATCATAGACTGGAGATGGGATAGAAAAGGATGTTTAGATTATGATAGACTAGAGACGGGATAGAACATGGTTACAAATTTATGAGTTCTTCAAATCGAATTACATGAAGTGAACCATGAAGTGAACATTCGCGTCGTCTTTAGCTAATATATACATGCCAATACTGTTGTTTAGTGAGGCAAACTATTTTAAAGAATATAACTACTTACTATCCAAAGCTGTCCATAATCTACATACTGTGCAGCCAAATCTGATCGGCACTGTGGTACTCGATGGTGCTGAGGATTCAGGCACCATCGACACCAATATCTACATGTTCAATCCTCGCCCACTCCGCTCCAAATGCGTTCATTATCTCCATTCCAGAAATTGTTGAGACCTACCATCTCGATACCTACTTGATGTTATTCCTGTGAAATCCTTTCCTCCGGCCGGCGCAAATATTTCGCTCGTACGTAAGACGTAGTCAGCTAAAGTGATACAATCAAGCCTTGAACCAACGCCCAAAGAACTCATGGCAATCTTGAGCCATACTTTCAGGACATTCAAGGGCGGCAAAGTGGCCGCCATTGTCGAACTCTACTTGCAGGTTCAGTTACGTTCCTTTGGGGATAATTACAATCACGTACCTCTATACTGAACCATATTGCCCGTTTCTTTGACTGTTCTTTCCGTTCCCGGGCGAGTATCGTAGAGGAACGAGGAGTAAGCGAAGGGAACGTCGATCCTGTTCTCAGGTCTAGTGAAATAAGACCCGAACTCGGCGTGCTTGACGTTCTCATAGTAAGGTAGCATAGAGGTCATGATGCAGTCCGTGAAGTAGTACAGAGAGCTTTGGATAAGTATCGCCTGGTCCCATTCGGGATCAGTCGCCTTCTGGGGAGCTGCAGCTTCGTAGTACTTCTCTCCCACCCAGCTCATGATTCCTACTGGATTATCGATGAGCGCGACGCCGATGGTATGAGGCCTCGTTCGCATACAGACAGCATAGCCCAAGTGATCATCCAACCAATCATCGTAGCGCTTCTTCACCAATTTCTCACGCGGGCTCAACTCGTTATCTGGAGTGTGAAGAGGTACAGGGCAAAAGTTCAGATGTACAGCCTTACAAGCCGGGTACTGAGCACCCAGTTCTCTGGCTACAAATGAGCCCCAGTCGCCCGCCTGTACACCATAGCTCAAGTACCCAAGACCGAGCATCAGGTTGTTGAAAACTCGTGCATTGTCTTTTAGTGTCCAGCCACGACGTGGCGGTGCGGAAGACCAGCAAAATCCCGGCAGACTCGGAACCACAACGTGAAAAGCTTGTACATTGGCATCTTTTGGTTCACTCAGAAGATCAATAACTCTGTCAAATTCGTAGAATGAGCCTGGCCACCCGTGAACGAGTAAGAGGGGTATAGCGTTCGGCCTGGACGAGCGAACATGGACGAAGTGCAGCTTCAAATTATGCTCTTCATCCTTTATGTTCCCCAGGAAATGCTCATGGCGATTCAGATGTTGTTGTACAGATTCCCAGTCGAAGTCCACAGTCCAAGTCTGGTGCAAACGCTGGAACCATTCAATCGGAGGGCCTACGGAGCAACCGCCCAAGTTAATGTTGTGACTGCGCAAGTAAAGGCATGGGAAGTCTAACCATAGTCCTCTCCTGCTTCAGGAACAATCGGGTTGGATGGTAGGCGTGTGTTTCGGACCTTCTCTTTGAGGCGCTTGATTTCGTGAGAAGGCACGTCAACCTTGAATCGTTCCGTCTTCAGGCTCAGAGCCATATTCGGGAGACTCTTTCGTGTCCGATATTATCTCATGTGCATAAGGCACTATCTCGCACAGTTGGATATGCAAGCACAATACTGACGTTGACTGAAGAACATATGATTCTCCGTGGTGTTGTTGAGGCCAGTGTCGGAGCTAACCCAACGACTCGAGATTCGAGACTCGGCTGCGCTAGATTAGTGTCGTGAAGTTCGGCTCGAGGTAATGTACAATGACGCCAGTTTAAGTGTAGCGAGGAATGATAATGCGGGGATCTCATCGATTTTCGTTACGAGTTGTTAGAACCAATTTTCATACGAGTAATTTCAGATCTACCCAGATCTCTTGGAGCAATACTAGTATCATGATCCTAGACTCGGACACAATGTTTTTTTAGGTTAGATCATGATCAAACACACAAGACGTAACATATGGCTACTGTAGTACAAAAGCTGATGCAGTGCTAGGATAGTGATATACATTCCTTGTCGAACCCAATGTAGCACTTCAGGTATTGTAACTTCCTCGAAATCCCTCCTCAGTCATTCAATTCTCAGGTTCTCTATCATTTTCAAAGGTGGTTCATCAACGATCGCAATAATCTAGAATCTAGGGTTCCTTATTGGTGACTTGGGGAAATATGCATATAACTCAGTGGGGTTGGTCTATTAGCCTGCCTCCAGACGCCAGGGTATGCTAAAGCTATCCGCCAATCCGGAAACATAACGAAGTGCATTATTCACAGATACAAAAGCCAGCATTTCAAGATCGTAGCCGAGATTTACCTACACCGTAATCGCGCTCAGCAATGCTCTTATCTAGTATTCTGTCTTTGTGTCTTAAGGTTTAGGGATAAGGTCCTTCATTCACTACTTCTCAGCTGCATCAACGTAGAATTTTCTGAGAATTTTCACATAATGGTTGCTTCCGTCCAGTCCCAGAGCCGCCTGGGTTTTGCTGGATTAGGGTCCATGGGCCATGGCATGGCTATGAACCTCCTCTCGGCTGGATTTCATGTGACAGGATTCGATCCAAGCTTGACTGCCAGAGAGAGATTCATTCGAGAAGGAGGTACAGTGGCCACAACTGTAGCTACACTTTGTAAAGGTAAACTCGACGATGGGTGCATCAAATAATCCAAAGCTAATGCAACAAATCCAGACATTGAGGCATGCATGGTAATGGTGGCAAATCCAAGCCAGGCTGATGGATTGTTATTTGACCCCGACGGCATATGTGACACGATTCCAAGGTCGAGCTTACTTTGTATCTTTTCGACCTTGCCACCTTCTTATTTACAGCAATTACCTCAGCGTCTGGCTGCTGTCGGAAGATCTGATATTCGTTTACTTGATTGTCCTGTGTCTGGTGGCGTTATTGGGGCCACTAATGGAGCTTTAACAGTGAGTATGCCCACCCCCCCAAAAGTCCAATTACTAACAATACAGATAATCGTAGGTGGGAGCCAGGATACATTAGCCAGTTGCCAACATGTATTGGAGGCTGTTTCGGCGCCTCAGCGAATATTCCATTGTGGCGATCTCGGAATGGGGAGCATGATGAAAATGTTAGTTAATCCAGGAGCACTTCAAGCTGTTCTAACTGCAATTTTTAGGTTGAATCAGCATCTTGCTGGAGTTCACATAGTTGCTGCCGCTGAAATGTTATCCTTTGCGAAGGTAATGGGGTTGGATGCGCGGGAGACATATCACCAGATCTTAGACAGCCAAGCTTCTTCTTGGATCTTCAAAGATCGTGGGTTGCATATGCTAGATCGAGATTGGCCACCAGCATCAGCAGTAGACATATTTGTCAAAGATATGGTTTGTTGAATATGTCTCCTGATTCTGCTGCTCAATTGTTAATCATTATGCAGGGAATTGTGTGCGACTGGGCCGATAAAACTTCGGTTCCTTGCCCGATCGCTTCACAAGCACTTCTATGTTTCACAGAATGCAAGGCAAGAGGGCACGGGAGAAAGGACGACGCATATGTTATTACCATTTACGAAAATATTATAGGAACACAAATTACGGCCAGCAATGGGACCTTAGCACCGGGCCGCAATGGCAAGAACTCTTTAGGCCTTCCGAACGCGCAACTGGATGATGTGATCAAATATGGCACACTGGTTCATCTTGCCGCCACAGCCGAATGCTGTCGCCTCGCGGAAACCGTTGGCTTATCGCCCGAGGTTGTATACGACTTGATCTCAGGGGCTGCAGGTTCAAGTGCTCAGTTCCAAGACCATTTTCCGAGCATGGCAGAACGGGCGTTTACTTCCGACACGGGCGCGGTGGACAACAGCCCGTCAGGATTTGACGAATTCAAGTCACACATGGTGTGTTACAGAGTCTCATTTTACCAGAATAAGCACTGATGTCTTACTGAACAGACGCGAATCAATCGGCTAATGACATCGTTCAACCTGCCTGGACGACTTTTCGATGCCGCGTATCAGATTTTAAAAGGTGCTCACTCTAGAAGGAGAAGTGGAGAAACATCAGTGGCTGCTATTATGCGTTTCTGGACATAATTCATGGTTACACACAGTAAGGATGAGCACAGGAACAAATGTACTCCTTACATGACTTTATCCAGCCCACAGACTTCGAAGGATGTTCGCTATACAAACCGTTCGTCGCCCTGACTGACTCTGGCAGTCTTCAATAAGATACAAAATATGCTCCCTTTCATATTGACCATCTGTGACTAAGCCTGCAACATACAAGCACTGAGTTGAAAGGAGGCTCCAGGCTTCCCCTATTCCAGAGTCGGCGGCAGCAACAACCTGCTGACGGTGATGTTCGATCTGGCGACGAACATTCAGCGTATGCAGGTTACTGATCCCAATTGTTGGCACTAAGGAAGGAGGCTCGTGTAACGCGAGCAATATATGTGATGCATGATACATTTGATGTGCAATAGCTGTCTGTATTAGCCAAAGACTCTCTGACGATGAATGCGAAGTCATCTTACCACTTTGCGGATACATAAATTGAAGCGCTGAATACGGATGTTCTAAAGAGTCTCTGCCATTGGCATTGGAACCCGAGGTGTTGGATAAGGGCATCGTTTTCAAGGGCCGTTTTTCATTCCAGCTCTCTAGCTCTTGTTTGAGGTTAGTACGCCAGAGTTCTCTACGTTCAATCTCGTATGCGTCAGTCAATGGATCTGTGTGGCAGTGATTTATGCATTGCCCAAAGATGAAAAGCACACGATTCGCAATGCCCTCAACTGAAAGATGCTCAAAGCTGTCAATGAGATCCGGACGCCAGTACATCTCATCTAAGGCGACTCGTTGGGGGGTGTGCAGAGCCGCCCACACCTCGTGTCGATACCAAGTCCAATATGCTCCACCTGCTATTCCTTTCAAGCCCCCGTTGATGTTCTGAGCCCGTAAGAGAGATGTGATACCTCCCAGGTGTGATCCGAAACTTTCACCGATTACATCCAACATCTCGTAACTATGAACGTCAGTAAGTGTAATCATCATCTGAAGCACGTGCGTGTACGAACGTAGAGAGCAAGATGCTAGATGCAAGCACTTCTTCACTCTTCGCGGATGTCGGGTTATCTAACATGTCATTCATCCCTTGCAAAGCCAGACGGTAATAATGCAACACCACACTACTTCCGCAAATATCGCGTCGATAGCCAACGAGCATCATTTGCTTCGCCGATACCGCCAAGCAAGCATCAAGCAGGGCTGGACAAGTGAGGGCCATACTCGGTACTAGCAAATGGAATGGGCGGTCATCAGAGAACGAGTCGACCTGTCACAATATTAGAATCGCCAGAAATCAACCATTGCCAATTAGGTTTTACCTACCCAATGCGATAATCGTTGCACATAATTGAAGAATATGATGTTGGCAGTCTTGTCTAGTGAGATGGGCTTGTCAACTCGAAATCCACCAATGCTGTGGCTAGTCCCGGGATCTGGCAGAGATGATGATCTAAGGCCAGGCAACACTGCGGCAAGTGAGCTATGTCGTGGTGATATCTGGTGCAAAGTGCCATCTTCTGGATCGAAACTAGGTGCGGGGATGACAAGAGATTCTCTCGCGATGGGGGTATCCTGTTCCTCTAAATTAGAGGCTTCGACTTCAGCATTTCGAGCTTCTCCGCCGGACGCTTCGACATGGCTATCCCGTGGGACAGTTTCACTGGCCGTGATTGACAGGTCTGGGTTATTGGAAACAGGAACAGGGGTTATGACTGAAGTATTGCTAGGTGTGAGGCTGACTTCGTCATTTGAAAGTACTGGCGGATCCCTGTTTGCGGGCCGCAGGTCATGCATTGGTGAATCACTGGTATCCGTGATGGTGCTTGGATGCTGGATTGTTGTGCGAGCCTCGCTAGGCTCACGACTCTCTATGGCGTTATCATACCGACATACTCGGTTCTTTTTTCCACAGTTCCGGCAAGTCGGTTTACTCTCGTCGCATTTGACATGTCGTCGACGACATGTTTGGCTACCGACATCTTAGCCCTCGCATCATTTTGTTGAACTTTTATCAAAAACATCGCTCAATACTCACCAACCTGTGGTCACTCTGAGGCGAAGTCTTTGGGATGAGGTTCGTGGTGTTGAAGACATTTGATGAAATTGGATGTGTAGGGAATGTCTCGTGTCGAGTTTTGGAGATGAATGTCGTCAGGCGAAGTCTCCGCACCGGGTCACGTGCGCTAGTAACCAAATCATATCTTAACTTCATACCATGCAAATCTTCGAATATATAATGGAATCGGCCCCAGTGAAGGCGGGTATCCTATGACCACTGCAACCAATCGCATTGTGATTGGACTTCATGACCACCGTTGAGATCCTTGACGACAAAGAAAATAAATATCCGTAGAAAAGACACAAATGTCATAATGCATCACGTATGCTGTGTCCTTATATTGTTTGAATGGTAAGGCCTAACGAAATACATTGCTTCTCAGTTTATAATAGTCATTAAACATTCATACCAGAAATATGATAGATGCCTGAGTAGTGTTGCGTATCATAGGGGTGTCTAGTCTTGCTCAACGTCTATGGATCAATATTTTGCAAATTAATTGGGTGAGAAGATTGACGGATGGTGTATGAATATGACCGATACATATAATTATCTCACATTGCTAAAATGTACATTATCATTCTGATCTAATCATCTACAATTTCGCGTTCCAAGCTGCACGGTCAGCAGACTCCAGAGGCTGCTTGCGACCATCCCAGAAGAGCGGACACAATTGGAACCATTTCTCTCGACTGGCAATCGAATGAACGGACCTCTTGTGGCCGAAGTCGACATACTTTCCAATTGTGAGGCCTTGGGAATTTTCGTAGGAAAGGATGGTTGAGCCTGTGGCCTTCGGCTCTCCGACAGCGTTGTCAGTTCGTGGGTCATCCAGGAAGACGTAGTGGATGCAGCTCGAGTACCACGCATTGACACGTTTCGAGCCGCGGAATGAAGCATCTCCAACGAGAGAGTGGCGTCCTCGGTCGTAGTCTCCTGCGTCATAATGTGCTCCATAGTGGTCCTCCTGTAAAGATGTTAGCACTCTTATTTCGGTCCGTAGAGGAAACATTTTCATTTGCACGTACCTTTGCCCAGTAAAGCTCGAAGTAAGCAAAGCGCGCGTCATTGAATCTTCCGAACAAGCAAAGAACATGCGGGTCGACGTGCAATTTACGTAAGTATTCACGGTGCTGGTCAAGAGTTCCGGTCTCGTTCCATCCCTGTGCAACACGAGGGTCATTCTGCCATGTGTTGAAAAGCTGCAGATGCTCCTGGTTCTGCCAATCGACAACTTCTAGCGAGAAGTGCTCATCTAGCTCTGGAATATAGCGACTGTAGGCAATCGATCCGGGATGAGGCTTGGGCCGGCGTACAGGGTGCCGAGTGTAGACAGGCTCGTCTGGGAATTTATTCGTAAATTGGTAATTCTGTGGCATGATTGGGTACTGAGCCAACGAATCCCGCAAGGGACCATCCGTGCCATCTCCTACCACCCATACTGGTCGAGGTCCAAATGGAGACGCAGCTCCTTGCCAGAAAGAACTTCGGAGAATCAATAACTCGTCAGTTGGCGCACTGGTCACTTGTGCAGTGCGTGATGGCTTGGGGTGTTGGACAGCCAGGCCAGTGACCAGAAGCTCATTGCGAATGACATCGCTATCCGAACCATGCAGGGTGAGCCTAAAATACTCATTCGTTGGCTGTGCGAGATATATGGCATGAACGACGTTCCAAATTTGGCCTAGCGAAGGTGATTTGCTTCCAGACCATTGGAATGATGTCTTAGGACTTCTGCGTGCTCGTGCCCATGCACTGTTGTCTGAAATTGGTGGATGTTCGGCCTTTGGACTGAATGTTAATTCGAGCCAGGATAACGAATCGTGATGCAGCGCCTGAGGAAGCGGCTTCGAAATGGAGGGTTGGCTATCGAAAACCAAAGAAAGCGTGGAAGGCGTTCCGTCTTTTACAGTACGGACTTGGTACGAGGCCAAAAACGGGTGAGGTAATTTGACAGGAGGGTATTTCGACTGTCCGTTATTCGAGGCCATGATGAATGTGATCAATTTTAGTCACACTGTCTGGGAGTGTTTTGGGCGAGATCGAGGCTCGGCGTGATGCTCTATTGAGGATGACGCTCCTATGGAAAGAGAGTGGTGGAAGACTTACGAGATTGGCGCAGGTGGAGGTACTTGTAGGGAAAACTTTTGGACCTTGACACGGCACATTGCACACGCCATTGATGCTCTGGAGCGTGCTTCCGCCTTTCAAGGATCTGCATACGTGCATGTGTCCACTGTAATTTATTGTGGGAGCATGAGTTCAGACCGATGCAGCACTTCGCACGAAACTTGAGTTATAGTACGCGGGGCTGTTTCGGACGATGTCGCGATTAGTTGAATCCGCGTCATGGGTAGAGAGTTTCCGCTTCGAAACGCCTAATGCGGACGAACGTATTGCATCTTGCCTGGCGAACAGCTGCTAGTGCTATTAATGCTGGAGACATGGCTGAACAAAGCAAATCCACCCTCGACCGGTCAGGGAAGTATATAAAACTACCTAGGCGAGCTGCAATATCTGTAGTCAGTTACGAAATACTACCGAAACAGTTCATCGACGGACCACTTTCTCTTATTCACCTCCCTGGCCCTACCTATGTCTCTCAGAACGAGGCCGCTTGATTTCAAACATTTCCAGGTGTCATTTCCTGGAGAACGGATTGTGCAGGTAACGTTGAATCGGACAGACAAATTAAACTGCGTCAACAAGGCCACAAGCAAGGAGATTCAAGAGATATGGGAGCTATTCGACCAGGACGATAGCCTATGGGTTGGCATCATCACGGGCAATGGACGAGCATTTTGCACGGGAGCCGATCTCGAAGGTACGTTATTTGCCCAAGTTCTGATTCCCCTGTTGAGAGTAGATTCCATACGATGATGAAGTAGTGGTTGAAACTGGACTCAACTAATCGAAGGACACAGAATGGAATCAGATGAATCGGGATGGGGTTGTCAACGACATGTCAGCGCCAGGACTTGCTGGGCTACCTCGACGGGAGGGCAGAAAACCTATTATTGCAGCGGTCAACGGAATATGCATGGGAGGAGGGTTTGAGATGGTTGCGAATTGCGATATCGTTGTAGCTTCGTCAACGGCTGTCTTCTCTCTGCCAGAGGTGAAGCGAGGAATAGTGCCCGTGGCGGGTTGCCTTCCGCGACTCACCCGCACTCTGGGTCTACAGCGCACCTCGGACCTCGTACTGACGGGCAGAACCGTAAACGCCCAGACGCTGAGTGATTGGGGTCTCATCACCCGCATCGTGGATCCAGCAGAGAAGAGCGTTGCCGTCGCAGCACTTGAGGTCGCCCAGGAAATGTGCAATAATAGCCCGGACGCGCTGCTGGTGGGACGGCTGGGCATCCGTCAGACTTGGGAAGCCGGCAGTGTAGAGGACGCCGTGAGCGAGCTGGCTCGTGACTGGTATCCTCGCCTGGTGAAGGGTGCCAATTTCCAGGAGGGAATCCAGGCATTTGTAGAAAAACGCCGGCCCAACTGGACCAACCCAAAGTTGTAGTATATTTTATCCTCTGGAGGAATGTGGAGGAATCGTGGTAAATAGCACGATGATAATAAGCCATGCACATATACGGAGTACCCAGATGTGCAACAGTCGAACGATTCATCAGTTGAATAAGTTTAACCCCTTATAGATAGAATAGGGAGGTATACTCCGCACTTGGAGCCGAGATTTTCTTTTTCATTTGCTTTAGATCTTTCCAAAGGCATTCCTTCAAAGGCGTGAGAAGAGCTGTTCAATGCTAACATTGATGGTCGCCCACCACCAGCTTATGTCCATGCTCCTTGAGCTCATACTGACAAGGTACGAGCAGACAGATAGCCTGCACTACTGAAGAAAATTTGCGCTGGCCGAGGCAAATCTAATCTGATGCCATCTCCGAGGTCGATAGAGAGGTATCGCATCCGCGCGTAATGAAAGGACACTCTGCGATTGGTAGACAGCTGCTGTGAGGCCCACATGCCACCTGGTCTAATGCAGCTAATCATGCAGCTAGCCTGGGTGGATGCACGCTAAGATTTCTACCCCATTCCCATCTTATCAGATCGTCTGGGGCCTTTTGCCAGCAACATGCGTCATTTACTCTGCCAGCTACGTATGTGTTAGAAGACTGAATCGACCGATGTCGGTCAGATGATAATTAAATAAACCACCAGCCGTGGCCAGCTTGTTCATTCGTCAATCGATTAATGCTTGCTACGGGACATTGTCTCCTCGGAATCATTCCCTGCCCGCCTCACTCATACAAGCTATCGTTATCTGATCCTGGCCTTTTTGTATAGCTACTCATACCTGTCTACTTACTTATACTTCTTTGGCCACTATACTTTTGAGTATGAACCTCTTAACTATGGGACTTGATACTATCACGTGATCTTCGACATTCACCTACTCTGACGTTACTTGATTGACATGCTTTTCGATTAGATTAGCATGGTAACTACGAAGTACATCATCTTTGGAGCACCAACAGAAACACTTCCGAGGTTCTTACCAGTCTCATATCAATATCCAAGGAACTACGTCTTACACCCTTTCATAGGAGAGCACAACCCAACACAACACCCGCAGCGGAACCTACTTACGTACTAATACCACGTTATAAAGCAAAATCTGGACTTCGAAAACATACCCTTGTTGTATTGACATTGTCCTCTCTAGATATATCAATCACTGCACAGCGTATCCGCACAGCAGCGGCTAAACTACATCAAAGGTCACAGGAAAATTAGTTGAACCGCGTGTTCTAGTGGCAAACGGATCAAAATTACCGTTGGTACTCTCAATAAGAGCATCGGCATGTCACGCCTGGGTTCTACTGATTTCCTCTAAGTAGAAGGGCTTGGGAGTAGGACGGTGGTATTTCAATTCATCACCAATGATTGGCCCACATCTACTTGACTTCTGAGTGAGTCAAACAGGAGGAAGGGACGTGGGGAGGGAGACTGGAGATCAAAGTCGTGGTCATAATGCTTGCAAGTGTGTAGCTTAAGAGTGTTAATGATTGACATGTTGTCGTCATTGACATCTCACAGTTTCTGTACAGATTAGTGATGCCCACGACGTGCCTTATCGCTTTGGCTTTTGATTAAGGAATAAACATGATAGCAGAAACAGCGGTTAACACAGTGCCTTACAGATTTGATGTGTGTGAAAGATTCTTCTATTTGACTTCATTCAGTGTGCCCGAACATGAGTCTATATATCTGCTGATGTATACCTTAAAATACTGCAAGATATATATGCAATCGACATAATTGCTGAATCCCGATTGTCAAACTTTTGATGGTCTTGAAAATCATTGACCATTGATAGGCCATTGGGCGTTTCGTTCATGAATCTGACCATTTGGTCTCCTCAGACCCTTCGACCTCACAATGTTCCCCCAGCTGGACATGATACCACCACAATGTCGCCAGCCCTATACCCCAAACCTGCATCCGTGATCTAAGAACCTTGATCTTCAAGCATTCCACATCTACGACGAAGGCACCTCATCGATCCAAGGAATCGAAGACTGCGCGCCCTTTTTCTGCACCGTGAGCGACGCCGCACGATTCGCCAACGCAATCGCCTCATCGAGGTCGAAGTTCGACGTAGCGCCGCTGGCCTTCCACCTCGCCACGGCGACAGAGTACGCTCCGACGAAGGTATCTCCCGCGGCGGTCGTATCCACGACCTGGACCTTCCTCGCGGGCACGAGGCGGCCGGCCTGGGACTGTGCGCTCCTGTCGCTGGTCTGGTAATACACGCCCTGATGATGTTCGTTAGCGTTTAACTTGCCAATGACTTCCAGTGGATGAAGCAAGGGGATACTTACGTCTCCACCGAGAGTGATGATGATGTTCTTGACGCCCCGCTTGACGAAGATGGCCGAGACCTCGTCCCAATCAGTGGGGTTCTCGATGCCAGAAAGGATGGCGGCCTCCGTCTCGTTGACGATCAAGTGGCCTAGTCCCTGGTATGCTTCCTCTGGCAGCGGGATAGCCGGCGCAGGGTTGATGATCGTCTCGACGCCCTTGTCACGTGCTGCTTTCATATTATGAAGCACCTACAATTCGTTCGTCAATATCAACTCCAATTTCCAAGTCATGCAAACGAAAAAGCATCGGGCAAACAAACGTACCACCTTCAGCGGCAGCTCCAGCTGAAACAACGCCACATGCTCATCCCCCTCGACGAGATCCTTCTCTTGGACCTCATAGTTCGCACCAGGGCAAAACATAATCCTATTCTGCCCGCTCCCCGTCTCGACCACGATGACCGCCACCCCCGTCTTCTTCCCCTCCAACACCTCGATCCGATCCGTCACCAACCCGTCCTTCCGCAGGCTCTTCAGGAACCCACCCGCAAACTCGTCGTCGCCCACCGCCCCCACTATCCGCACCTCGACGTCCGACGGCGACGAGGATGCGGCTTGGGATGCTGTGCGCGAGAGCCGCGCGCACGCGACCGCCTGGTTCGCGCCCTTGCCGCCGAACCCGATGTCGAAGGATTCGGTCGTGAGGGTCTCGCCGGCCACGGGCACGCGAGACGTGCGCGTCACGAGGTCGACGTTGAGGGAGCCGACGACGGATATGATGGCGCTTTTGTTCTGGGTGGTGGCCATTATTTGGATTTCTAGCTCTTGACTTTTTGTTTCCTTGCTCTTTCTGGTTGTCTTTCTTAGACTTGAGGGGGTGAATGGCCGCGGAAGATGGAGGATTTGTTTATTATTTATTTACGTTGTGGGAGTTTTCGTGTTTTTAAGTAACAAGAAGAAGAAGAAAAAATAGTTTAAGTGGTGGCATGAGTAAGTTTAGCACGCGTTACGGTGGTATTTCATGGCATTATGATGGAGAAGAGAGCAGCACGCTAAACTACTCCAGGGGTCTCGAACGTGGGCGGCGATGGGATCTACCGATGAATGTGGAGTAACGGTCTCGTATACGAATATGGACATTCGTTCTTAATGTCTGCTGCACTTGAAGATGCATTCTAGCTACAAAAGTCTTATTTCTGAAGTACATACAGTTCCATGTACGAATGCCTCTCATCGGCAAGGCATACAGTCATTCATTGGCTCCTCGTAGCTTGCTGAATACTGCGGGGTAACCCCCCATATCAACAAATACATCATATCTCCAATCCACATACAAAAAATCCATCTTCCCAATTACACACTACAATGAAGCCAAACCCAACACAATGACATCCTCACCCAACCCCCCAATCCTCCACATATCATGCCACTGCACCCTTACAACCCACACCCTCCCCCTCCCTCCCACCCTCCTCCCCCTCAAAACCTCCCTCTGCAACTGCAACATCTCCCGCCGCATCTCGGGATCCCTCCTAACATCCTACATCGACCTCACCCCTCCCCCTCCCCACAACCAAGACGTCCATGTTTCTAAACCAGACGTCTCAGCCCTAACGCCCTACCGCAGCTCCTCCATCCTGACGCGCTGGTTCTGCGGCACGTGCGGCACGCACATGTTTCTGGAGTACGACTTCGACGGGCACTTTGAAGCTGCGACGGGGGCGGTGAGGGTGGAAGGAAGGGAGGGTACGGATGGCGTTGTGAGGGTGGAGGCCGTGATGTGGATTGGCGACACGGTAGACGGGGGCGCGGGGAGGTTTATCAAGAGTGTTGATGGGAGGGTTTTGCGGCGGTTTTTGGAAGGATCCACGGACGAGGAGGGTGGTGGTGATGTACCGCCGGATTGGACGTCGTCTTCACGGCGCCAGGAGGTGCCCGAGGGGAAGGGGGAGGAAGCAGTGCACGCGAGGTGTCACTGCGGGGGCGTGGAGTTCTGGGTCACGCCTCCGAATGCAGCGTCCCGTGAAGCGCGGTCCCCGTATCCGGATCTCCTGGTTCCGTACAATTCGAGGAAGAGCGCGGAGAATCCGGGGAATGAGGCGTGGTGGTTGCCGGGGGAGGGGAGGTATCTGGCGGGTACGTGTGCGTGCGAGTCGTGTCGACGGGTGTCGGGGTTTGATGTCACGTTCTGGGCGTTCGTGCCGACGTGTAATATCTTTCAGGATGAGGCGTGCACTGTGCCGTTTACGAGACGGCCGTATTGGGGGAGTATGAAGGTGTATGAGAGCTCCAAGGGGGTGACGAGGACGTTTTGTGGGACCTGCGGGGCGAATGTGTTTTGGGACGGGGAGGGGAGAGATGGGCTTGTGGATGTTGCTGTTGGACTGCTGGATGCGAAGAGTGGCGCGAGGGCGGAGGAGATATTGTCTTGGTGTACTGAGCGAGTGAGCTTCGCTGAGGAGGCGTTGAATAAGGGTTTGATAAGGGGTTTGCAGGAAGGTCTACAGAGTTGGGGTAGTCGACATGATGAAGGATAATGTGATCACCGTCTTTTCCTGGTCCTGGCTGTCTCATGATGGTCAGAAGTAGCATGTTGGAAGTGTTCACCTATGAATGCAGTCAGCAGAAAATTGCAAAAGTCGATCCAAATGTCCTTGTGTCATGTTCATGTAGGCTTTGTAGTTCGCTACAAGTCATCTGTTCCAGGCTCTACCTGAGGATCTTGAATGCAGAATAGGTTGTTTTGACGCAGTTCTGTATGTGAGAGGTGGTAATTCCGGATTTAATCATAGAGCAAGATCAAGTCTTATCGTCGCCGAAATGTTACGTTATTCAAAATAGACGCCTTGTCCAATTGATTGGCGAACCGCCCGCGGAGATGAGGCTATCAAAGAGTGATACACGTCTTATCGAATGCATGAATTGCGCTGTTGTATACCCTATTTTGACGCCTAAACCAAGACAATGCGATGTTACAGTATCATACGCTCTCAACCCCCTGGAAGCGTTCTGCACAACCCCGTGATTGTTCCGCTTTTCGGTCGCTCGTACATCGATTTTCTTCTCACATCCGCCAACATCGGCGAGTGCTTCAAACGTAACCTGTAAGTGTCAGCCACCATGAAACGTGCCATGCATACTCGCAAGATCATACCTTTCCGTGCGCCCTGGAAGAAGAACCTGACAATGAAGACCTGCAGACCCGCCATCGTGATCATCAGACCGACCTCCATGAGACTGAAGTTGAATATCCTCTTCTCGGTGCTCCTGACGGTGCTGAAGTTTCGGTTTTCGCGCGTGCGGAAGTACTTCTGGTTTCGCGAGATGGTGGAGAGCTGGGCGGAGAGCTTGAGGATGGATTCTTCGAGCACGGAGGTCTGCTCAGGGGAGGAGCCTTGCTTGGAGGGGAGGTGGGCATTTCGGGACTCGTTTTCGACCTAGGAAATCATCGATGTTAGCAGGGGTACTTTGATAGGAGGTGTTGCGGGCGAGAATAGGAGGATTGCGAATGCGGGTTTGTGCTCGCGTGTAGTGGGGATAGCGTACAGCAATCTCGAAGTCAACCGTCTTCTCGGCGAATGTGCTCATCTCATTGTTGAAGCAGAATCGATATTCTCCAACATCGTTGGCCGTGAAGACGAAATCTCCCTGCCTCTCCTTGGTGCCATCCAATATAATCTTCTCGTTGGGGCCGGCAACCGAGTAGTCCACATCGAAAGAACCGCCAGATTGGACCTGTGAAGCACCATGAATTAGTCTAGGGACAATTTCCGTACGAATTGAAGGAAGCTGAAGCTAATTGAGATATAGCAACATCCGGAGAGAAAAAGAAGCAGCGTGCTTGAGCACTTGCGCCGTCATACCGCGAAGTAGAAAGCAATCTTGGTCCCCTTGTGCTCAGTAGTCGCGAAGAAGCATGCTCGTTCGTGCGCCTCCAGTCGGTACGTGAGAGCTGTAGCATGCACTGCTGAGGCAAAGAAGCCTAGGAAGCTTAATAAAGCGAGAAAGGTCTTCATGTTGGTGATCGTGGATTATCTGCGAGGCGGGCGATTCGGGTTCGAGCGTTCTGGCTCTCAAGATGTTACGTGGAGTTAAGTTTGGCCGCATCTCTTGGCATAACATCCAATCACAGGCAAGCGCGGGGATCTCAGGAACTCCGACCTCTGCGCTGACCTCCAACATTCCAAAGAATGGCAATATGTATCCTCATGAATAATAGGTAGAAATGCAGTTTTTATATGTTACACAAAACCGTATCTTTTCGACTGAACAGTCTCCCCAAGCTTTCATGATTGCTATCGTGCATCTAGCCAACGGTTTCCCAACAACAACAGCGAGAGCAGCAATGACAATTGCCGCATTGAATCACTACCGCCCCCCAAACTCTCGAACTCGCATGCCTATGTGGAACTTAATACCCATTGATGTGATGTGATGTGATGTGCCGCGCCGAGTCTAGAATGCTCAATGACACGCCGAGCTCCGAATGAATCGCTTTGCCATGTGTGCCAACCTTACGCCTAAAGCAGATACGCACTAGAAACATCAAACGACGGTCTAGCTACTTGGTGGGATCATAGTGGATGAGATACATCATAATGAGGAATAATGGTTTTCGATATTCGCTAGGACTCTCATCGTATGAAGATGGAATCCGTCTTGCCCCAGAAGCTCTTGGCCTTGTTGACGTGGTCCATGGCAAGGGCGACATCGTCACGAGTACCCACCATATCCCACAGGATATCCTCTGCGACCAGGTCAGCACTGGAAAACGTAAGAGAGCATCTTGACGACTTACCATCTTCGAGAGGCTCAGGTTTTGAAAAATGTGGCTTGCCCGTGACCATGAATTTGATCTTCTCGAAATTCTTTCCTTTGATCTTGGTAAAATCCGAGAGTCGCTGTTTCGTTTCGCTGAAGAGTTCTCCCTACAGGTCGTTAGTGGTTGATGCAAGGAACAAACTGCCCTTGAAGTTTACGTACTTCCTTCAAAGGAAACTGGAAAGGAACTCCGTGAACTTTGGTGATTTCTTTGTCGAAATGGAAGACGCTAATCTTCTTCGCCGCCTGGTCGTCAGGGAAAGCGGCGGCGTAAATTGTAAGATAGTCGCCAATGCCCATGATCTGGAAGTCAGGAGAGAGGGCTTTGTAGAATTTGCTCGCATGCGCCTCATAAATGCGCACACGACTAGCGACCTCTTCACTAAGATTGGCCTTCTTGACAAGTGCTTCTATCAAATCCGAAACGTGAGCTGCGCGAGGGATCATCAACGTATATTCCTCCTGCGTCAAGATTAGTGACTTGTATGGCCAATGTAGCTAGGGCAAATACCTCTTTCGTCAGGCCCTCTGGTAGCCATATCACCTTCATCGCTTTCCTTTGCTCTAGCTCCTTCAAGCTCATATCTAGGACTTCATAGAAGAGAGCGTCTGGCTTTTGCGCCGATGTAGTCGAGTAGGTATAGGGACCAGGAAGGAGAATCTGGTTCAGTGTGGCTTGCGGGCTCGACTTTATTGGCGCCTTGGGCTTGCCAGAAGCGGTCACGGTTGTGAAACGAACATGCGTAGGCTCGATGCCTAGGTGCTCGGCGGCCTTCGCTGCAAGCTGATCGTAGGTCATCTTCTTACTGAGGGTCAAAGTGAATGTCTCAGAGCTGTCGGGATCAGCAGATTTCGGGAGGAATTCGACCGTGATACGGTTGAGTAAGTAATCGTAGAAATCTTTCGCCTCGACACAACCGCCGGTGGCAGTGATTTGAGCGGTTTCTTTCTCGGTGAGGGTGCGTTGTACAGTGACGATGTCTCCATCCTGAATCTCTGACTGCCCTAATGTTGCCTTGGGCTTCATCGCTTCTATCATGTTCATTTTGATCTCTTCAGAAAGCTTGAAGTTGGTTCCAGCGGGCCAATCTAGTGCTTTCAGGATTTGGGGACCAATGTCGCAGACCCTGTCGTGGAATGCCGCATAGACATTTCCAACGCCATACAGAGTTTGTGATTTGGCATCGAAATGCTTGAGGAAGAGCATGAGAGGTCTATTCCCAGACAGTGCCTTCAATTCGATCGATTTGTCACCAAAGATTGGAGTGCCATCATCATCACGCGATTCGGCCTTCTCGACCCATAGCTTGAATTGAGCAGTCTTTGTACCGAACTTGCTCGAGGCTTCCTCGACCGTCATGTCCGGGAAAGCGATCGCAACGTCAGGGCGAACGGTGCCGTTTTGACGGTTGACCATTGCCCATGGCCTGATCATGTCATTTTCGAGGCCCAGATCGGACGCAACCGTGGTGCAAAACTCGGCCATCGTCGTTGCGCGGAGTATGCGATAATGCTTGGGATTGGCGGGGGACTCGGTCTCGGCTTTCCAAGGAACGATATCGAAACCCTGGTAAGCCTGGAAATTGGCTTCGGATGCCACTTGGATATCCATGTAGAGATGCGCCTCTTCCCGCTCTTTACGCCTCCGCTCGAATGCAATTCGCTCCTCCGCAATCCGTTCTGCAAGATGGGTCGGCGCGTCGACGGGGATGCCTGGAAGGAGCATGTTGTCCAACCTGCTTTCGCGGATATAGACCAACATGTAGGCGCTCATAGATCGCTTAGCAGACCACGTACGTGTATACGGGTTGCGCTGGCCGACGTTCCCATTCACCTGAGTATAGTCGCCTCCAAAGTTTTCCTCAAGAGCTTCCCGCTTCGTAGCACGGGTCACTCGATCATCGTCGAATTTGTAAAAATGGCCTTCCTTGGTGGGTTTCAGAAAAGCATAGTAATGGCCGGCGTTCAAATCTCCGCTATGCACCAACACGCCGTGGAGATGATATATGTAAGGTTCCGATCGGTCGGCATTGTCGGAGAGGTAGGGCGATGCGTCCCATATTTCAGGGAATTCGTAGCGATCATTGACCTTCATCATGGCATCCCGGTTGATGTCATATTCGAAACGCTTCAACTGCAGATGAAGGACCTGCGGGAAAGACTCAAAGATGACGCCCTTTTTCGCGTCCTGCAGACCGTGGCCCTCGGCAAAATACTTGTTCTCTCCGTCCATGGTTTCGACCTGGATGTAGTCTTTGAAACTGTCGTCGAGATTCTTGTTGCCACTGACGTTCAACTGGATGTCCCAAAAGTCTTCTATCCGAGAAGATTCGTAGTCGACGTTGATACACGAGATGTAAGTCTTCATCTTTCCGACGAACATCTTCTCCAGTGCGCCCTCCGCATCTGTACCCTTCATCTTCTCGTCCAGCTTGTCCATGAGGACGCGCGATAATTCCTGGACATCTTGCTGTTCGAAAATCTGCTTAGAGTCCCAGCCAAACGACTGGGTCAGGTCCGTGGTGGCGACAGCGGTTCCCGAGGTCTGGAGGAGGTAGAAAAGTCGTTGCAAAGCGTACGCGCTGGTTCCTGACCGATCGGTCTCTTCGGCGGTGGGAATCTGATAGACTGCCCGCCTGAACGCATTTGTGAAATACAGGGATTGGAGTAAGGAATTGAGATAACATGTTGCACCTTGATTTTTCAAACCCACCATGCCAGTTTCCTTCTTGGAGTCATAATTAATGAAGTTGTGCCATAGGACGCCGGTGGGGTCCTTGAGAACACGAATGTACGCGGTGACGTTGGCGGCGTTGTCCTCCACTAGAGGACGGCCGCGGCCGTCGAAATCCGAGGCAAAGAGTCGGCGAAGCTCTGCGAAGCGGGTGAAACCCCAATCGCCTTCGTCGGCGGTAAAGCGGTGGGTGGCAGAATGGGTGGTAAACAAGGTCGGATCATTTGGATTCCAGAGAACCAACATGAACTGCACGCAGGCGTACCAGTCATCGGGAACCTTCTTTTCCTCGTAGCCCTGTTCGAGATAGAACGAGGCATAGTCAACGTTATTGCCATAAGGGAAGAAGAGAATCCGCCAGGGATTGCCTCCGCACTCGAAGACAGGACCGTGTTCTCGCCTACTCAGTGTCCGCCATTCCTTGATCTCCCATGTGTGGTGTGCCTCAGCCTCCGTCTCCTGGTCGGGCAGCTCGGGCATGTGCTTTTTCATGAAGGCATCGTATTCGTCGGCGCGGGGTTCTGGCTCCGAGTCTGCCTCGGCATCGTCCATGGACTCGTCAGCATCAGGATTGATGATGGCGACGTCGTCGCGCTTCTCGTCATACTCGGAGTCCACGAGCATATCGCTGTTGAGCTGATGTCACAGGTAAGAGGCAGCGTCAGCGATGTTTGTAGGGGCCTGGTGTGCAGCAGCTTGGCAGTAAGAGCAATAAGGGAAGCCGAAGATGGCGACGGCGAGTGCATAGGAAGCGAGGAAGACTGGCAGAGAGTGCGGGTAGATTGGAGCTTACCTGATCCATGATGCTCGGTGGCGGCGGAAGCGCAGGACTGCGAGAGCAGAAGAAAGAAAAGGCGACAAGAAAAGAGCAACAAGGAAGGAAAAAGACGGGGGCGGCGTAGGTATTATGAGACAAGCGGGGAGAGGGCGAGTGAGGGGGGAAGGAAGAGGAGGAAGAAGATGAAGGAGAAGAGAAAGGAAAAAGATGCGAAAAGGTGTGAGGTTGAGGTTGAGCGAGGCCAGTCGCGGGGGTTAGCAGATTTAGATCTGAGTGGAGGCGATTGGTAGTAGTAGACTGTAGTACTGTGTAGTAATCGTAGTTGTGAGTATTGTCGTAGTAGTAGTGAGTAGTGCGTAGTGTCGTGCTCGTAGCAATACTGTAGTAGTAATAACTACGAGTCGCTGGTTGGTGTGGCGGGGAGAGTGCAGGTGAGTGAGAGGGAGTAGTTACCAGGTATGAGGTAGTAGTCAGTTAGGTGAATGTTCGATACACGAGGGTTGATAGAGAGAGAGGAACGAGAGACGAGTCGTTGCTATGTAATGATAAGTTCTTTTCGGGCATCAACAGGTGCAAAGGTACTTGATGGGTACTTTGAAGGTACTTGATTGACTGGTTGAACCTGCAGCCTGGTATAGTTGGCTGGCTGGGTAGGTGGGTAGGTGGGTAGGTACCTACTTAGGTTGGCTGGACAGGTGAGCCTACGTCTCTCGTCAAGTTACCGTGGCACGCGTAGGTGACTGATGTAGGTACGTACCTAATAGTGTGTACCAAGGTAGGTAGGTAGGTAGGTAGGTAGGTAGGCGGGTCACGGGTACCGATGCAACTTAGTGGGCCATATCCTACCAGTGAATATTATATGCGAGAATCATATAGTTATGGAAATATAAAAAAGATTCACCTTTTCACAAAAAATGCAATTCACAATTGCGAACCTGTCACCTACACAGTATCTACAAAAAGGAAAAAAAAAAAAGCAGACGTAATTTGGAGTGCCTCTGAGGCGGAGCGGAGCAGGGCACTCAACCTCGCCAATACACTAATTCCATTTCATCAAACCATATTTCTTACCTGCACTACAGTATTGAATTAGGTAGGGGAATACTGTAACAGATACCGTTTCTCATACAAACCAATCGCCACAACTAAAAATGGTCACAATGATTCTCCAAAGTTACCGATTTCTGCGAATTGAGTGAGGCTTGTTTCTAACTACCAAGCTGGTACATCGGCACGTACCTAGTATCGAAGCACAGCACGCACTGAAGTAGTGCATAGGAATTGGCGGTCGCCATGCTTCTGTATCTAATCATTGAGTGATTGCAAGTTTTACACGTCGTAGATTTCCCCTTCGGTTGCTCAATTGTTCCCTTCACTACATCAGCTTCACTGTGTGTCAATATACTGTCTCATGACACCGAGCGACGTAGTTTCAAAACAAACGCACTTGATCGCACGCCTGGCGAGACAAACAAAGCTGTCAATTATTCTCTTTAGTTTTTCAAATTTAACAACATGCTCTGGAAATTCCTGTACAATTAAGCTTTGATGTTGTTGTTGTTCTCCTCAAGATTTGCTAATAGCTGTATCATTTGATGGATGCCCGTGAACGTTTGCTTAGTAACGAGAGGACGTCATGCGTCACACCTCGAGACCCTCCCACCTTTTCGCTCCGAAGCTAAACGAGGTGGACGAGCTACAAGCTATACGGAGCAACTACATCCACCCAAAACAACATAGCTCCTCTCTTCACCTCCGAGTTCGCGACCACAGATTTCTTCTTCCTTTATTCAACCTTTCAACTCTTGCGGTCGCCCCTCGGAAATGCGCAGTTCAACCCTCCTCGTACGCGCAATCCCACTCTCCCGACATACTGTAACTTTACCATCCCGAAGTATCATAATACCAACTCATCGTCAATCCGTCACACGAGCATACTCGACAACCTCTGCCCCAACATGGCGGCCCTCATCCGCCCTCGACGAGTACGGCCGCCGCCCCCAATCATATATTCCCTTACCGCTCATTGTCTGAGTGCTGACTCTTCCTCTTCTCAGATGGGTGCAGAGAGAGGCCCGTCCCATAAGTTTGCGCCGACTCACCTTCTTCGGCCGCACCTTGACCGAATCTCGCCTTCTTGACTCGGCAAATTACTGTAGACTCGAGCTGCCTACCAGGTGAAGAGACGCCGGTTGCTCGTGGACTCCTACCATTTTATACTGAACTCCCTCAGGATCGCCCATCGTTTGCGAGACGTCCAGACCTTACCATACGTTGTCGTTTCGAACCCTCACCTCGCCCATGTCTACGAAATGTACCTTCGCGCCTTCGAGCGCTTTCGCCGCGTTCCGGAAATCAAAACACTCGAGGACAATGATCGGTATTGCAAGATATTGGAGGAGACTCTCAAGGAGCATGCCACTGTCATTCCTCGCCTAGCAATTGGTGTCCTCGAAGTTCGCGGACTCATGAGGCCCGAGGAGACCGACAAGTTCATGAACACAATGCTGCGCTCTCGCATCTCCCGACGTGTCATAGCCGAACAGCACATTGCTCTGACCGAAACTTTCAATTCGCCCTGGCACTTCCCCGACGCCCAGCCTACCAATGATCAACACACCGAGAACGTCGGAGAGATCTTTCTGCGTTGTAATGCGAAAGAGGTCCTCGAGCGCTGTGGCAAAAACATGCAGGAGCTGGTCAAGCGTGCATATGGGCCCCACGTGGTACTCCCTGAAGTGCACATTACCGGCCATTTAGATGCAACTTTCCCGTACATCCTGACACATCTCGAGTATCTTGTGGGCGAACTTCTGCGAAATTCGATGCAGGCAATCATCGAGCAAAGGCAATCCAAGAATGCACAACCACCACCTATCGAAGTGCTCATTTGCGAGAACGCACAGCACGTCATCATCCGCATATCAGATCAAGGCGGGGGCATACCTACCGAGATTTTACCTCACCTTTGGAGCTTTAGTAAAGGTCCACGCCGACAGAGAAGGCTGGAGAACCTCGCACGGGTTCCGAAGCTTCTTGGTACCATGCAGGAGTTGCAGGTGAAGGAGGATTCGTCCAAAGGCCAAACTAAAACCGAAGAAGCCCATCATGATCATGTCGGGTCGCTTTCGTCTCTGACGAGTCGTCCACCGGATCTTCGACTTGGTGTTGGCCTACCCATGTGCAAAATATATGCCGAGTACTGGGCCGGAAGTCTTGACATTCATAGCCTAGAGGGATATGGTGTAGATGCCTTCCTCCAAATATCCAAATTAGGGAACAAGAACGAGCGCGTGACTACGCGCGCCACTATGGATGCAGTGTAGATGATGCCTCTTCAATTACAAATTTGGTTTCACGGGTGGTAGACCCGACCAAGCATCTCTGCATTGATCGAGCTCTATCATACCATGGGAGGTTCTCTCTCTAGCTTGCTATATGCACATAACTCGTTCCCCAGGGTCTCAGGGCTTCAAAGGGCTCTACAATCCTTCCCCATCTGGCAACAGCAATTTTGATCCTACTACCACTGAGTTGCATTCCAGTGTGGATCGAAGATCAGAAAGACGGCAGAGAGGTCACTTTCCGCTCCCGCAGTCTCGATTTCCCTCCTTTCAATTGCAACGGCAAGCAGCTTCTGGAGAACTTGGCAACATTGTCTGTTCGCCATTATTGTGGGAGTCAATCAGTCCATGAAACAACAGCTCAATGCCCATACGTGGTCAAGCAACCTGGTCCCAAGCCATTTGACCGAAACTATGGATATTTGCCTAAGTTTACCATGGCCGACGGGCGTACTTTGTGCGTTTACCGAAGTAGAAATACTATCTTTACAGGATGCCAGGCGCTTGAATATCTACCATGGGCCATGGTTTCCGGGTCAGGATTAGGATTTTGGCAGCAAGTCTCCAGCACCGAGGAACAAAACATCAACTTGGTCTGTATAATATCATACCGAACAGGCTTTTCGGTTGGTCACTTGCATTCTCAGACTATGCCATCATAAGCGTTTTGCATCAGTGAATTGGTGGATAGGCATTCAGATGCGGGACCCACAGAAAACCACAATAGTTGGATTCTTTTCCCTATGGAACGAAGGAAGTTCAGTTTTCAATCATTCAATTGGAAGTAGACGAAGCGTCTTCCTCTGCTTCTTCACAGTAAGAACGAGCGTATCAGCTTGACAAGTTCCTGTTGGAATTCAGGTTAAAGCCTACAACATTTAGACATGATTAAGTTAGAATTATATGTCATAATCGACTTTGATAACTTCCAAGTCTCTCTAATTACTCCCTTTCAATGGTGATTCTCATCCATGCTCTGAATTTACACTATGCATGGCTATCAATTGCCACACATCTCCGCCAAAGCTTCCCTACAAATACTCCTCGCAACGACCATACTTTATTTTTGGCATATGCAATCATATATTCCCTGCTTGTACATGCGTACTCGGTAACACCTCTCACCCCCATCCCTCCCGGCCTATCCGCGCATTTCAACCCAGCTCCTCAGGTGATTAAATCTACCAGTAGGAGAGGGAGGGTGACCCGACCGAGTTGGCGCCGAAGAACACGTCGAACCCAAATGCGTAGGGCCAGGCAACTATGACGCATGTGATTCCCCGTTTGGTAGTGGCATCATGATTACCTACTGACAGGCTGTACCCATTCGTTCGGTGGTGACGGATGGAGCTAAATCCTCCTGCGAGGAGGGCATTGTTTGCTTCCGGAGATTTCGGAAGGCGGAGGGGTGGGATGGGGATATATAGTAGGTAGGTAGGGCAACTTGAGAGGAGAGGAGAAGTTGCAACGACGACGTGACCTCACACCCCTTGCGTTCATTCCTCCAGGTTCCCGACTACATACCTACCCTACGTGCTTTCGTTATTACAACCACAACGCGTGACGTTTAAACAAACAAATAAAAACATCACCACTCTTTCACAACCGCGAAGGAATCCCCGCGTTTTTTCGAAGCTAATATTGACGATACAAATTCCCGCGGGGAACCTGTCTCAACATCACATCTCTCGCCGATATAGTCTATTGAAGGAGAGAAGCAAGTCATCATGATCAAAACAATCCTCCTCATAATCATCACGATCTTCAGTACGTCGTCCCACCAGCCAATGCAAATCCCTTCAAACCCACGATTTCTTCCTCCACAGAAGAGACCATAGTAATTATATTATAATGATACTAACCAAAAACCTCAACAGTCCCACCTATCGGCGTATTCCTCGTCGCAGGCTGCGGCGCCGACCTCCTCATAAACATCTTGCTCACCATCTTGGGGTACGTCGAATTATTTCCATTTCCGTTTCCAAAAACCGCATCATGCCCAACCTGTTTACACTTCCCTCGTATCCCAATCCATCCGAGAAACATTCCACCTCTTTCTTCCCCGATCAAATCTGGCGCGGCGGTGGCGGAACAAAACGCCCCTACCAGTCCGCCCCGCGGCCGCGCTCAGCCCTACGATCCTCCATTAATCTGGTTGATATAACAACCCTCTTGGTAAAACATCATCATTGCTGACCACACACCCCCACGCTCTTGGCAGATACTTCCCGGGCCACATCCACGCCTTCTACGTCGAATACGTCTACTTCAAGCGGCGCGACGAGATCCGCGCCGGCATCGTCGACGCGAGGCGTGCCCCCGGCGTCTACAGCAGCAAAGTGCAGAGGGGAGGAACCCACGTTCAGCCGCCACCGCCCGTGCAAACAGGTGCGCCGCCGCGCCCGCCGCCTCCGGGGCCCGCGCAGCAGCCGTATACGAATGTGCCGCCGCAGGGGCAGCAGGGCTATGGTACTATTTGAGGGGTTTTAATCGTCGTCGTTGGACTGGAGAGGAGTTGGGTGCGGTGGAGGCGTGGGGGAGATTGATGTGGTAATATCGATCGGAGGGCGTTTTATAGGATCGGACGTCACGAGCTGTGGTATTATGGGTCTTTTTTTGTTTCTCTCTCCTGGATTTCCGGTTTGGGGTTATATGGTGTTCTTGGGGCGAATCGGGCGGCTCCGATGTTCTGCTTCGACTACTACTTTTGATGAGAAGGGAGATGGGTGGGTGGCTACTCGGTCGCGGACGACGGAGGGGGCGGTTGGGTTTTATATGCCTCTTTCCAAGAGTTTCTACGTACGAGAGTTGTGGTTCTATGGTAACTATGAAGACAGTGAAATGACTTAAAGCGAACATCTTCCATCACGATATACACACCCTGCTATCAAAACCAACATCAAGTCACTCGTTTCACTTCCACTCCATCCCAAACATACATACATAACAGCCTCACCAACTCACTCATCTACTCCTCCTACAAAATCGACAAAAATGTCAACACTACAGTCGTCCCTATTCAACACCACTACCGCCCTCCTCAACCTCATGACCTCCACATCTCCCACCACAGCAGCACTGCCGCCATGGACGACACAAAACCCCCGAATCACAAACTGCCACAAACTACGCCACCTCACCCGCACGCACGACCCCTCGGGCCAGCCGGACGACCACATCGTCACGCCGACGGGAAAATTGCTGTGGCTTATTAGGGAGGTTGGGACGTCCTCGTCGGTAATGCTATGTGGTGAGGCCAAGGCGGCGGTGTAGTGTGAATGTATACATGACATATCATTGCTCACCGGAAATTTGGGCGAACGAGGAGATGGAGGATTGAAGCACACAGAAGCTGGGTAACCAGTTTCGTGGAGCGTTTCGACTTCAGGGATCGAGCGTGTTGGGCCGTTATGGAGTGATGGATCTCGTTACGGTGCTCTTCGATTTCACCCATGCCTTCTTGCTGCTTAGCTGGTGAGAATGGGGAGGGAGAGGATGAGAAAGAAACGAATCCGGTCCAGTGGCTTCGATGTAGGATACTTGTCTATCTGAAGCATATCACATTTATCGCTATCCATCAGTGGAGGAAATGGACTGGACGGACACTTCGCACGACACCATATGGACGAACACATCCATAAGTACCTGGTTCAACCATCCACGGATATTATCCTTAATTCAAAACGGCCATGTACTCTGCACAGGAGAGATACGTTCTTCTCTTCCATCGCAGAGGGAAATGGAGATATCCTAGATATCCATTAACCATCTTACACTTTAGATGTATTTAATTTTTAATTTTTTATACTTCATAGAAGATTATTGTTTTTCCTTCTGTCTCTTTCCTTCCACCGTTTAGTCTGTGGGGCAAATGAATGAAAAAATGGCCCAGGATGGCATGGCAAAGATTTACATACAGTATAGAGCCACCGAAGGATCAAAGATTAAAAGATGGTGGAGGCGAGATGTTCAACCGTTCAAACCCAACTTCGCGGCCGAGTGTGGTCGGCCAAGCAAGTGTTTATTGTATATAAGTTGTGTATATGTATGCTGGCTACCCTACGTACAGACACCTTGCTCCGGGATAATGTATTCGACCAATGCATGTTCCTCCACTGTCCCCTTCCCTAGTCTCTCTTCTCATCCTGTGACAGAAGGATGGAGTTCTTTCACGGGATTATGCGCCCGGTAGCCGATTGTTTCTAGTCGCTTCTAAGAGCATCATAGGGGCTTGGTTCATGGGTTGAAATGGACAGCGTCAAGGAGCCACAACGAGGATTGGCCTGGTTGGTGGGCCGAGATCAAATCCAGTTTACGACCAGGTATCCTCCACATCCTCTGCGTGAACGTTGTCCATCGTCCCTGATTATGAACACGTGCGACGACAACCCATCCATACGACAAGCCGAATTTAGCCAATTGAAGCCCCAGGATTCCGCCCAACAAGATATGGATCACACCGGTCCGGTGTCGGCAATGCAAGTCCGGGAAAACAAGTAATAATAAGTGGCAGAAGAAATATAAATAAGGAGTCGTGGCCTCCCATATTCTCCGTGTGTCGTGACTCCTAATATGTGATGCAAATAATGTAATCGAGATAAGCTGCGGTCATTCTGAGATGGCATGGAGGCTGGAAAAGGACAGAGCGTGAAGGTAGGTATTCGCCATGGAATGCAAGCAGTCGATAGTACAGGTGGGTAATAATAAAGTAGGTCTTTCAACATGTCCATGTGTAGAGATGCCGTTGACGCCGGTTACGATATGCGAGAAGGAAGACCTGGGAAACTAACGAGTGTAACCGTTTGAAGAGCCACTCGGATAGTTCTGTGGCGATGGTTTCCATATCCGAACCGTCTTGTCGTCGCCAGCTGAAGCAAAGACTCGAGGGTCCTTTGGATGCCATGCGACCGCGTTGACGCAGCCGGACGTGTGCCCATCAAGAGACTCGACGAGCTGGCCATTTATCTTCCAGATGAAGATGCGAGAATCTAGGCGAGGTTAGTATTACAACGCAAGAATCCCATGATGAACACTCACTTTCGCTGCCACTTATTATAAAATTCTCGTTTGCACCGCCAAAATCAGAGCGGATGATGAACTCGGTCTGTAAATGCCCAGAGTACCGCTGCACAATCTCTCCCGTGTCGATTTCTGTCAATTCGATCTTATTCTCATTCATACTGATGAGCATGTGCTGTGAGTCTTGGCTTATGTTAACAGAAGTAAGCTTGATATTGTTTTCCAGTGGCCATTCGCAGATTTTCTCATATGTGACGAAATCGTAAACCAGTATGCGGCTTTCGAGGAGGACTACGAGACGATGGCCATCTGGGGAAACAGCGAGATCGTGCACGCGAAGTTTGTTCTCGGACCATTTGTGAATGAGTGCACCGTCGGCGCTCCAAACACCCAATCCACATTTGTTATCCTGCGAGCCTATGACGACCTTTCTGCCATCTGGAGCCCATGCTGCAGTTGTGCATGGATACGTGAAGTCATTGATACTGACTAAGCAGCGTCCGGTCTACCGACAAGTTAGACAAATCAATGTGGGTAAAAAGTGAGAAACTAACCTTCGTGTCCCAAATTCTCGCCGAACATTCATCTTGTGCACAGCAAGAGATGATTTTGGAATCGTCCGGACTCCAAGCCAAATGGGTCACGCCAGCTTGATGTTCCGTGAGGAAGAGGATTGGCTTATATGTGACTGTTTCGTAAATGACGAGAGTGTTGTCTTTGCTTGCTGAAGCAAGCTTCGTGCCGTCGTGTGAGTACTTGAGATACCAGACCTCGTCTTTGTGATGTCGCAGTTCCTGCACAGCCTTCATAGGGAAATCATTGCGGTCGCACATATGATCCACATAAAGTGATGGAGAGGTGGCGGTATTGTGGTAGAGGCACCCCGCTATCCAACTCTGTTTGACATCGTCTAATAGACATGCTAATCGATGTGGCGGAATCATGATGCTCGGGGATATTGATTCTGTATTGTCAGCACATGTTGCGCCATTGCTTTGAGACACATTTTGCTTACTGGAGACTTCTGAGAGTAATATCTGTCGCGACTCGCCTTGGGCACCGTCCCATTGAGCCTGACTCTTGAGATCTTCAGCGGATTGACACATCATGAAGCTGTATGGTGTTAGTTAGATCAGACCAATGTTTTGTCGGTCTTACTAGACAGAAGACTAACCTCGAGAGAGCATGTAATCTATTAACGTCTTGTCGAAGCGGCGCCAGCTCCTGCCGCAAAACCATCAGGGCCTCTCCTAATTCTCGTCGTTCCAATAATTCAAGATATTTCTGTTGCTTCATCCAGAAGAGCAATTCCTCTCGATTTGCGCCTTCGGCAAGAGACAAGCCACCGGTTCGACGTATCTTAGACGACGAAGATGCTGACTTGGACCAGGATTTGCCGTAGGGACCGGTTCCGTCCAAACCGATACCGCCCCCGTGGTCATAGGTACTCGTTCCAAACAGAAGCTCTTCTGCGACAGCCCAGTCGCCCTTAAGTACGGCACTGCGAAAAGACGCCACTGTCGGTCCCTCGAGCTGATATCCGCTCTCCTTACACAACGCCCCTGCCGCATCGCTGTAACCCAGGTCGGTCAAGCTTTGGATCAATATCCTTGTCACCTCCTCCCTGTCATGGCCAAAGTATTCTTTTGATAGTGTTGCTCCATTCGAGTGCGAAGCCCCGTTGGTCTCGGATTTACCATGTGTATCGCCGTTAGCAACCTTGGCAAGCGACGCTCTCGGGCCTGGGGAGCGGGAGGAGCCGTTTGTGTGTTTCCGCGAGGGTGATGATGATGGATTTGAAGCATCGTTGTCCAGGCGCATGGTCTCTTCTGTTCTGCGCCTTCGCTTGGAGAGAGGACGGGAGGTCCGGCCTCGAGTTGGTTGGGATGGAAGGCTCTCTGAATCGTCGTCGGATCCAGAGAGGCTGCGTCTTCGCTTCGCACGAGAATCCTCGGCGATAGAGGTAGGTTCAGGAATCGGTGAATTCGTAGGAGCGGGTTCGGTGGGTTGGTGTGAAGATGAAGTCGTTGAGGTTGGGGCAAAGAAGTCTTGGGAAGTAGAAGCTGGGGGTATCGGGATGGTTGGGTGGGCGGAAGTGACGGGGGCAGGGGGATTTAAAGGATTTGGGGGGTTGTCGTCTGCCAGGACGAACGCTGGGGTAGGTTACCCGCAGATGCGAAGGTTGAGGTGAGGTGTTGAGGGAAGTAGAGTGTGAGGAGGGGGTTGAGAGCTGCGAACGGAGGACAGACGGACGGATGTAGTTGTCGAGCAGTAGCCGTGGGATGGCGCGATTGCTGGACTAATCGGGAGTCATCAGTGGCAGAGAGGTAGTATGAAGCTGCAAGGATGTAGCAGTAGTTGATCAGAGAGGATGGTATCTATAGATTGTGCGAGGTGAGGAGAAGAGTTGGGTTGGTAGTTGGATGTAGTACGGGTAGTAGTAGTAGGTAGGTAACTAGTAGTAGTAGTAGTAGCGGAGGAGGTAATGATGATGGATGGGGGATTATCGGGGGTTCGGTAGGTACCGCCGTACCGCTGAGCAACCATGTCACGGGTGCCAATTAGGTATCAGCCTACGGAGGGAGTGGAGTACAGGCCTTTGACAAAAAGGAATCAAGCTTGCTGAGGGAAGGTGGCAATTAGAGCAATACTGATAATAAGCAATTACAAGTTATTATGAGTTTGGTACTCTATTGGGTCAATACTATTGTTGCTGGCAGGTTGGGAGCAGCGGCCATGGAAGCCTCAGCCACGGCGGCACCAGCCAAGGTCAGAGCGTGCATCAGCACAAACACACTCGACAAACGAACTCGACAAACGAACTCGACAAACGCACGAGGGAAAGTCAAAGCTGCTGAGCGGATGAAGCTATCTGCAATCTGTACAGACTGGTGATGTTATAGAGGATAGATGTGGTTGTCCTCATTTGAATACAATACGCCAGGCATGTGGCCTGGCTAGGTTTCCTTATGCAGGTGACAGGCACATGTACCGAATGAATACCTAGGTGGCTTATAGTTGGCTTTTTTGCCTACTACGGAGTAGAACCTGATTTAATTCTACAACAGTGATACTCTCTGCAGAATTGCAATATAGCATGGGCCTTTCTCCTACAATGTTGTTGTCAATATTGTTTGAAGAAGTCACTGCTGGCAATGGATGGTAGGACGGTAGTGAAGAGTGAATGTCTTGTGATGAACGTGGCGGGCGATAAGGAATGCACTAACGCTAATCGGCGACCTATCATCTCCTCCCATCTCAGTGCCATCCCTTCATCTTCCGTCCAATGTCTGCTTCTCTCCTACAATAACTTGATTGTCGAATTACTACTACCACCGCTCTCATGTTCACTGTGATTCCTCATGGTCAGCATCTGTCTCTAGAAAAAGAAAGACTGCACCTTATAATGTACTGTAGTCCCCCATAGCACAGCAAAGAAATCTATGGATGAACTTACCGGAACCAATTCAACATCTGGAACACACTCGCTTTCGGCGTCCTCGTCAGATCTGTATAATTCACATACTGCAACCCAAACCTGACCTCGTTACCGGCTAGCCATTCGAAATTGTCCATGATTGCCCAACCCCACGCACCGGTCACATTCACCTTGTCGTAGTGGATGCTCGCGAGTATGTTGTCGAGGTAGCTCTGGAAGTAGTCCGCTCGTCGGAGATCCCACAGTATCTGGTTCTTGTCTGTGAGGAGCCCTTCGAATGGCTCTGCGAAGCCGAACTCGGTCACCACGATGTCTGGGATGCTTGGGAAGAGCACCGTCGTCAGGTGCTTGAGGAACCTTCGCAGGCCGACAGGTGTGTTGTAGAGCCATGAGACGCCGGGGTCGCCAGCTGGGCCCAGAGGAAATCCATTAGATGCCTTCGAGGCTGAACTGGCGCATTCGGGGTAGCTCGGGTGGGAGCGATTGCTCGCACAATTCTCGACACCACCATCGACTTCCCAGGCAACGAATGATGTGTATCTGGAGGACAAGTCAGTTAGTCAATCACCGCCACCTTGATCAGGTCGGCACGACTTACCCATCAATGGCATAAAAATCACAAGACCCTTTGATCAACTCCTTCTCCTCCTCCGTAAACTCAGGCAATATATCCCCCAGAGTATCCTTCAAGCTCTGCGGATAATCGCCATCCGTCCACGGCCCACCGAACCACCCAATCGCGAAGTCAAAGTTCCTCTGCGCAGCCTCCTTATCCGCCTCACTCGTCGTGTTCCCCTCGTAGTAATTCCCCGAATTCTTAAACGTAATCCTTCCCTTCCCCTTGAACTCCTCATGGTACCACTTCGCGACCTTCGCATGCGCAAGCAGCGTGTGATGTCCGCACAGGAACCTCGCGCGGTTTCCGGCGCCGATGTCGTTGAACGCGGGATAGTGGTCGCCGGCCGGGTAGAGCGAGTACTGCCAGTTGCACCACTGCGGCTCGTTGATCGTGAACCACTCCTCGACGTACTCGTCGTACCGCGTGATGACGAATTTGGCGTAGTTGACGAAGTCGTCGACGATCCTGCGATCGCCCCATGCGCCGTAGTCGGTGAACAGCGCGAGCGGGGTGTCCCAATGGAAGATGGTGATGCTGGGGTGGATATCGTTGCTCACCAGCTCGGATATGACGTCGTCGTAGTGCTTGACGCCTTCTTCATTCACGGGACCGCGTCCGAAGGGGAAGAAGCGAGGCCATGAGAGACTCGGGCTGAAACGTTTGATGCCCAGGGCCTTGAGACGCTGTACGTCCTGCTTGTACAGCCAGTAGTGACTCCCCACGACGTCACCTGTACTGTTGTCCGCAACCCAATTGGGGACACGGTGACTTAGCAAGTCCCAGATGCTGGGACCCTTGCCTTCGTCTTTGGCGGCGCCTTCAATCTGGTACGAACTGCTCGAGACTCCCCATTGGAAGCCCTCAGGGAGCTTCAGGTCGCGGAGACTGGGGTCGTGGGAGGCGACGAGAGGATGGAACTCCTCGCCCACCGGCTGAGGGAAGACTGATGGTTCGGGCGTAGGCTCGACGGTCGTCGTGACCGGGCCTGTGGCGATGGGCCCCACGAGATTCCAGAGAGCATTGAGTGCTGTATCTGAGAAATCCGTCCGGTTTATGGCAGCAGTTGGCTGTGCAGACGCATTGAAGCTCGCAGTGCTATACCCAGACGGCGTTTGGAAGGACAATGGCTCTCCATGTGCTGAGGCCAACAATGACAAGAGACATAGGCTCAATTGACCTCGAACTACTCCTGCCATGGTGGATATCAGCATAAACAAGTAACGAATCTAGAGAGAAACCTGCCAGAGCAGATGCAAGAAGCAATAGAGCGAATTGGTACCTTAAATGTCTCCTCCCCGCTACTCAATGCCCCCGAAAGACCTGTGAGCGACAAACATCACATCACATCATACTACCTCTTTGCACCCTAACTCCCCACCTCGGCGTGCATCCATCCGCATATTTTTCTGCTCAAAGTTCCCTACTAGAACACAGCTATCCCTGGCCATTCGCAGGGAAATAAATTGCTCCAGGGCATCCATAGGTTAGGAAGAGAGCCTAAGTCGATCTATGTAACCGTTCCCGGGTTGAGAAGACATCAGGATCATACAAAGACCCATTGGCGTTGAATATCCATTGCCTTCCGATGCGGCGCAGCAGACCGTTGGAGTACCGGTACATCTTGGGAGGGATACATGGAGGTGATGGCTCCGTGCCAGGAAAGAGGTTAGTGCAGAGGATTAGACTGATGATTGGTGGGTTGGATGCTAGAGCTTGAGGGAGCTTGGGCCCGATATGCCCGGGTTTGTGGAGAACCTGGTCGGAGGTGGAGCTACTTGTACGGATTTGTTTACATAGGGCAGAAGACGATGGGGAGAGATTGTTACGTCGAATGACTTGTACTTTGGAGTAGGCAAATGCGAGGCCCCCAGTATTGTCTCGTGGGGCCCAGTTGTAAGATGAATTTTCAACAGACTTCTCAGCGTCCCACAAAGATGGTCTGCGGAACAGCATCAAGGAATAGATAATAGAAACGAGCGATAGTATTAACGACTACCTCAAGCGTCATCTCATTAGTACCTGAGTAGTCGAAATCTAAATAAAAAGCCCACCCCTCATCAAGGCCATCCCATCTATAGATTTGAACAAAGCCAAATCCCAAACTATACCAATCATCATTCATCGTCATAGCTTTTGCTGCCCTCCAAGTGAATCCATAATTTTCTTTCCTTCTCTATGCCTTCCTCGCCTTCTTGGGATTGGGAGGGGGCGAGCCGCTTGAGCCTGGCCTTCCCTTTCCTACGAGTGCGCGGATGTCAATGTCCTCGTCGCTGTCATCGCCGTCCTCATCGCCATAGTCCACTGAGAGATCGGACAATTCCTCGTCGTCGTCCTCGGCCTCATGCGCGTGTTCTAGAGAAGGCATCGGTTAGCTGACATGTCACGGTACATGGCAGTTCAAGAATGCTTACTAAAGTACTTAATGGCAGACGGCCACAGGTCGTCGGCGATAAGAGTGGCGAGCTCGTCACCCTGTAGGAAAGCCTCGGCCTCCTGGACGTCCAGCGTCGGGTCATGGTCGATTTCTGGCAGGTCCTCGACCTTCTCGCCGCGCCTCTGCTTCTCGATGCGCTCTGCCTTCTTCTTAGACTCGATCGCAGACTCCTCCGCGGTGATGAATTTGTAGCTCGAGACGAAAGCGAACCAGGTGAAAAAGTTGTTCGAAGCTTCATCGGACTGTTCGATCAACTTGACAAGTTCCTTGTACGCGGGCAAGTCCTTGTCTTCGGTTCCAGAGCCTACATTCGCGGCTCTCGCTTTGAAAAGCTTGACGGCAGCGTCTGTGACTCCCTCAGTGATGTCCTTGCCCTTCTTCCAATTGATCTTGACGGGCTCGGAAACAAGTCCCTCCCAGTCGGACGAGACCCGGTACCAGAACTTCTTCTCCAGGACTTTGTCCTCAAAGTACTCGTTGTCGCTGAAACCGAACTTGATCGCGAAGCTGCGGGGAGAGCCGTTGGGCTCGTCAATCTCGAAGCGGATCACGTCGAGGGTCTCGAGGCAGTCGGCGAAGATCTTCGAGTCTGAGGGCTGGATGAAATTGTCAATGTCTGGGGGCGCGGTCTCCAAGACGAGGGCCCAGAAGTGGGGGATCTTTGCGACTACTTCGGCGCGCTTCTTGTAGAGGGGTCCGTTGAGTTCGTATTGTTTACGGACTTTGCGCGATTTTTCGTCAGTCTTGATTGAGAGGAAGAGAGGCATGTGGTGGGCAGGTCCTACTGATCTCATTCTCGGTCTCTTCGAAGTCTTCCTCGAGCAAGCTCAGTTCTTCGAATCTTGCATTGACCTCCTCGACAGTCATTTCAGCCATGATGGGTATTATTCTGTTTCTGTAATCGTTAGTTGTTCCATTAAGCAGCCTTGTTATTATTGTTGACATTGTTGTAGAGAATGACGATGCGGGGAATTGGGCTAAAGGTGGGATTCTGTCTTGTTTGATAGAACTTACGGTTTTGTCTTATCTTTCAACTTATCACCTGCACGCGCGGCTTGATGTCGGTACACAAATTGTTGGATGTGTTAAGAGTTAAGTCTGTTACAAGCAGTTCTTGTTGAGCGAGCAAGTGGGACACCGAGCAACTCAAAAAAAATTCCAGGGCCTGCAGGGATAAGCTCACAATTACGGGGAAGCACGGGCCAGCCGCCACAGCATCACTCTGTTGCTTGATCTCCAGTCATAGCGCAAAACAAAACATTTGGTGACTCCGCCTATTTGGATTGTATGTATTTACACTGGAGGAATATATTCAGTTTCTTGACATTAACACGCAAAGCATCTCTCAGAAGCATCACTCAGTAGACATTGACACCCTTGAACATACATCTACAAGATTGCATTAGACAGTCCACCAACTGCGATAAGACTCAACAAGAAACTCAATCCATCTTTAGAAACCAGCCTGCTTATCCCATCCCCCCGCCCAGGCATCTTTTGTTGAGATTCGCCATAATCGGACATCTCCCGTCAAGCACCGCAGCAAATACAGTTCGCTTGGTTGGTTCAGATAAGGAAGGATAAATTCCTACAGTAGTTACTATGGGGGGTAAAGCATTCGCTCAGGCGGGCCCTAACGGGACCCCTCTCAACGTCCCTCGCATGCCGCTTGAAGTCTATCGACACTTCTCATTGGATTTCCACGCCAGACTCGCTACCATATTCCGCCAGGTTAGAATCCCCAGAGACGCCCCCGGAAAATTGGATTTCGGTGACATAGACTTTTTGGTCGAGGGTCCTCTGTGCCCTTGGACGCCCGAATCACTGCACCAATTGCTAGGCGCTGCACGTCGTCTCGACTGCGGAAACACGCATTCATATGCTGTCCCCTACCCAGATGCTCCAGACCAGTATGTCCAAGTCGACGTGGAAATTGCCCCTGGTAGCGGGACCCCCGACCGCGTCGCTCTATTCGAATGGGAATGCTTTATGAAGTCCGATGGCGACCTTTTGCAAATCATAGGCATCTGCCACCGCTCCCTCGGCCTCATCTGTAACGACAAAGGCCTTCATGTTCGTGTCGCGGAGATCGAGCCCTACGACAAGAAAAAGGCTCTCATATTCCTCACTCGTAGTCCCCAGGAGGCCATCCAGTTCTATGGCATGGACCCCGTCAAGTACGCCGCTGGATTCGAGACCGACATAGAGCTATTCAGTTGGATCTGCGGGGGTCGGTTCGTAGCCTATGCGGGACTGCGGGACAGAGAAGAGAAGGCGAATGATCGAGCGCGCCAGCGGAAACGACCGCTGTATAGCAAGTTCGTGGAGGAGTATGTGCCTTCTCTGGCGGATAGGGCGGTTGAAAGTGAGGATACTTTGTGGACTCGTCAACAAGTACTGAGCGAGGCTCTCGACACCTTCCAGAAACGTGACGTATATGACTCGATGATCCAAGAACACCTACTCCGCGAGAGGGAACTCGAACTCTGGCAACGGATTCGAGAAGCTCTTCCAGTGGAGGGTAGTTCGTTGGCCCTCGTCCTCAAAGCGCTCAGGCGCTGGGTGAAGTTTCAAAAAGGACAACCGTATATTGGCTTCGAGCCATTGCTTGAAGATCAACCCAAATGGTCTTGCCAGTTGGAGGATGAAGTCGAAACGATAGCATGGGTCAAGCAGAATTGGATGGAAGCAAAGTCCTTGGAAAAGGCTCGCGCGGTAAGTGTTCTTTGACAATGTATCTCTGCCACTCGAGACATGATCAACAAGAAAGAAGGGTTGGTTGCGTATGCCGGATCGCACCTACCTCTTGAGGATATCTAAGCTCCAATCGCCAACAACTCGTTGAGCGTGAGCATGTCTGCATACTTAACACTTCCAGGGACTACTGCCAGAGCCATGGTACATAGAATCTGGCCCTCACTGACATTCCTGACAGGCCGCTGCAAAGGCAGCTGGCAAGCGAGCATCTTGAGACACAATTGAGCGTCGTGAGCACGTGTGCACATCTTACGATATTGATTGCGCTGATTACGACGTACATACGGCATAGTCGGAGCTCGTCGGATTACGCGTTTGATATAAGCCGATGCTTTCCCTATGACATCGTACCTAGCACCGTACACGATCTTCCCCTGTCGTCAGTGTGCATCAAAAACCCTCGTAAGTAAAAAAATCCTAGCTAGGAAAGGAATCAGGACATTAGGGGAAACCCGCGAGCAACGGGGCGGGCATACGACCCATCAGAATTTTCCTTCGTCCTCTTTCTTTCCCTTTTATCCCCTTTTGAATTTCGAAGGGGTAATTCATTGAGTTTTGAAGGGGTAATCGATTGCCTGTGAGGAATTTTGGAGGGGTAATCGATTGCTTTTGAGGAGTTTTGAAGGGGTAACGGAAATGGTGCACAGTGGAGCCCTACCCGATCGTGTGCATGACGCTTGAGGTGAACGGGCCGATGGGTGGTTGGACTTGAGGACGGTTTAGTCCGTTATTGTACTTAGAAAGAAGCGTCATGAAGTTAGCTAGCGAAAGGAAACGAAATAATGTCGGGAGAGACAATATGTATGCGCTCACTAAACATGTCCGTGGGATTATTGGAAGGCAATGAATTGCATTTACCGGCTGTCGCATTAAATTTCCAGAACCTTTGGACTGGGGCTGGCTATCTACCTACTCTACTGTCCCTCGTCCCCGGCGGCGGCGGCGAAACCGGGGGTGAGCAAGACAAAGGGAACAGAGTGTTAGCAGCCTAGTGGGGAAAAATTGCAACGAAACCGCAAAATTTCCCATGGAGATTTCTTGATAAGGTCCTTGCCGGCACACGAGTAGCGCAACAGAGAAAACACATGCATGCTTCCATGGCTTCCAGAATACTCTGATTAGCGCGGCAGATAATATTCGAAGATTCGTTGTTCAGTCTTGAGACACTTTCTTCTTACTTCTAACATTTTTTTACGTCCTTGTTGTTTGCATACTTATACCCAATTTTTTCTATTCTTATCAAAAGTGATATCATCGGTTTCCTACCCAGCGTTTCCCGACTTGACGTAATTCAGAAGGACTTATCAGGCCCGGAGAAAGAGCTACAGAACCCATTGGAAAATTTCCTACCAGAAAAATGGACGATAATTTTGCAGAAGTCCAGCTTCCGGAATCCCGCGTTCTCATCGTTATCACGGGTGGTACGATATGCATGCAGAAGTCTGAAAATGGGCTTATTCCAGTAAGTCCGCAATGCTCACCCAGTAGGACGAACTGAGACAGCTACGATTTGAGCGTCCATGTGCAGTAGACAACTAGAATTCACGTGATTAACATTTTGACAGGCTCGAGGATTTCTCAAGGCTGGACTGGCACCAAGGCCCTGTTTCAATGATGGATCGTACCCGGAGCCCTTGGAAATTGTAATAGACGACAAAGGCACACGAAAGGCAGTACAGAGCCTGAGGTGCCCAAAGAGCACTTACGACCGCCGCGTCAGGTACTGCGTGCTCGAATTCGACAAGTTGCTTGACAGCAGCTCGATTGACGCGGCAGGATGGGATCAGATCGCAAAGACCATCTACCGGAACTACCAACTATTTGACGGATTCGTCGTCCTACACGGCACGGATTCATTGGCATACACCGGCTCAGCATTGAGCTTCATGCTGCACAACCTGGGCAAACCCGTCATCTTGACTGGATCGCAGGCGCCCATGATGGAACTCCAGAACGATGCGCAGGACAACCTTCTCAGCTCCTTAATCATCGCGGGACATTTCATGATCCCAGAAGTGTGCCTGTTCTTCAACTTTAAACTGTTCCGCGGCAACCGGACGACAAAGGTATCCGCAGACGACTTCCAGGCCTTCGCGAGCCCGAACATCGCACCACTAGCGACCATCACATCGCTGCGCACCAAAGTGCAATGGAACCTCGTCTACCGCCCCACGGTCGTCGAGCCCTTCAACATCCAAACCAAGCTCGACACCGCACACGTCGCCTGTCTCCGCATCTTCCCGGGCATGCGGCCCGAAATGGTCGACGCCGTGCTCCGGCTCGAAGGGCTGAAAGGCCTCGTCCTCGAGACCTTCGGCGCGGGGAACACGCCGGGGGGACCCGACAGCGCGATGACGCGGGTCCTGGCCGACGCCGTCAAGAGGGGCATCGTCATCGTCAACGTGACGCAGTGCCTGAGCGGCAGCGTGAGCCCGCTGTACGCCCCTGCGACCATGCTCGGCAGAGCGGGCGTCGTGTTCGGCCAGGACATGACGTCCGAAGCGGCGCTCACCAAGTTGGCGTACCTGTTGGCGCTGCCGGATGCTACGCCTGAGGAGGTGTCGAAGCGCATGTCGGTGTCTATCCGGGGAGAGCTCACCGAGGCTTCGAGGACGCATTTTGAGCATCCGAAGAGCGGCACGTTGACGCCTGAGTTGTCGAATTTGACCGCGTTGGGATATGCGGTCCAGAAGGGGAATCTTCAGCAGACGCGAGATATCATTAGGGGTGAGCCTCGATGGCTGCTGAACGATGCAGATTATAATCTGAACACGCCTGTGGTAAGTGCATTTGCATTATCCAATGTTCCCCTTTGCTTTACGAGTTCCCCGATGTTGGCCATTCCATGTGGCCAGTGAAAGAGGGGAGAAGGTTTGACGGTTGCACCAAATCGCTATCGTTATCTCTCTATCTTTATCGTTGTCATACTTTTTTGTACACACGAAAAGGAATTGGGAAACCGGCTTCGGACGTACAACAGGGGAATTGGTGTACCATGGGACAACAGCCTATGTGTTCACCGAGCCTACAGACAGTACCTTTTCCTGGGTGCATGTCCACCTACTTATTCAGATATCTGCCCAGCCGTGCCGTCTGTCCGCCTGTCTCGTCGTCGTCTGTCGTCTCTTAGCGAGACAAGAGACCGGATTAATTCCACGTCCGACGAATGACGCGAGACGGCGAAGGAATGAGGTGCGGCGTCCAGGTTTTGATTGTCGGAAGACGCGTCCATCCAATCCTCTCCTTCTATTTTCATTTTTCCTTATCTAAAGAGAACCCCGTATCCTATATCCATCCTGCCGGGTTGCAGGCGATGCAACAGCAACAACAACAACACAGGCTGACATGTAGGGCACCTTGCACAGCATCTGGCGGCGAGCGGACCGAACATTGAGATATTGCGCGACTTTCTCGCCCAGGGCGCATCCATCCACCTGCGCAATCGCAATGGGCACACGCCCCTCTTCTTGGCGGCCGCTGCGGGGTTGAAGGATCACGTCGACGTCCTCCTCGACGCCGGTGCCCATCTGCACTCTGACGAGATGGCTTCTGCAAGATTGCATGCGTCTGGGGAGGATGGGGATGGGAATGGAGTTGCGGATGGCCACGCTGCCGTGTGGGCGTCTGCAATGGGCTGAGGTCAAGGTGGTTGCTACACGAGATGCGGCATCAGTACGGTACCGTATGGTACAGCATGGTGCATCACACTGCAGGACAGCAAACAAATAGGTTAGGTACAGTCCAGTCCAGTCCAACAAACAGTCGGTGCCAGTTTGCATGCTTGTTCAAACAAGCGGAGCGATCGACGCGCTCCTCCGAGAGTCTGCTGGGACGTAGAACGGGTAATTGTGGCCCTGTCTGATGAGGCTACTCCGTCCTTAAGGCAGGCATATGTTCCCGTGCACATCGGCTCGTGGCTAGTCCAGACTACATACGGTTGATATGCATAGGCGTCCCTAACGAGTCTGGGACGTGGCGCACTGGTGCAGCAATAATGGGATTGGAGGACTGGGTATAGAGTAGATAGCAGATCCTTATTCTATATTTATTGCTGGATAGATGGATGAATTGCGTAGATTCTGTGATTGTCATGGATTTGAACTTACTGTAATGTGTACTCCATACAGAACGAAGTACACAGTACACACCGTCTAAAATCCCCTGAACGGCATGCTGCACGTGCAGCAAGTACTTTCTTCCTCGACTCATGTGTATCGGATCAGAAGACTATTTCGAGATAGAGAGACGGGCGGATGAAGTAGAAAGGATCCGAACATGTCGCCATTTTGGCGTTCGTCTGGTTGATGAGGTCTGGTGACGCACTACACAGAGCCCACTAGACTACATGTATAATAACATGGTTTCCGTGGTCTACCTGGGCTGCAAGAAGAGGAGCAACAGCCTTTTTCTCGATTGCGGGTTGGCTTCCGAATCCGATCACGGCTAGCGACATCACGAGTACCTGGGCCCAGCGGGACCTTATAACTTTCCAAATGGAGTTGAAGCGTTGAAGTGTTGGGCTGTTGGCAACAAGGTAATTCACTTACTCGAAGATGCGGTTTGCTCGAATACGATGGATGGCGCGTGTCAACCTGCCCGCCTGAGATGGAGAAGGCATGGCCTTGGGCGTTGCAGGGAGAAAGTTGGCACATGTTTTGGCGAAGTCGATGCATGGCGAGCGATGGCGAGGAAATCATTCAATCTTGTTTATTTTTTTCACCTTCCTTTTTTTCCTCCTTGTAGTATTCCATATTCATTATTGCACACGGTCATTATTTGCGCGCTTGGGTATGCGGCGATGAATGACTTCGGAGCGGTCTCAATGGATGGGCGGCATTGCACGATAGGGCATTTCTCTGTGCACGCCGCCAGGGAACGGATCTGATTCGCCACCCAGCACGCAGAGAAATTGGAAGGGACGACGAGTTGCGGCCTGCGCAGAATCTGACATCGTGGCCGGACAGGTGGTGTTGAGTGATCGGCTCGCCAGCCGGTGGGTTAGCCATGGTCGGTTGGTTCAAGTTGAGTGTTGATGAGTGTTGATTGACGGCGGTCGTGTCGTGTCCACTATTATGTGTGTCCACTCTATTGTATCCACTCCGATCCGTCCACACTTTATGTTGTATCCACACGGGTGCCTCCATCATTCGCCAGCAGTGATCATGGTCCTATCTTCCCCGCACAGTTGGATGGATGGATGGATGGATGATGCTGCTGCCGCTGCCGGTCGGTCCACCGTTCACATTTCTGTGTTTTTTCTGCTATGCCCCCGCTACCACCTGTGCCATTTGGTATGTATGATGCATGACAACATGAAATTTCATTAATGCCGAGGATGAAAGATAACATGTACTGTATCGTAGGAGCGGGTCGGCTGAGGCGTTGGCATGCTTTTCTGGGCTAAAGGTGCTTTGGGATTCTTTGTGCTATGCGTAGGCCTTTGCTTGTTCTTCATTGTGTAGATGTATCACTAGGTCGAAGGGTCTGTATTTGTACCGTGCGAGCAATGGGTGAGTAAATATTCGAGTTAGTAGCATGTACCTAGTAGTGATCTAGCCCGCCGCGTGCCTGCGATGAATGGAGAGGGACGAGACAGGCAGACGAGCCAGGGAGAGATGGTTTGATGGAGCAGTGGAGTAGTGGAGTAGCTGTACTTGTATGAAGTCGGAAAGGTAGAGTACGAGTAGTGTAGTGCAGCGTAGTTTGGTGTCTTTTTGAGCAAGCAAGGTGGTCGTGGTGAGTACTCAGGTAGGCAGGTAGGTACGAGCAGGAACGAGTAGGAACAGTAGAGTAGGCTCGGTAGGGTGGATGATGCAATTCTTATTACTATTTAGTGTATTTTATAGGCATAATAACTCATAACTCAATAGTGGTGAAGTCTTTGCTCATCAGCGGATCTGGGACTAGTTCTTGGTGAATTCTGCTTTTCATTTTATTTATGATAATAATTATTACTACATGCATACATGACTACGTGGTGAGCTGGGGTTTCGCCTTTTTGGCTTTTCCCTTGAGATGTTATGTTCAATGATGATGATGATGGAATTAACCCGGTCCGTCCCCTCCACCCTCCCATTCGCAACCAATTCGTTCCAATTCGCTCCCAATGACCTGCTATTATGTAATTTTTCCCCCCAACACCGCAATTCCATTCTCAAATTGTGACACAGAAATGGCCGCCATGTCTTGCTTTGCCCTGGGAGAAAATTCTGATCTTGCTATCTCCTGCTTCTCCGGCGCCGACGGCAATGGATGCTCTCATCATGTCTTGGTTTGATGTTGTTGGACATCTACGCTCCCCGTTCCCCAGCATCAGCTGGCTCATCCCCCAGGACCAAGAGGAGGCACAAGTTAGAAATATACGTCGTGGGCGGGCCCTCCCTCTAGTCAAAAGTCATGTCTGCACTTAATAAAACCATAGCCGGAGCTCCTCCCTAAGCCTGTGCCTGCTAACTAACTACTCGTACTGCGTGGTGTAGGTATTTTATTGCTACCTGTGCCTATTGTCCCTACATACACTACCGTACCAACCCACCAGCCCACCCAAATCCACTACCAGTCCACCACCAGTCCACCAAGGTGTCCCAGGCTATTACTACTACTACTCGTACCACCATTCAAGTACCGAGTAGTACTTACTACCGTAGTACTCCCTAAATTTTAAAAACCGCTCTCTGCTCTCCCGCAAAACCGCCTAATCACTAGAAGGAGGATCGAAAGAAGAGAAAAACCATCCAACCTCTAGTAACCTTCTGGTCGTTTCCAAAGTACCCCCCTCTAAGTATCTGAGGGTCTACATACCTACCCAGGTACTAAGGGGCACACGCATCAACTACTCCTACATCTACATCTACATCTACATCTACATCTACCCGGGTCCTTCGAGATACATACACGCACATACAGACGTACCTCTCCCATCTGTACGGAACACTGCACCTTATCGTTAGCCTACCAGCCCAACGCCCGCCATTTGGTGTCCCTGCATTTATTGTTGCCTGTGACCATCAACGTACGTACGTGCCCGTATGTATGTGCAGTAATTAGTTGCAGTACCGTGCCAGTCAACTGTCGCTATCCTTTACGGAGTACATCAAAAGGGCTACTGCAATTACGGAGTACTACCACAACTATTATATACTCCATGCTGTTCTTCTTATTCAACAATAACCGATCGACCTCCCACATCCGTCACCATTATTAGGCCAGAACCGATTCTTATAGGTCACTACTGGACTCTCTTCTTTTCTCTCTACGGACTACTTGGTCTTCCCATACGCACGCGCACACGCTCAATCAATCATCCAACCGCTCACCCTACCTAACCCGACCACACACACATACAAACTCCTGGCTCTCTCTATCCGCCCACCCTTTGGAACAGAACGACCAAAACCTTGGGATATATCTATCTAGGTACTTAGGTACTCAAGTCTCCATATCTTAACGCACCCACTTGCACTACCTTTGCGCTCACGTGAGCCACCAAGTCTGAAAGAACTTCTCTGTTTATTTCACGGCTCCGCGCAATTTCGATTCGGTTGTGCCACTGACCTTCCAATCCAATCTCATTTGGTCTTCCCATCCTCCACAAAGGTCTTTGGGCTTCGTCTTTGTGCCACCACCGCACGTGCAAGCCCTTGTCTGAATCACACCTGTACGTGCCGATTGCGGCAGACCGCCACATTCAACACACACCTGAACTTCCCTGCCGATTACCTTACTCCATACATTGTCTGGCATCCTTATCTCCAGGCGAACGGACCATTTCCCAAACTTACACGGCGTCTTGCCTGACATATATCCTGCATCCTCTGGTCATAATTCCAGTTTCACACCACCTCCCCGACACCCCATCTACTGCCCCCGGATTTGCACTATATCGAGAATCACCGCTCTGCCGCTTATCAGATTCGGCGCGAGACGCGGCATTGCTGCGAGACATCACCACCATCTTCCAGGGCTCTTGAACGGAGAGCGAGTTTTACGTCTTTGAACGAATTTACGAAATCTAGAAAATAATAACATCATTACGAATGCAGAGAACAGTCGTAACTATCAACAGCAATGGCCGCCAGTCGGCGAGCTTCATTCGCGTTGCAGCCGCCCTGGGTTGGCAAGTGCGGGCGCAAATGCGGGATCTGAATGGAATCGTAGCCCAAGAACTTGTAGATTTGCCCAACGTTACCGTATATATCGGACAACTCGAGGACAAGAAATTCCTGGATGACTTATTCAGGAGCGCTCAAATTGCATTCATCAACACCACACACTGGGGCGACGAGGTAGCGGTAGGACGCGCGCTAGCCGACGCTGCTAAAAAGGCAAACATTCAGCACTACATCTATTCGAGCATGCCAGATCATTCGATATATGGAGATGACTATCGCTCATTACCACTGTGGGCACCGAAATTCACCGTCGAGCAGTACATTCGCCAGATCGGACTTCCAGCAACCTTCGTGTATTGCGGAATCTATCACAACAACTTCACTGGCCTCGACTTCCCGTTATTCCGCATGGAGCACAAACCGGACGGCAGCTTCTTATGGGAGGCACCATTCCACCCAGACCAGAAACTTCCATGGTTGGACTCTGAGCACGACATCGGTCCTGCCGTCTTCCAGCTTTTCAAGGAAGGCCCTCGGAAATGGAATGGCAGACGGTAAGTACACACAACCATTTATTTAACATCATTCCCTACGGGTCCACAAGATCGTGCTATAAATCCCTCCCTCCCGCATATTTTTCATGAAGCTGACCGCTCTAGAATTCCGCTGGCTTTCGCCGTTCTGACTCCCATACAAGTCTGCAAGGCCTTCAGCCGTGGGCTCGGAAGACCTGTCAAGTACAAGCAAGGGCCCATCAAAATCAACGTCCCAACTCCTATTGGTTACCGTGAGCACCTGTCAGCCCTTGAGGATACCCTTGGCAACAAGCGAGCGGACTACTTCGGACCTGAATTGATCGATGACTGCCCCGGCGTCGCCCTCGAATTATGGGAGGGCAACAGAGACCTTGAGGAATATGCGCGGGAAGTGTTCCCAGTGGAGGAGGCGGCGAATGGCCTGACATGGATGGAGGAGGTAGAGACCCCGGCGCGAGAAGTTGAGCTCGACTTGCCGATTAATTGCTGATTCGGTATTGTGTTTCCAGGGTGAAGTTCAACGGCAATTCAACGGCGTCGTGGGCCTGACTGAACAGCTCAATCAAGCGAGACTTTGAGCATCGCCATTCGGCGTATCGGATATCGTATTTCCTTCTGTCACGTCAACTCTATGGCGGCATCATCCTCATCTCCTCACGTCCTCCTCATCACCCATCACCAGCGGCGACTCTCTTTCTGGTTTCTCATGCCGATCTCAATCTCACCACTTCTCGCGAGAGCTGTGGGTGTAGAAGCATATGGTTCCCACGGTCCGATATTTTTCCTCTGATAGCGGCTGCACTGGCGGGGGTTTATATGTGTTGTTCTTTGATTTCAGCATGGTGTTTAGGTTTTCAAAACACTTCGGCATTGCGTGGGCGGGTGGCATTGTGCATCAATCGCACTTAAAAAGTTCTATCTTACCTATCATCTTCTAATTCTCCTACGTACACATACGTATACACTCTCGATCTTCTTCCTCCTTCCTCCCCGAGTCAGGTTGGGAACAATTGGTTGACGAGGCTGGTTATGCTTGCGGCAATGTCTACAAGCAGTCAATTACATGGTAAAAACCATGTTCTCGAAACATACATAAGAAATACATTTATTCATCCATGATCGGTAACGTGTACATGCGGTTGATGTTTGATTGTGTGCTGGTCGATCAAGCCGGGGGATGTGTGGCGTTTCTAGGTCCCATGCGCCACAGATTAGTCATCCCGCTCAGGCTTCCTGATGATTTTCTGAACCTCAACTTATCGAACAGGCACAAGGAAGAGACGGGGATCGCAAGACCAACCTACATACCGGCCCAATGGCAACAGCAGCCTTTTCGACGCGCGCGGTCCTTCGCGGCGCATCAAAAGCAGCAGTTCCCAAGAAGACCTCGCTCGCGTACCAGATGCACAAACAATTATATCCACATCTCTACGCCCAGAATCAAGACGCCGCGGCCGCACCCACAGATGCTATTCCCGAAGCCTCGAGGCAATTGACCGAATCGAAAGTCTCCAGCATTCTGGAAAAGGAGCGAGCGAGCCGCAAGGCCCCATGGAGCAAGAAAGACACACCATCTAGTCGATTCTCCGTGCTGCCATCACGGACAAGTAAGTTTTGGAAACCTACTTCCCCTCCAACTCCTCACTATCTTTCATGACAGAGGGTTGCAGTATCTCTTATCCATGCTAACATATTAACCACAGAACGCCACACCTCCGGCATCGTCCTCCACCCCGCCAAACCCTCCATCCACAAGCAATGCCCGGACCCCATCGCCACCGTCACAACCTCTTCGATCGCGCAGCTCGACCCCACGGGAGCCCGCACGCGGCTCTTCGCAAAGACGAACCCGGAAGGCGCCCGCGTGGGCGACATCCTGCTGGTGCGGCAGCGCACGGGCGACCCCTTCGCCGGCGTGTGCATCAACATCCGGCGCCGGGGCGTCGACACGGCGATCCTGCTCCGCGGGCAGCTCACCCGCGTCGGCGTCGAGATGTGGTATAAGGTGTACTCGCCGCTGGTGGAGGGCATCGAGGTGGTGCAGAGGGCGAAGAAGCGGGCTAGGAGGGCGAGGTTGACGTTCATGCGGACTGTCAAGCATGATCGGGGAAGCGTGGAGAACGTCACGAGGATTTATCTGAGGCAAAAGGCGGCGTTGGGATCCGCGGACGGGAAGAAGAAGGCGGGTGCTGTTGGGGCGGCGAAGGGCGGGAACCGTAGGGGCAAGAAGAGGTAGATGGTCTCGTTGAAGGATGAGATGAGATGGTAGATGGTGGAGAGGATGTGGTGCTGGGCGATATCATGTCTCTGGTATGAGATGTGCCGCATTGTACTATATGTATGGCATCACTATAGCATGTACAAAAATGTTCGACTTTTAAGCTATTACGGACTTGCAGATATTGAAATGAATGATTCATGGACGAAACCCCGACATACCTGACTGAGGCTGTTATTATAAAGCTCCATGTCTTTGGACAGAGCTTGACTCCAGTTGACCGATGTTCTGTCGTCAATTGATAGATGGTCACGCCAGTACGTGAAGGGGTTCAGCATTCTTTCAACGATCAATTGGCCAGATTCGAAAGGAACATATGGGTGGGCTCAAGCCTGTTCACTGAAACTTCATTCTAAGCTCTATCAAACATAATCACTCTCCTGCTATTTTCATATATATCTTGCCATCCTCACTTCATCCATCATCATATAATAGTCCATATAATGCAGGACATCGAAACCATAACCCCATCCATCCACCTCACAACAACCTACATACTCCCAAAAGCACTCCTCCTCAACTCCCCACCCCTAACCCACTCCAACTCCTTCTCCCCATCCCCCTTCCCCCTAGAAACAACAACGCTCTCCCCAATCCACAGCACCTCCAACCCGCCCATCCTCCCAAACGCCTCCTCCGCAACCCTCGCCTGCGCCTCCCTCCTCCCCCTCTGCACCCCCTCCCTCTCTGCCCCCGCCCTCGACCCCGCCGCATACCGATACGCATGCAAATCCACCCGCTCGTGCTCCGACACGTCGAGTCTACGCAGGTGCTTCATGTGGCGGCCTAGGCGCTCGAAGATGTCTGGGAGTCTGTCTGCGTACGGTACGGGGCTCAGGAGCGCGAGGGAGAGGAGGGAGGGGCATGTTTGCAGGAGGGCGGTGATGTCGGAGGGGGTCCAGGCGCAGAGGGCTTCGAGGTGGAGGAGGGAGGGGAGGGGGGTTTGGAGGGCGGAGGGTGAG